ATACTAATACTGTTGACCATCCCCATATTTCCATGCTTTCTGTAGACATCCTACTCAGTGAGGCAACCTCTCAGGCATGCCTACCAATAAGGGCTCTTGCATCTTGAAGTTGAAAATATAATCTTTTTCTTTTTTAACTTGGCTAAAGAATATTAAACAGTTTACCCACAAAGGTCATGCTTTGATAACAGTCTTCAACATTGTCTACAAGCGAATCATTACACATTATAAAAGTTTATGAGGTGTTTAGTAAATAGAGAAAATAAATAGAAATAATTCATCAATTATTCTCAAAGAGAAATTTATGAGATGACAGAGTACTAAAGAAAACACATCTTCTTTACTGTGGATAGGTCTTATAAGATGATACTTGAATTTATGGCAAAAGAAACCTAGGGGAGAGTTTTTGAAGGCAATTTTCAAATTATACACAAATCTCTTAAGAAATATTGAAAGCCAATTAAGATAATTTAGTAGATTTTCTTGTGAGTGTTATAAATCTATACTAAATTTAGTTTGTTTAATTTGCCTTAATGGACATTGTAAATCAACTTAATCATGTGTATTCTGCATAATTGCTCACCTAAGTAGATTTAAATCTGGTTTTAAAAGTATATATAGTATTTATGTTTTTAATTTAAAAAATACCTATGTCTACATGATATAAATTTAATTTTTGTCAACACATAAAAGTCAACGAATGGAACTTAGGTCCAGCCTTAGATTGCTGTTAAGATTTAAAAAATAATGCTAAAGCCAAGAATTAAAAAAAATATGTATCTACTGAAACAAAATTTTGAATTGTGGCTTAAAAGTGTGTTGTGTGTTTGTATGGAGAAAGAGGAAGGGTGGAGGGAAAGGGAGACACTATTCATTATTCTCTTCTTGCTATTAAAAAATAATAAAAAACTTTGTAAAGATTTTTTTGTTCTGTGTCATCATCCCACCAACAATAATCACAGAGAAGAAAGAACGGAAGATGCATTTTACTACTCCCTGATGAATAACAAAGTGACTAACAGTAGCCGTGGGTATTGAAGAAATTTAAAAACCCAATGAGAGAGCCTGCTTTAAGTTGGTATTAATTACTATCATCATTGAATTCCATTGCTCACATTGTTTGTCATGGTAGGGTAAGGAGTCTTTGCCTTCTGGCTCCCTGGGGCAGTATTTTTTCCTGCCTGAAAAGTTTCAAAGGAAACATACAATGAATATCGTCCTGTTTCACAAACACCAAACTCCTTAAAGGTCAATACATTTTGGGCTCCTAGAGACATGAAAATGTTTGCTAGGTTTTATTTAAAGGTACAGTGAAAACTATAGAGGCTATATCCCAGATGCCTTACACTACATTGAGAGTGGAATGCATGTTTCCATTTTGATACGTGATGGGAGTAAGTAAATTACAAACATATATTTGTAAGTCAGAGATATAGTCAACAAATGCACATTTCTGAAAACACGTTTTTCTGAGTACTTATTCTGAAGTTCTTTAAAAATCTGGCCAAAACAATCTCATTTTAATATACCAGTTCACATAATAAGCAAGTTAGAACATTTGCAAGACAAGATGTTCTTTTCCTTTATGTAGCCAGCATGAACAGCTCTAAGCTTAGGTGGTAATGATAAAAGGATTTTGGAGCAGCTGATTTTAGGGAATCATAAAAACAACCCAAATTTATGCCCCAAGGTGTAAAGAATATGCAGAGTCTGCATTGTGCTTCTAGTGTCAGGACAAATCATTCTGCTTTTTTTCAGTGTAACTGATGCCAAGGAAAGAGTAAAGGGAGAAATGAAAGTGCACAATGAGACCTGTGGCTTGGTTAGGTGAATAACACCCATATCACAAAATCATGACTTCTCTTTTTCATTTTGTAAATTCCTTTAGGTTAATATATATAATTCTTGAAAAATTTAGGAGTGGGATATATATTATTGTGGAGGCTCCAAGTTTTCTGCTATTTATGACTTAAATTGTGAGACATCTCACATATCACAGCTCCATTAAAAAAAATCTGTGGCAGTGGTGAAGGCCTTGGAGGGGGTGGGAGACAGGATTGGGGTGGAGGGGGTCAGTGGGGGACAAAGGGGAGATATCTGTAATACTTAACAATAAAGATAAATTTAAAAATAAAATAAATAAAACAAAAAATATCTGTGGCCTTTTTTGGAAAGGTAAGTGAAGGGATGAAAGAATTATGTGACATATTCCTTTAAACCAATTAGGTAATGGTGAATATAGCTGCTATATAAAAAAACAATTATTGAGTGCTTCTTAGATACTAGCGCTGTTCTCATTGCCTGTACTGAATCCTCATTTAATCCTCCAATCCCTAGAAGGTCGATATTATAGTCCCATTTTACCCACAAGGAAACCAAAGCACATACAATAATATAATGGCTCCGGGATTTGAACCAAGGCCATTTGACTCCCCCATTTATGTCTTTCATTACTGCATTAGGTTGTTTATATTTATATCCGACTCTTTAGGACTCAGTTAAAGCCTTCTGGGTCCTGGCTTCTTCTAAGCCAAAATCAGATAAATGTTAGTACACAGCATCAATGTTTAAAATGGCCATTCATTAGGGCTGAGAATACCAGCCCCTTAGCATTCCCACCTTCCTGGTGACTCAGAAATTACTCAACTGTCTTTCCCTAAACGCAGTGCTCCACCCAATTTAGTTAACTTCGTTGTTGCACAGCAACAAAACATCATCACAGAGGGAAACCGAGAGGATATTTTGGACCAAGGATGTCACTGCCCAGTATTCAGCAAGGGTCTTGTCTGCTTCAAACGTCTGCATTCTGGAACAACATACTCTTATTTAGGGACTGTTCTGCTTCTGTATTGCACCACAACACTTCACTGGACTACATTTTCTCTCAGATTTGACACTGAGGAAACCTACATTTTGAGGTAGCATTCGCGGGGGCACAGGTTAGAAACTCGCTCAACTACATCACGGGGACTCTTCAAGAGATTTCCAACTGTTATGACGAGCCAGTGAGACAGAGACGCACAGGGAAATGTAAATGAGAGGCGTGCTTTATTCACTGCTGCGGGCACACTCTCCCAGATCAACAGCCCTGAACGTTCTTGCAGTCCATTTATCTAAAACCACATCCCCTTGACATCACCTTGACCATCGTTAAGGGGAAACTGATGCAGATGGGGAAGGGGGGGGGCATGAGGAGCTGTTACAAAGGTCAGGGCAATCATTAATTTCTTTATTTTTATTTTTTGGGCGGGGGGGTTCCCAAGGCTATTACGAATCCCTTTACCTTTATGGTTCCTCTGGGTTTCCTAAGGCCACATGGTGTTTAGATGAACCAGGGTGTGTACCTGTAACAACTGCTGGTCATGTTAAGACCAGACACATAGCTGAGTTGTAAATGAGAGGAACGCTTTATTCACCAGCAGGCTGCAGGGCACACGTGTCCCAAATTAACAGCCTCGAGAATTTGTGCAGTCCAGCGCTGCTTTTGGTGCCGTTCGGGAGGGACAGGTATGACAGAGCTGTTACCGAGGTCCAGGCGAGGGAGGGACAGGTATGATAGAGCTGTTAGCCAGGTCCAGGCGAGGGAGGGACAGGTATGATAGAGCTGTTAGCCAGGTCCAGGCGAGGGAGGGGCAGGTATGATAGAGCTGTTAGCCAGGTCCAGGCGAGGGAGGGGCAGGTATGATAGAGCTGTTACCCAGGTCCAGGCGAGGGAGGGACAGGTATGATAGAGCTGTTACCGAGGTCCAGGTGAGGGAGGGGCAGGTATGATAGAGCTGTTAGCCAGGTCCAGGCGAGGGAGGGACAGGTATGATAGAGCTGTTAGCCAGGTCCAGGCGAGGGAGGGACAGGTATGATAGAGCTGTTACCGAGGTCCAGGTGAGGGAGGGGCAGGTATGATAGAGCTGTTAGCCAGGTCCAGGCGAGGGAGGGACAGGTATGATAGAGCTGTCAGCCAGGTCCAGGCGAGGGAGGGGCAGGTATGATAGAGCTGTTAGCCAGGTCCAGGTGAGGGAGGGGCAGGTATGATAGAGCTGTTACCCAGGTCCAGGTGAGGGAGGGGCAGGTATGATAGAGCTGTTACCCCAGGTCCAGGTGAGGGAGGGGCAGGTATGATAGAGCTGTTACCCAGGTCCAGGTGAGGGAGGGGCAGGTATGATAGAGTTGTTACAGAGGTCCGGTCAAGGCAACCATTACTCTTTCTTTTTAGGTCCCTCCGAGTTTTCCAAGGCCATCGTTAATCCCCTTATCCTCACGGTTCCTCTGGGTTTCAGTCCCAGGTTTTTAAAGAAACCGCCAGGCTGTGTGCAGGAACAGCCGGTCAGAACGGAGTTTACTTAAGTGGCCTAGTTTCAGTCAGAAAGGAGTTACTTCAATTAAGTAGTCTAGTTCACAAGACGCTGGATTCTAATAGGCCATTACCCCAGCGCTGCTCTTTCGCGGTGCCTGCCTGCGGCGCGTCTACAAGCGGTAACTTCAGCACGCAGCCGTCGGGGGCTCTGGGTCCTGTCAATTCTGAGGAAAGGTCTCTGGGGTGGTGAACGAGGAGACGAGACAAGCGGGAGCCAGGAGAAGGGGGAGACATTCTCAGACATACTTCACAAACAAAAACAACGGAACAGGAAAGAAAGTTCTGCCGGAAAGAGGAGGGAGCGCAAGCCGCGAAGGAAAGGGCGCTCCCTCGGAATGGCTCGAGCGTTCTGAAGCTCAGCCCCGCCCACCCGACGTCGGCCGAGGCTCGCGGCCGTGCGCGCGCAGTCCCGCTGCTCTAGGGCGCTGGGCGGATGTCTGTCAATTTGGCCAATCACGCGTCTCTGCCGCCTTTCACGTGGCCCCGCCCCGCCGTCGGCCCCTGGCGGAGACTCGAGGCCGCGCTCGCGCAGTGTCGCTGCTCTCGGGCGCTGGGTGGTGCCGAGCTGCGCGCCGCAGTCAATCCGGCCAATCACGCGCTCCTCCCGCACCCGCCAGGCCCTGCCCCTGGAACGGGAGCGCCGGCGGCCCCGGCCAGGCCAGCTTTCTGCGCCGTGGGGATGGCGGAGGGAGGTAGCGTCCCGGGTCGCGGGCAAATGTGTGAAAGCTGAACTGCTTCGGGGCTCCGCTGTGCAGTCGAATAGCGCTCCCTTCACGCGGTCAGGGGACCTCTCGACTGCACCTCGGGCCTGGGGTCTCCAGGGCCAGTGTGGTTTTCTGCAATGGTGGGCGGGTGGGAGGATCCCCCGTAAAATGGATGCCTTTGTGTCAGGAAACAAACTTCGGTTTACTCTCCTTTTCAGGGGCTTTTCGCTACGTAAACGGAAACGGCGCAGACAGGCTTAACCGTATCCGTGGTCGTGTTCCTTCTCTCTCAGGCCCGGAGGTTATCGGCCCCCAGTTACACAGCCTTTAGGGTTTCGGGTGATGTGACAGGTCTGATCATGTTCTTGGAGTCAGGATTCCAGTTATATTTCCTTTCATGGCGAAGCCGGCGGGACAAAATGAAAGAATTCTTAACTCCAACCTTGTTCTCCCCAACTCCCATATGACAGGGCTTGAAGGACTTGGATGAACGCAGATGGAGGGCCTAGTTTGTATGAGACGCTGGCTAGTTCACTTGTCCTGAAAAGAACTAGTCACCCTGCGGACCAGCACCGCCTTATTTAGGTAAAAGGAACACGAGAGCAAAGAGCAGCCATGAATCGCAGCCAAGTGAAAGAGGAAGATGCTGGCTTACTTGCGGATGTTACCGATCATAAGAAATTCTTTGATAAAGACTGGGGAATATATGGAGGTGTGGGTTAATATGGTTTCCATTTTGTGATTATTATTATTATTATTTTTTTTTTTTAGAGGTAAACCAAGATTCCATTTCCAAGATGGAAAGCCCCTCAGACTCAGCTGTGGTTTTACCTAGCACTCCCCAGGGCTGTGCCAGTCTGCCGTCTCCCCCTACCAGTAGTTCGAGAAAACAAGTATGAAAATCTTAGTTTTTTCAAAGGGTCAGTTCTATATTTCTAGTTAACGTGGCAGTGGTGGTGTTAAGCCTGCTGAAGATAGTTAATTAACATAGTGTGGCATTGATAAGTATTAAATAATTTTACGTCTTTTAAAATAATGTATTTGACTTTTCTCCACCCCCACCACCCCCCATTTCATTTTGAACCAATTATTTAGTTTCAGATTAGGTTATTACGACATTGCAAATTGAAGAAGTTTGAATCTGTAGTATCATGAAGGTCCTTGGTGGCAGGATCTAGGTCTTTTCCAAAATTTGTAACTGAAGCACCTAGAACAGTGTCAGGCATGTGCTAAGTTGCTGAACAGATGTTTGTGATTCTGCAACTCTACTGTTGCAGAAGAGTGCTGACTTTGCTAAATAAAATAAAACTGGTGGAGCCTCCAGGAATTAAAGACATTTTGTGATGGTTGCTTACAATATATGGAGTTAGAAAGCCATCTAGTGGTGTGTACCATAGAAATATAAGTCTTTATTTCTAGTAGATTTATTTACATCAGTCATTTAAAAATTAACATTATTAATGTTTGTGCCTTTTACAGCCTATGAGTGCAACACTTAGAGAACGGTTAAGGAAAACTAGATTTTCATTTAATTCCTGTTACAGTGTGGTAAAGCGTCTTAAAGTAGAGAATGAAGAAAACGATCAGACCTTTGCAGAGAAACCAGCATCTTCAACAGAAGAAAACTGTTTGGAATTTCAAGATAATTTTGAACACAAAGACAGTGAAGTTGAAGAAAGTTCATATTTGAAAAATACCACTAAGAATATCAGTGCATGTGACTCTGAATCACTTGATACAGGGTCTTGCAGTGATCTCCAGAATGACTTTGATGAGACTTTTCCCCAAAAAGTATTAAATGATGACAAGGCAAAATTGGTGAAGCAGATTCAGGAGAAAGAAGACCTTCTTCGGAGGCTAAAACTAGTCAAAATGTATAGATCAAAGGTGAGAATAATTTCAGAATCATTGTATAATTATTTTTTAAATTGTTAAATTTATTTTTTATTTTTGGGTAAATGATAGGAAAGTCATTTCAAAAAGGGAACATTATTTTTAACATAAGCAATAAGCCAAATATTCAGAAACCTGGCTTCCAACAACTTTTAACTCAAATGTCAGATTTAGAGTAGAGGAGAAGAGGCCTCTAAACACCAGATTCAACTTGTTAAAAGTCCCAGCCCTTGTTTAATATGAAGTTTTCCAGCATGTAGCAGTATTAGAAATATCAAATGTTAGATGCAAGTACAATGACAACAGAAGTGACAGCTGACAGTGGATGATTTAAAAAGTTAGACGTGGACCACAGAGTATAAGTATTTTTAGTGCTGATCTTCTGTTCCTCCAAATTATTAAAAGTTCCAGGCATTTTGTTTGAAAAACAACAAATATATATTAGATTTTAGATTTCATCCCAGATGGACTGAGCCCTTCTTCAAGCGCTCAGAAAAAGATAACCCTTATTTACCTGGATCATTCAAGTATATGCAATTTCTCCTTCCTCCCTAGCAATGTGGAATACATAATGGAATAGTATATCTTATTTGCTGCCTTGCATTTTTAGGATTTTTCTATATATAACTACGAGTTTTATGAGATAGTGAATGCGGAAAAATATTTTTAATTTGAATATTCTCATTTTTAAAAGTACAGCTGTAATAGAAAAAGTGGATTAAAAAAACAAACCAACCCTATATTGTTGCTTGTCTACATATTTTTGCCCTATTTAATGATTTGATTTTTCTCTGAGGGCAAGGAAGGCCCAGAGCTCCCACCAAACAAAATAGGCATAGAAGTCAATTGGAGTGTCATGGTAAAAACCATCCTACTTTTTCATGGCTGGAAGGCTCATTCATGCCCAAATATATTGGTACCCTTTAAACCTACTCTTGATTTAACAGCTTTTGTTAAATAAGTTAATATAGGATACCTGTCTAGTTATTGACATACATTTATATATATTTTTTTCCTGTTTCAGAATGACCTGTCTCAATTACAGTTGTTAATAAAGAAGTGGAGAAGCTGTAGCCAACTGTTGCTTTATGAGTTGCAGTCAGCTATGTCTGAGGAGAACAAGAAACTCAGCCTTACTCAGTTGATAGACCTCTATGGGTTAGATGATAAATTACTGCACTATAACAGAAATGAAGAAGAATTTATAGGTGTTTAATTCATAATTTTTTCTCTATTGTTGAGAATGACAATTTAAAAAATACTTATACATTCTAAAGGGAAGATGTAAACCATTAAGGCTTCAAGAAAGGTATCTTGATAAACATCAATTTAGGGCGCTCTATTAGATAAATAAGTTCTCAAATGAAATTTTAATATTTTGGATAATTGCCAAAGAAAATTTGACATTTAAAGAAATGTGAAAAAAAATTTAAATCACATTTAAAAAAATAATTTGGGCAGTTCTGGAAGTCAGTTATAATACATTGTTTTGTTTATTATAAAAAGTTTTATTTTAAATGTTAAAAAATAGTCTAATCTGATGAATGGCTAAACCTAAATTGATCTAAAAATGCCTGTCTATATGCTAAGTTTATGAACCTTGTTTCTGTCAATTTACCACATCTGTATGGTTTATCAGGTAATTAAATGTATATGTCCAAAATTATATTCTTCCTGTCTCTTCAAATTTGTTTCTTGTATTCTTCATCTCATTTTAGTGACATGACCATCTCTCTCTTACAAAACCACGTATCCTCCTCTCCCACTTCCACACATAATGGACTACAAGGTCCTTTATATCCATCTACCTTTCTAGCTTCATCTGTGAAATAGATAGGAGTATCTACTTAGTTCAGTTACTCCTCGGCCAGAAACCCACCTTCATAGGATTGTGTTTCTATCTGCCCTATTGTATAATGCCATCCTGTCCTTCACAGAAATATGATCCAAGCTGGCCCAGTCTCAGAATTTGGAATTGTGCTCAGGAGGAGAAAGCTCTTCTCTTTGTGGCTGAAGCTATTGTATGTAAACTTGGAAGCTTAAAAGCTGATGTACTTCCAGTTCTTCCGAAGGGCTTTCTGGATTTCTGTTTTTGGGTCCTTTAAAGGGCAAAAACAGCTTTACTTAGTTAAAAAACAAAAAAACAAAGTACTTTCCTACTTGTAGATCCCCCTCCAAGTGCACCCCACTTGCAGCCCAGCCCCACCCTGTGTTCTAACAAACTTAATATTTGGCATAGCAGGAGACCCAAGGACTCTGCTCTTGTATCCATTCTAATTGTTTGTGCCCATGACAGTAAACTCGGTTACCTCCTTCCTACCCCTAAATTCCTGCCTTCCAGAAATTGCCATTGTCATTGGCTTCTGTGAACCCAAGAAGACTGGCCCAGGCCTCACATGGGCACCCCCTGATCCTGGATTTCCTAGGTTGGCAATCTCCAGGAGCTGTGCTGTTTTGTTTTGTGCCTACTAGCCTCCATCAACTGCTGCTGAGCCAGAGGAACTAACTTATAGGGGAATCGGTTTAGCAACTGATGGTCCTGGCATTTGGCTGCAGCTGCATTGCTGACTCAGCACACCCCCTGGAGTCACCCTTACATGTTCACTTGGGGGAACTGAAGCATCAGTAGGAGTCTGGTTCTGAGAGAATTGAGGAGAGTAGATGGGGGGGCACAGTAATGGGCATTTTCCAAGGCATTCACTGGGTTCTGAGGGCCCCAACAGCACAGTGGGTACTCTAGCAACAGGGGGTAGGTCATGGAATATGGATCAGGCTTATGGGAGAGTTTGGGATATGATGCCCATGTGGGGTCCCCTTTAAAAAAATAATTTCTGTTGAATTTCACCTCCATTTAATGGGATACAGTTACAGGCATACCTCAGAGGTATTACAGATGGTTCAGACCACTGTAATAAAGTGAGTGACAATTTTTTTTTTTGGTTTCCCGGTACAACTTGGCTAACTTTGGTGCAAGAGGACTAGCTTTTGGCCCATCTCAGCTTTTGATATGTCTTCCTTACTAAGCTTAATAATTTATAGCATTATTAGGGTTATTAGTTAGCCTAATTTAAATATTATTGTGTCTCAAGGAACGGAAGCCCAAGGAAAAGAACAACCAGTCGGTGGAGCAGTTAGAACACACACAACATTTATCCATTAGGTTCACCGTCTTAAATGGGCATGGCTTGTGGTGTCCCAAAATAATTACAATAATAACATCAAAGATCACTGATCACAGATCATAACAAATATATAATAATGAAAAAGTTTGAAATGTGACAATTACCAAAATGTGAGAGAGACATGAAGTGAGTAAATGCTGTTGGAAAAGGCACCAACAGACTTGCTCGAAGTAGTGTTGCCACAAACCAATTTGTAAATAATAGTATCTGAAGCACAATAATGCAAAGTCCAATAAAACAAGGAAAAGGAGTTCATCACCACAAAATCAGTATTTCATGAAATGTTAAAGGGTCTTCTTGAAGAAGAAGAAAAAAAAATATGGCCCTGGTCAGTTTGGCTCAGTGGTCAGAGTGTTGGCCTGCGGTCCAGAGAGACACAGGTTCGGTTCCCGCTAAGGGCACATTGCTTGGTTGCAGTTTGTCCCCGGCCCTGGTTGGTTGTGCGGGTGGCAGCCACTCGATGTGTCCCTTTCACATGGATGTTTCTCTCTCTCTCTTCCTCTCTCTCCCTCCCACTCTATCTGAACAAAATATCAAAAAATATCCTTGGGTAAGGATAAAAAACAAACATATCTATCAAGTTGAATCTAAAAATAAACAAGCAGAACATAAACAGGACTCAGATACAGATAATATTTTGACAATTGCCTGGTGGGAGGGGGGGTTGCAAAGATGGGTGAAAAAGGTGAAGGGATTTAGAAGTACAAATTAGTAGTTACAGAATAGTCATGGGGATACAAAGTATAGCATAGGGAATATAGTCAATATTTTAATAACTATGGTGTCAGATGGGTATGGGATTTTTTTGGGATGATCACTTAGTAAGTCTTATAATGTCTAATCACTGGGGTACACACCTGAAACTAATATACTATTGTATGTCAACTGTAATTGAAAAATACAAATTGATTTAAAAAAACATGGAATTACATTTTTATTCAGAAAAATGAAAGCTACCATTTAGCATATGCTGTCAGTTTAAAAAAATATTTTAACTCACCCTGGCCGGTTTGGTTCAGCAGTTAGAGCGTCCGCCCTTGGACCAAAGAGTCATGGGTTCGATTGCAGCCCAAGGGCATATACCTTGGTTGTGGTTTGTCCCTGGCCCTGGTCAGGGTTGTGAGGGAGGCAACCAATCAATGTGTCTCTCTCACATTGATGTGTCTCTCTCTCTGTCTCTCTCTCTCTCTCTTTTCCTCCCTCACTCCCACTCTATCTGACGATAAATGGAAAAATTTTCTCAGGTGAGGATTGCAAAATAATAATAATAAAAAATATATGTTAACTCATTTGAGAATTACAATGATCAACATCACAATTTTCAAGATGAGGACATTTAAGATAAAGTAGTTATTTAAAAACTAAGTAGTTATTTAAGAGAGCCAGGATTTGAAACCAGGCAACTCAGCATTAGAGACCTTCTCTTTTTTTTAAAAAAAAGTATGTTTTTATTGATTTTAGAGAGAGAGAAAGGGAGCAGGAAAGGGAGATAGAAACATTGAGAGAGATGAGAGAAAAACATTATCAGCTGCCTCCTGCATGCCCCCTACTGGGGACTGAGCCTGGGCATGTGCCATGATGGAATCAAACTGGTTACCTCTCGGTGCTTGGGACGACTCAGCTGAGTGAGCCACACAGGCCAGGGCGAGCCCTACTTTTAAGTCCTATGCTTAAAGCCATGCTATGTTTGACCCAGTTAATTATATTACTTTAAAATAATATAGATATTTTATAGGTCTATAAAATATGAATTTATTTGCTGTTAGTTCAGCAGAAGCTGAGAGGAATCAGTACCATGGACAGTATCAAAAGTAGTTTTTGGGTCCATGACCCATGTGCCTTTCCACAGCCAATCCCCCAAACCAGAGGATACCTCCTGTTGAAAAGTGCTGTTATTAGATCATAGTCTTGGGGCAAGAGGTTCCTGCTAACCTCCACTCTATACATAACTCAAAGCTGTGGCATTTAAGTAAGGAGCATTGCCAGTCACCGAGGGTGGCTATTAAGAAATAGAAATCACTCAGGCTGTTTGGTTTGTTAAGACCTGAGAATCCACAGAGCATTATCCAGTGAAGTTTATGATATTAATAGCAAATGAAGCCTGCAGGCAGCTAATTCAGGTGACATGGAATTTCTATTACCAAGGGAAAAAAAACCTAGTATATTCATGGTTGACTAAGCAACAGGACAGAGAACTTGAAAATTGTGGTCATTGATTTCAATGGTATCATTTTGAAATGCAGCAGTCCACATGCTATGGAAGGGCAAAGCAGTTGTCTTACCAGTTTATTTCATTATTATTTAATTCTCATCTACATGAATACAGCAATAAACTTTACATGGAAATCAGAAGACACTTTTTATTTGTTTGCTAAAAATCTGGGTAGGATGCAAAATTGAATTCTGTTACAATGAAGATAAAATGTAGATGATTATGCTATGTTTATGTAGAAGAAAATATGTGGTAATTTACAAATGATTTAGGGCTTGGTAAAAGTAAATAGTTCACCATGTTCTCATTGCTAGAACAAGGAGTAATCTTAAATGTTCTGGCAATTTTTTTCTAATTATAGAAGAAAAGTTAGGAAATACAGGACAGTCTAAAAATCATCCATAGTCTCATAACTTCAGTTACTTTAAAATTAGAAATGTCACATGTGGCTATAATTTCTTTTTGTCTTTAAGACTTTCTATAATATCACTGTGAAAATAATTTTTGACCAAATTAAGACCAAGTAAAATAGATCATGAATAGTGAGTTAAAATCTTGTTTATTCTTGAAAACAACAATTCATGACATTTTATACATTTATTTATGCAGGACATTTTTATAATTATTAAGGCTAAAATTAAATAATTTGCTATTAAAAATATGCAACTGACAAGAGGCTCTACTTAAATTTCCTGATGTTAAAATAAAAAATCATTTTAATCAAATTATTTTTTAAATTATTGATTTGGCCTTATGTTTCCCACCAGTTGTTTTTACAATGGGACAAGAGCAGGAAATGTTTTCATCCTTAATCTTTCAACTTCAGCCTGCAGTACCAAAATCTGTTCGGCTTGTTCTTTTGAAATATTTGTTAACTTTTGTAGTTGCATCATGTTTTCATATCGTTCTTTGGCAATTTTTTCACAAGTCAGTATAGACCCTATCCCAGAAATGAAAAAGAAAGGATTAGTTGGATTATTTTCTATACTTACAAATATAGAAATAGCACTCCGAATGAATTAAACATGTATAAGGAATGCTGGTGGTTTTATGCAACTGTACAGATTTTAGGAATGGTAAGTACTTTTATTTATTTATTTATTTTTATTTTATTTATTTTTGTTACAGATGTTTCTATTTTTTTCCCCATTGACACCCTTCTCCCCCTCCCTCCCCGCCCTGTCCCCAGCTTTGTTGTCCATGTTCATTGGTCATGCATACATGCATATAAGTTCTGTGGTTTATCTCCCACCCCCACCCCCATAGTAATTACTTTTAAAGAAACCTGCAGTTGAGTAAAGAAAAAATGCTTACCCATGGCATTACAGATGTCTTTTCTCTCTGAGACAGCCACCAATTCTTCTCGTATATTGCAGCTTAGAGTATAATTTGCTACATCTTTTTTATTGCTGAACTTCCCCAGTTTTTTTAGCAATTTTTTGCAGTTTTCCACATTCTTTTTGTGGGTCTGAAGTTTTTGTTCCCATGACACCCCACAAAAATAATTTTGAAAAAATATATTTTATAGACATTATTCTTAAAATTTAAATTTATTATCATTAAGATATCTATTATCACCATATCTCTAGTGCCTGACATAATGCCTGCATATAGAAGGGTACCTAAATGATTTGTTGAAAGATGGAATGGTGTAATACCACATTTTAGAAAATAAGCCTTGCATATTCTTAAGAATGAGAGAAGATTAACATATAGGCTTGAGATTACTTTGTTTTCATTTTATATATGCTACATAATCAAAACTGAACACTTGTTAATCAGTTATGAAAAAACAAAGCCCTTACAATGCCAAGGAAAGACTATCAACATTTCTATCATACAAATCATAACCTAATGTGAAATAGGAAATTCACACACACTCAGATATCCCCCAAGGGGTTAATTCTAATATTAGAAGAAGTGCTTCAGTCTACCAGACTTGTTATGGTTGCAAAGACACTATTCAGGGACTTCTAATTACATTCTGAATATCAGTAAAGGACCTCAATTTTATTCAGTTCTGTTTGAATTCATGATTTGGAACACTATTACTTTGTTCAAATGTTCACAACTGTTGGCATTATAATGATCAATATCTTTGAGACTTACCTTATCTAAAACAGCAATGGTTTGCTCCATTATTCCAATCTGAATGGAAATCAGAGTCTCATAGTTTGGTTCATTTAGGAACTTTGAGAGAAGAAATAAAAACCTTACAATATATGTAAGAACATTTATCTCTATTTCTTTCAATAGATAACTTTATAAAGTAATTCTTAGTTTTGAAAGTTATTTTCATAAAAACTATATATCTAAGATTCACTTGACTTCTATGCTATATTTACCTGTATTTAGCCCACCGAAATGCTCACCTATAAGCTATAATTACAAATGCCTACAGTTTATTTTCTTATTCATTCATTCATTCATTCATTCATTCATTCATTCAAGTCACCAAATATTTATTCTCTCGGTTGAGTCCCACATTATCAGTTAGTTCCAGTTAAAAACACTGAGGGATATATAAATAACGCGGCCTACAGTTAAGAAAAAGAACATGTAGAATTGATTAGTTGCGAGAAAATATGTAAAATGACTCCAAATTCAAGGTTGAGTGGGGATGTAGTTTCTCTGGACTCAGAGAAATCAAAAGGCTTTATGGAGGAGGTGGCAGTTAAGCTAGACACTGAAAAATATATTCGGGATGTGAAAAAAATGAGGAAAGATATTCTAGGGAGAAGAACTGGTAATGAGCAAAAGCACAGAGACAGAATCCTAGATAACAGTAATCAGTTTAGTTTGAGAACATTGATGTATGAGAGGAACTGGGAATAAATTTGAAAAGTTAAGTGGAAGGACACTGAACACCCACCTAAAGATTTCATAATTCATTTGCCAGGTAAGAAGTAGCAGTTTGAAATGTCTGAGCAGAGCAGTAATGTTATTAAAGTGGGATATGAATATTAATCTGACGGTAGTATATAGTATAGATTAGATAGATAACAGAAAGAACCAAGGTGAAGAGACCAGTTAGGAGATTATTATAAAATAGTCTAAATCATTAAAAAGAAAGTTCTGAGCTAGGGTAAAGGCAGTGGGGATAGAGAATGAGGGATATATAGATAAAGCATCTATATATCTTTGGAAGGCAAAGAGGATAATCAAAGATGTCTACAACTTTAAGCCTGAATGAGTGGCTGAAAAGAACAGAAGCAAATTAAGAAGAGTTGCTATTGGGAGGTGTGAAATATAGAAATACAGTTTGAGGAAGGTCGGGGCCAGAGAGCTTGAATTGGAATTGAATTAGAATCCAGAGAGGTTGGATTAGTCTTTGAATTTATTTTTTCTTTAATATGTTTTTATTGATTTTTTGAGAGAGAGAGGGGAAAGGATAGAGAGACAGAAACATTGATGTGAGAGAGAAACATTAATCGGCTGTCTCCTGCATGCCCCCAATTGGGGATTAAGCCCACAACCCACACATGTGCCCTGATGGGGAATCGAACCTGGATTTCTCAGTCCATGGGACTGAAGCTCAATCCACTGAGCCATACCAGCCAGGCAGATTAGTCTTTTAAAAGTAATCACTGAAGTTAGAAAAACAAAGATCACCGAAGGAGAGGGCATGGAAAGAAACACAAACAGAGCTAAGGGCATAATCTTTTTCTAAATTTTTTTCTTTTTATCCTCACCTGAAGAAATTTTTCCATTTTTTGTTCAGATAGAGTGGGAGGGAGAGAGAGGAAGAGAGAGAAAGAGAGAGAGAAACATCGACGTGAAAGGGACACATCGAGTGGCCGCCACCCTCACGACCAACCAGGGCCGGGGACAAACCACAACCGAGGCACGTGCCCTTAGTAGAAACCAAACCCGGGTCTTTCTGGACCGCAGGCCAATGCTCTAACTGCTGAGCCAAACTGGCCAGGGCTAAGGGCAGAATCTTAAAAAAAATTGGTATATTTAAGAGTTAGAAGCAAAAGAGAAATTAGTAAAACAGGCAGAGTAGTTTTGACATGTTGGAAGCAAAAAAGGAGAAAACAGGGATGATAAAAGCAAAAGGAATGGGCAATCAAGATGGTCAAATGCTATAGAGAATTGAAGGATGGTGATGACTGGGAAAATAACCACTATATTTGACAATTAGGAAATCCTCAGTGAACTGCAAGATAGAACTATACAACCGAATGGATCACAAAGAACCCAAGGCAGCAAATGCAAATTACTGAAAGAAAAAGAGTTCGTAGACACACTGTGAAATACTACTGGCTTAGAATATACTTGAAATCATAGAGGTTTCTTATCAAATACTTTTTGAATAAATAAATGCATTAATAAATGAAATTAAAATTATATAGTGGGGCAAGGAGAACTCACCTTTTGACGTTCTCTTGAAAAAAATAGCATCTGAATATCCCAAGCCTTCTGATTTAGATCTTCCATTTCCATTTCCATTTTCTTATGTTCCCACTCAATCTGAAATATTCCTTTGTGGATATCTTTACTTTCCGTCATGCTAGCAACTTTCTTTTGTCCTTGAGTCTTAAAAAAAAAAAGTATGTTCTGATATTCATATAATATGACACTGCATAAAGAATACAGAATATTTGCAGCTGTATTCTATAATTAGAAAATACTTGGATCACAGAGATAATTTTATCTGCTTTAAAATGCAGCACATATTAAAAAGTACTTCTTGGGCAAAATTTGATCACTATAAAGTATGATAGTTAATAAACAGAAGGAGTTATAAGGTAAGTTTGAATGGCATTTATATGCCAATGATTAGGCAAACCAATCACTAATCTTTCGATCTGTATGTATTTGCAGCCTGGCTCTCTGCCTTGCTTCCTGAAGCTATAGATAAACTGTTGAAAACAGAGATAAAGAGAAAGTCTCAAAGGCAGACACATTACCTGAAGGAGAACAAAGATTTTTTTAAAAATGTAGTAGGCATCATGTCAGAAAACTCTGTATGCCAGAAGAAAATGAACACCGTTGTCATGAAGATGGAAGAATAAAAGAATTTGATACAGCAAGTAATATGTTGTTGTTTTTCTCTTTTAAAAATGATAATTAGCCCTGGATGGTTTGGCTCAGCAGTTAGAGTTGTCAGCCCTCGGACCAGAGTCATCGGTTGGATTCCGGTCAAGGGCACGTATCTTGGTGTGGTTCGTCCCAGGCCCTGGTAGGGGTCATGCGGCGGGGCAACTAACTAGTCCATGCGTCTCTCTCACACAATCTTTCTTTCTCTCTCTCTCCTTCCTTCCCACTCTATCTGAAGATAAATAGAAAAATGTCCTCAGGTGAGGATTAAAAAAAAAAAAAAGATAATTACCCGAATGACAGAATTCAGGTCTTCAATTATGTTTTTGTTGATGAGAATTGCATCAGAATACTCCAGCAATAACTGGAAATTTTCCAGTTCTACTTGTCCTTGTTTAAGGAGAATTTGGATTGTCAAATTCAAGTGGAATTTCACTTTCTCTTCCTGTAATCTGAATTGAAAAAGACTTCAAAGTAAGTAGTTAGTTGTAATATATTTATATTTCAAATTTCACCGATTATCTGAGAATATCCAAACTTAAATTTTCTTCAGCCAAAGGAAAACATGCCGGAAATTAATGTGGAATATATTTTCCCAATGATGAGCTTTCTTAGAAGTCTCTATGCTTCCTCTTCTCATTGATATGGAATCACACTTCTGCTGCTCAGAGAGTGGTAGGGACAAAAATACCTTCATAAAGTTTTACTTTATAATTATAAGATATTAATATAATTGTGATGGTAAGTGGAAGAAAATAGAGATGCTACGAAATAATAAATCTATTGAAGTTCTGACTATATACTGACTTCTGATATTATATTAACAATGTTTCATCTACATGCTACTTATCAAAACAACTTCTGAGTAATTCATATTTCTCCTTATAACCTAGATCTGAAAATTATGTATAATGTTAAATCTGGGGATATCAGAGAAGTATTTATCAATATGACAGTAAATATAGCCAAAAGTAAAGCAAGGACAAAACAGTAACTCTATCACTCAGCAAAATACAACAAGCTCCCCTAAAGAAAAATATATTAGCTGGTTAGGTGTCTAAATGGAAAATTTTTGAATATCTGCTTAATTTTCCATATGGTTGTTTGTGTGGCTTGAGCCCAAAAGTACTCATTAGCAGACACAAATTCTTTGTATTTTTATATGGAAGGAGCAGATGAAAAAATACTAAGATTTTTCCCCTAACGTTACCTATTTGCTATAATAGCAATGGAACATGTAGGCAAGTTCCATTCTGAAATAAGGTGTTATGTAACAAAATGCACTTTTTCAAAGAGAAATTTTAAAGCCCGAGGAGATAGATACATCTTTGCCAGCTGTAAGCCAGTGATTGGCATTCTTCCCCCAGGATAACACAAGCTAACTTAGTCCCAGCTTAGACTTTGAATAAATGAACATGAATGAAAGGTTTAATTTACAGATTGAATTCATGGGACACTTTTTCAATTTCCCGTTGCATCTTCTCATCCTCTTCAACTCTCCTCCGGAGGAAAGCCATCATTTCCATCAAACCAGCTGCTTTCTGCTTTACCTGAAAAAACCAAGCCACACACGTCTCAGAACATGTGGAGATTTAGAAATAAAAGCAAACTAATTTTTAAAGAACTTTAGAAAACATACATCTTTTAACTGTTACACAAAACCTTAACAACCTCATTTTTCTAAGAGATTAATAAAAATTTAAGTCCTTGCCATTATGTAATAATACAAGATTTCTAAAACTTACATGGTATGTCCCATGAATAATTTGAAAAGTATCAAATATGCTTCTTGCTGAAAATCAAATATGCAAACAACTAGAATTTTTCTTATATCTCATTTTAAAATTTGTTCTCATCACATTAGATAAAATTATAAAATCATAGATACTTTATAAAAAATATGCCAATCTGATGTCTGTGGCACTGAACTTAGGGAATTTGGGCAAGGGGAGGTAGGAGGTAGTCAGGAACCAACAAGAGGAAGTATTCTCTTTCCAATTAAATTAAACACACTCTCAACTTGTTACCCTTTGCTACATTTTAAAAATATTCTAGCAAAACTATAAAGCGATTCCTGGTGAAATGTAATTCTAATCTATGAAAAGTGATAAGGATTACTCATGATCAAGGCAGAGAAAAGGGAAGTTAAATCTACAACAGTGGTATCCAAGAGAAATACAATGTGAGCCATAAATACAAGCCACATAGGTAATTTTAAATTTTGTAGTAGCCATGTTATAAAAAGCTCAATTAAACAGGTAAAATTAATTTTACTAATATATTTTATTTAACACAACATATCCCAAACAATATCATTTCAACCCGTAATAAATGTAAAAATATTGACACATTTTATTTTATTTTTTTTCATTATTTTAAGTCTTCTAAATCTGTGTATCTTCTCCATAGCATGTCTCAATTAGGACTAGCTATATTTATTTCAAGTAAACAATAACCACATATAGCAAGTGACTATAATTTTGGACAGTGTGTGTCTAGATACAACTACAGACCTATACTTAGCCATCAGTAGCACTAAGGTTAATAATTATTATTCTTATTAATATTACTGACTACTACCCTAGCAGAAAAACCTAAATAATTAGATTTTCTGGAAGTATTGAGCACCATAAACTATATATTTTATATTAGTACACTAAATAAAATGAAATGAAATAAAATGTTATTACATACTTTTTGTTCATTTTCCACTTTCATTCGTCTGGTCACACAGAAATGATTCCAGACCAAGGGGTCCAACCCTTCTGGCATGTTATGAATATTGTCCAACTCATCCATAGCTTTCATTAACTGGGCAAAGGCATCTTTATTCAATTTCCCAGATCCTGGTCGCTCTCCAAAAGGCACAATACTGGTTGCATCTGAGTGCGTTTTCGGTTTGTGAATCCTGGTATTATCAATAAAAGCCCATCAATCTTTCACATTTTCACACATACAAAAAAATCAATGTTAAATAATATGATCCTAAGCATAGGTATGACATTACATAACACTTTCCTTTGGCACTTGAAGGCGGGTGAGTGGATTATTCCAAAGAGAAAAGCATCCATTTTCTCTGGATCCCCAGATGTGACCTTGGCTAAACTATAGATGTTCCCTAACTGTGATCAGCACTGGCAAATTTACCTGATTTAAAAATGTGTCCCTTGAAGGAGAGAGAGAGTTTCTGGGACAAGTAAAATCCACAGGAATTCATCACCATTCAACCAACTTTACAAGAAATGTTAAAGGGTTCTTTAAAAAGGGCCATAACCAGAAATAAGAACATATGGGAATTGAAAAATACACCCTTCTGTGTATTTTAAACTGATAGGTAAATGCCCAAGAGAAGAGTGAATGTTCCCTTTTCTGTCCCACATCCTCTGCTGGGATCCTTTATGCAGGTGAGTAGCATAGACTAGGTTCAAATACACGCACAACTTGAGAAGCATTTCTTTTTACTGACATTACTAGGTTAGTTTTGTTTCCCTGGGCTGTGGTTGGGAAGGGAACTCACTGTCAAAGGCTTTACAATACACTGTGAAGTTACTATTGTTATCCTCTTTCTCTAGATGAGAAAGCGAGGCACTGAGAGAAGCTACTGGTCCAATGTCACAGGTCTGATGGTGAAGTTAGGATTTAAGGCTAATTCTGTTTGACAAGAAAACTTATGCTTTTTCCACTGCTTCCTCCCAATATATGAGAAGTCTTGCTACTCTCTTCACAAGGCTTATTATAACTCATTACTTTAAAAATAGGGAAATCAGAATAAGAAGCATGTTCTTCAGGTTGCATGTAACCTGTCAAAGGTTAGAGAATATGTTTGTATCTCAGACACAAATGAGCCTATACCTTTGTGACAAATTCCTGATTTCTAGATTACATTTAAAAATTATGGAAATATAAATATATAAAATTTGGAAATATGCGGGGATGTAATTCTAATGCTACTCTCAATATAAACATCAGATATTTCAGAACTCTTTTGATAATGGTTATTTTCAAGAATTTATACTGGCATTTTTCTAATTTTGTCTTGAATATAATCATATGAGATGCCCTGAGAAAAAGCAATTTTTGGTCAAATAAATTTGGAAAACACCATTTACTCTATTTTTTATACTTGGAGATCCAAAGGCCAAAAATAAGTTCTGAGCAGTTCTTGTAAAGAAAACTGTTCAGCCCCGGCCGGTTTAGCTCAGTGGTAGAGCATTGACCTGTAAATCAATGAGTCCCGGATTCGATTCCAGCCAAGGGCACATACCTGGGTTGTGGCTCGTCCCTGGTGTGCGGGAGGCAACCAGTCGATGTGTCCCTCTCACACTGATGCTGCTCTCTCCCCCCCTTTCTCTCCCTCTCTGCCTGAAGATAAACATAGAAAGATCCTTGGGTGAGGATAACTAAAAAAGAAAAAAAAAAAACTTCAACTTTTTTTTTTTTTAAAGCCAGTGTTTCCTCAAACCTATTTTGTCCTGGAAGCCTTTTACATGTAATTCCACAAGGGACACATATTTGCTGGAAAAAAATCTTAGGAAAAACTTTATAAGTCTATGCCATCTATGACTTAAGAGAAACTACTTTCTTGTATAAAATACAGCCTATAATTTCACTATGCTTACCAACTTGACTATTTTTAAATAATGAAAAGAAATGATTATTCTTCATTGCCTACCTTAAGATATAAGAATAATATAAAAAAAAACTGAGTTATGATCAAGACACTTGAAGATTTTCACATAAAATATGTTAGACTTAATATTTCCATCTAATTGGGAGAGAAAGATGAAACTGAATAACATTCCTGTTTATTTACAGACTTTTCTTCAGAAACATGATAGCAAAGGAGAAACAAACCTTGGTCGGCGTTTAAAAAGTTTGTAGAGTATATCCACCTGATGACCGGGAATTTCAGAAAATTCCTTTTTAAAGCTGCGATCCAGAACCTAAGCACAAACAGATCATTGCCAGGATTGCAATTGTTTCAGACACATTTTATTTGTTGTCAGATATAGAGTTGTATCACTTTGATTTTAAAAATCCATGGTTCATAAAGTAGACTTGTTAGGGAGCGACCATTCAACGTGCAAAGATGTCTCAAAGATTTATTTTGAATAGGAAGCACATCAGTGAATTAAAAATATTATTTCATATAAGAGGTCTTAGAAATCATTCAGAACTGAAGTTTTACAAAATAATATTTACCTGTAGAACATGCACGGTACTCTAATCTATTCTTGTTCTATTCTGTCCTATTTTGTTCTGTTCTATTCTATTCTACTCCATTCCATTCCATCCCTCTTTATATACTTTTCTATTATATTATTTTCCATTATAAAACTGCTGGTCATAGTCTACCAAATTGATATCATAACCAACCAGTGGGGCCTGCAACTTGAAGTTTGATAAAGCCCTAGAGTCTGGATGATCTCTCTCATTTTTGTGCAAGAGAGGCTTAACCAGAGAAATTTACAAAAATCTATTTTACACAGTTATTTTCAGAATTGTACAATGACATAGTGAAGTTAACTCATAACTGAGAATTATAGTAGGAGAAAATCTATGAGGAAATTAAATTATATTCCTTTTACCCTTCCCTCAAATCCAGGCAGCAGCAACTCTACTGCATGGGTGAGTGGGTAGGACTAGGGCTCTCACCTTGTCTTCTGCCAGTAAGTTGTCATAGTGTTCCTTGTATGCATCGAGGTCTTCTCTAGATTTCCGGATGGCCTCTAAGGTCTGGCTCTACAATAACATTAGGAGTAGCCAGTTGTAAGTGAATATTTTTCAGAATAAACAAAAATACTGGGGTACTAAAAAGAACAAGGAATTTCCTAGTATAAGATAAATGTGTCAGTGCAGTATCCATTGTAGATAACATTTATAGAATTAAACCAATGGGAGACTTTGAAAGAACAAACATCCCATCACCTGTTTCTGAGTATAGCTAGCTCTGCATGTGAGTGTGGAAGTGACTACAGAGGATGCTACATTCCTGGCAGGGCAGTATGGATGATAAAATCTCACAGGCTTGGAGTTGCCTAGACCTGGATTCTAAGAGACTAAATACATTAAAGGACAATGGCCACACCAAATATGAAAATAGAACTCTGACCCACAACCTCTGCAGCAATTGGCCTCAAACTATTAATACTTGGAGAGACTTCTGGTGAAGATGGCGGCGTAGGTAAACGAGGTATTGCGTCCTCCCACAACCACATCAAAATTACAACTGAACTACAGAACAACCACCATTCAAAACCGCCTGAAATCAAGCTGAATGGAAGTCCTACAACTACGGAATTAAAGAAACAGCCACATGAAGACTGGTAGGAGGGGCGGAGGCACGACCAGCTTGTCCCACACTCACATGTGGCGGATAAAAATTAGGATACCTTGGCCTGGAAGGTCCTCCCTGATGACTGAGGGGTCACCGTCCCACACCAGGTACCCCGCTCAGGGTTCCAGTGCCAGGAAGAAAAGTCCCCATAACTTCTGGCTGGAAAAACCAGTGGGAACTAAGACTCAGGGAGGCCGAGGTGGCTGGAGCCCCAGGCAGCTCCTATTAAAGGGCCCGAGCACGGACTTAACTCAGACTTGCTCCCTCCAGGCTCCAGCATGGGGGAGGCAGCATGGAAGGCACCAGAGACATATGGAAAAAAATTGAGCTGTCTGGCATTGGAGTGAGGGCTGGAAAGGCAGCCTTTCCTGGACAGACATGCTGTTAGAGGCCTTTGTTCCTTTGGTGAGCCCTTCCCTGGGAGGGCAAATGCTGCCATATCTGGAACTCCAGCAACCTGGCTCACACAGTTTTCCCCGCCCTGGTGATTCCCTGAGGCTCCGCCCCACCCAACTTTCAGGCCCACCAAGCTGTTGCCAGTTGCTTAACCATAGGATTGGCCTGTCTTGGATCCTGCTTCAGGTTTTCCTAAATTCTTTCAAACAAGCAGTATCTGGTCTCAGCTAGCCCCATGTCTCTCATTAAGTAATACATAGAAACAAACACAGGGAGGCAGCCAAAATGAGAAGATGAAGAAACAGGTTCCAAATGAAAGAACAGAACAAAACTCCAGGAAAAGAACTAAGCAAAATGAAGATAAGCAACCTAACAGATGCTGAGTTCAAAACAATGCTTATAAGGATGCTCAGTGGACTTAGTGAGAACCTCAGCAAACTTAGTGAGGGCCTCAAGAGCATCAAAAAGGACCAGTCAGAAATGAAGGAGGCGCTAACTGAAATAATAATTTACACAGATTCAATAGTAGAAGGTATAGCCAACAAACAAATCATTGATTTGGAATATAAGGAAGCAAAAAAATGCCCAATCAGAACAGCAAAAAGAAAAAAGAATCCAAAATAATGAGGATAGTGTAAGGAGCCTCTGGGACAACTTCAAGGGTGCCAACATTCGCATCTCACGGGTGCCAGAAGGAGAAGAAAGAGAACAAGAAATCGAAAACCTATTTGAAACAACAATGGCAAAAAACTTCCCTAACTTGGTGAAGAAAACAGACATACAAGTCCAGGAAGCACAGAGAGTCCCAAACAAGATGAAACCCAAGAGGCCCACACCAAGACACATCGTCATCAAAATGCAAAAGGTTCAAGACAGAGAGAATCTTAAAAGCAGCAAGAGAAAAGCAGTTAGTTACCTACAAGAGAGTTCCCATAAGACTGTCAGCTGATTTCTCCAAATAAACTTTGCAGGCCAGAAGGGAGTGGCAAGAAATATTCAGAGTGACGAAAAGCAAGAACCTACAACCAAGATTACTCTATCCTGCAAAGCTGTCATTTAGAATCGATGGCCACATAAAGAGTTTCCCAGACAAGGAAAAGCTAAAGGAGTTCATCACCACCAAACCATTATTATATGAAATGTTGAAGGGTTTTCTTGAAGAAAACTATGAACAAACAAAATGGCAATGAACACTTATCTATTGACAACGGAATCTACAAACAAAATGAACAAGCAGAACAGAAGCATTCTCATAGATACAGAGAAGTTTTGTTGGTTGCCAGATGGGAAGGGGGTGGGGAAATGGGTGAAAATGGTAAAGGGATTAAGAAGTACAAATTGGTTGTTAGATTGACAAACCTCAAAGGGAAGGGGGGTTGGGGGGGTGGGAAGAAATAAACCAAAGAACTTATATGCATAACCAATGGACACAGACAAGAGTGTGGGGAAAGGCAGGAGGGGGTTGGGAATGGGGAGGAGGAAGTCAATGGGGGAAAATGAGGAACATCTGTAATACATTCAACAATAAAGATAAATTTAAAAAAAGACGTGGAAAATAAGTTTCAGCTTTTTTAATTCTTGCCACCATTTCCAACTTAGGATCAACCAGAGAAAGCCAATATACTCCCCAAACCAATCACATAGGTTGCCGAATTTCTAGTTAATGCGTCCCCAGCTTCTTCATGTCAACAACTTCAGATCAGAGGGTACCTGAAGCCTGCTCTCTTCTTTCATTATGCCTTTCCATCCCTGCCTGCCTTTGAGTATCTCCCAAACACAAATATGGCGGCTGATTCCCTTATTATACCAAGCTCTGAATAAATAGTCTGTTTATTCTCATTTGGATGGTCTTTGTTTATCACAGTTACAGTTCCCACTATATTACATGCTAGTGGGTGACTTAGGCATGTTACCAGTCTCTCTGAGATGGTCTCCACATCTTCGAGGAATGCCAATACCTTGAAGGGTTGTTATGAATAGGGTTGTTAGAAGGTGCTTTGCCTATGCTGCTTAACAGACGCTTAGCAAAAAGTAAGCACCTATGTCATATATGATACTTTAAATCTGTCTTTTATTAATATAACTGTCTTTTATTAATATTACCAATAAAAGCTGACATATTTTGAAAATTATGTGACAAGCATTTTTCTCCCATTGTCTCTTCAATGAAACATACCTATTCATGCTCCTATTTATTAGATAAAGTTTTTCAGATTACAACAGATTTTTTTTTAGAGAGAGAAACATTGGTTGCCTTCCAAATGCACCCCAACTGGGGATCAAACCCACAACCTGGCACGCGCCCTAACCAGGAATCAAAATTGTGACCTTTCGGTGTACAGGAAAATGCTCCAATCAACCGAGTCACACTGGCCAGGGCAGAATACGTCAGCTTTTTATGCTATAAACTAACCCACTGCTTACAGTCAAACTAGTAAAACTTAGGTGCCAAATGGTCCAGAGAGAACAATATTCCCTAGTGAAGAGCTTGCAAATAGCTTAAAAGACTATATGTCTTGCTCAAAGTCCCACAGCCAGTCAGTGGTTAAAAGCAGGTGTTTTCAACCATGAAGTTATATGGCCTCATTTTATAAACCATATGTCAGAAGAGAGGTATATAGTTCTTGTGACTAAATGATTGCAAATGCAGAATCACATAACTTTACTAACAAATTGGAGTGGGCGCTTTCACCTGAACCTGGAGCAAAGTCCCAGACAGACAGCCATGGAATGCACACAGTTGAGCAGGAATATGGAAGCAAGGAAGGATCTAGGCATGTGTGCTCTTGTTAACAAGGAGCACATCTATCAAAAAATGCTGTACTTGGGTATCAGATACTATACTTACTTTCTCCTCCCGCTTCCTTGTAATATAGTTGTTTAGGAATGTTTCTCTGGAGCTTATTTCTTCATCCAACAGTAAAGAAAAAAGAAGGTTATTTATTTTCAATTCCTCCTGTAGAAATAGTGAAAAGGGGGGGGGGGTGATCAATATTCCTACTCAAAAAGGATTTTTCTATTGAGGGCCAGAGACCTGGCACTCATCAAGCAAGTTTATGACATACAAGTAAGAAATCTCCTTTATAAGAAAAAGGGAATATAAACTATTACAATAACTACTCAGTTGTTTTATACTTTTCATTGTAAGATAAAACACATATACAGAAAAATGAGTTGTTATAAAGCTAAACACCCCTGTGGTCACCATCCAATTCAATAAAAAGAACTTTCCACTGCCCAAAGCCCCTTCTATGTGTCCCTATCATAATCTCAACCCCAATAATAACCACTGTCCTGATTTACAGTTATCACTTTCTTATGTTTCCTTATGGCTTTATTACCCAAGAATGTATCTCCAAGCCCCATAATATAACTTATCCATTAAAAAAGATTGTCACATTAGCCTGGCTGGTGTGGCTCACTGGTTGAGCATTGATCTATGCACCAAGAGGTCACCAGTTAGATTCCCAGTCAGGGCACATGGGTTGTGGACCAAATCCCCAGTGGGGTGTATGAGGGAGGTGACCTATCAATGTTCTCTCTCACTGATGTTTCTATCTCTCTCTCCCTTTCCCTTTTTCTCTCTTTAAAATCAATAAAGAAAAAATATTTTTAAAAAGATTGTCACATTTTTAAAGTCTCTAATACTCTACAGGTTCCCTTCCATCCCTTTCTTTTTCTTACATTCATTTGTAATTATCTACAGTTTCAACTAGTCTGGTTTTTTTGTTTGTTTGTTTGTTTTTTAAGTTTTATTTAGGATTTTCTTTTTTTTTTTATTTTGTTTTAAAATTTTTTTTTTTAATTTTGTTACAGATGTTTCTCCTTTTTTACCCCATTGACTCCCTCCTCCCCATCCCCCCCACCCGTCCCCGGCTTTGTTGTCCATGTCCATTGGTTATGCATACATGCATATAAGTTCTGTGGTTTATCTCTTTCTACCCCCACCACCCCTTCTTCTGAGGGTTGTCAGTCTGTACCCTACTTCCATGTTTCTGGGTCTACCATATTCCTCAGACTGTTATGTTCATCATATTCCGTATATAAGTGAGATCATGTGGTATTTGTCTTTTTGTGCTTAGCTTGTTTCACTTAGGATAATACTTTCCAGGTCCCTCCATGTCGTCTCAAAGGATAAGAGATCTTTCTTTCTTACCGCTGCATAGTACTCCATTGTGTATTTGTACCACTGCTTTTTTATCCATTTGTCTACTGATAGACACTTGGGCTGTTTCCAGATCTTAGCTATTGTAAATAGTGCTGCTATGCATAGGGGTACATATATTCTTCCTGATTGGTGTTTCAGGCTTCTTAGGGTATATTCCTAGAAGCGGGATGACTGGGTCAAATGGAAGTTCAATTTTTAGTTTTTTGAGGTAACACCATAGTGTTTTCCATAGTGGCTGCACCAGCCTGCATTCCCACCAGCATTGCACTAGAGTCCCCTTTTCTCCACACCTTCCCCAACACTTGTTGTTTGATGATTTGTTGATGGCGGCCATTCTGACAGGTGTGAAGTGATACCTCGTTGTTGTTTTAATTTGCATCTCTCTGATGCTTAGTGATGTTGAGCATTTCTTCATATGTCTCTTGGCCATTTGTATGTCCTGTTTGGAGAGGTGTCTATTCAGCTCCTCTGCCCATTTTTTAATTGGGTTCTTTGTCTTCCTTTTGTTGAGTTGTATGAGTACGCTATATATTTTGGAAATTAACCCTTGATCTGATGTATCATTGGCAATGATGGTCTCCCAAACAGTGGGTTGCCTTTCCATTTTGATGGTTGTTTCATTTGCTGTGCAGAAACTTTTTAGTTTGATGTAGTCCCATGTGTTCATTTTTTCCTTTGTTTCTGTTGCCTTAGGTGATGTATCAATGAAAATTCTGCTGCGTATGATGTCCGAAATTTTGTTGCCTACATTTTCTTCTAGAATTTTTATGGATTCACGGGTCACATTTAAGCCTTTTATCCATTTTGAGTTTATTTTTGTGTATGGTGTAAGTTGATGGTCTAGTTTCATTTTTTTTTTTTTTTTTTTGCATGTAGCTGTCCAATTTTCCCAACACCATCTATTAAAGAGGCTGTCTTTACTCCACTGTATGCTCTTGCCACCTTTGTCAAATATTAATTGAGCATATTGTCTAGGGTCCATTTCTGGGTTCTCTATTCTGTTCCACTGGTCTATATGCCTATTCTTGTGCCAGTATCAGGCTGTTTTGATTACAGTCGCTTTGTAGTATAACCTGATATCTGGTATTGTGATCCCACCTACTTTGTCCTTCTTTTTCAAAATTGTTGTGGCTATTCGGGGTCTTTTTTGCTTCCATACGAACTTTTGAAGTATTTGTTCTAGTTCTGTGTAATATGTCGCTGGTATTTTGACGGGGATTGCACTGAATCTATAGATTGCTTTGGGTAATATGGACATTTTAATGATGTTAATTCTTCCAATCCATGAACAAGGTATGTGCTTCCACTTTTTTATATCTTCCTCTATTTCTTTTTTCAATGTCCTGTAGTTTTCTGCAAATGGGTCCTTTACTTCTTTGGTTAAGTTTATTCCTAGGTATCTTAATTTTTTTGCTGCAATGATAAATGGGATTGTTTTTTCAGTTTCTCTTTCTGTGAGTTCATCGTTGGTATATAAGAATGCCATCGATTTCTTGACATTAATTTTGTATCCTGCTACTTTGCCAAATTCATTATTAAGTCTAGTAGATTTTTGATGGAGTCTTTAGGGTTTTCTATGTATAATATCATGTCATCTGCAAATAATGACAGTTTCACTTCCTCCTTTCCAATTTGGATCCCTTTTATTTTTTCTTCATGTTTAATTGCTGTGGCTAAGACTTCCAGTACTATGTTAAATAAGAGTGGCGAAAGTGGACATCCCTGTCTTGTTCCTGTTCTTAAGGGAAATGTTTTTAGTTTCTGCCCATTGAGTATGATGTTGACTGTAGGTCTTTCATATATGGCCTTTATTATGTTGAGATATGATCCCTCTATTCCCACATTGCTGAGCATTTTTATCAGAAATGAATACTGGATTTTGTCTAATGCTTTTTCAGCATCTATTGATATGATCATGTGGTTTTTATTCTTCATTTTGTTTATGTGGTGTATCACATTTATTGATTTGCAAAACTATACCAGCCTTGCATCCCGGGATGAATCCCACTTGGTCATGGTAAATAATGTTTTTGATGTATTGCTGGATCCGATTTGCTAGAATTTTGTTCAGGATTTTGGCATCTATGTTCATCAGGGATATTGGCCTGTAGTTTTCTTTCTTTGTAGTGTCTTTTTCTGGTTTTGGAATTAGAATTATGCTGGCCTCGTAGAACGAGTTTGGAAGTCTTCCTTCTTCTTCAATTTTTTGAAATAGTTTGAGGAGAATGGGTGTTAGTTCTTTTTTGAATGTTTGGTAAAACTCCCCCATGAAGCCATCTGGGCCTGGGCTTTTGTTTGCTGGGAGAGTCTTGGTTTCCGCTTCAATTTCCTTAGTTGTTATTGGTCTGTTCAAGTTTTCTATCTCTTCCTGGTCCAGTTTTGTGAAACTGTGTTTCTAGAAATTTGTCAATTTCGCTTAGATTGTCGAATTTGTTGCCATATAATTGTTCATAGTAGCTGTTAACAATCTTTTGTATTTCTGTGGTGTCAGTTGTTACTTCTCCTCTTTCATTTCTGATATTGTGCATTTGAGTTCTCTCTCTTTGTTTCTTGGTGAGTCTAGCTATGGGTCCATCAATCTTGTTTAGCTTTTCAAAAAACTAGCTCATTGTTTCATTGATCCTTTGAATTTTTTTTTGGTCTCTGTCATTTATTTCTGCTCTGATCTTTACTATTTCCTTCCTTCTACTTGCTCTGGGGTTTTCTTTTTGTTTGCTTTCTAATTCTTTAAGTTGTGAGGTTAGACTGTCAATTAGAAATTTTTCTTGTTTCTTGAGGTAGGCCTGTAGTACTATAAACTTCCCTCTCAGAACTGCTTTTGCTGCATCCCATACATTTTGTGTTGTTGTGTGTTCATTTTCATTGGTTTCCACGAAGTTTTTAATTTCTTCCTTGATTTTCTCGGTAACCCATTCATTGTTTAATAACATGTTATTTAGCCTCCATGTGTTCAAATGTCTTTGCATATTTTTGTTGCAATTGATTTCTAGTTTCATGCCATTGTGATCTGAGAAGATGCCTGATATGATTTCAGTCTTCTTGAACTTGTAGAGATTTAGTTTGTGTCCTATCATGTGGTCTATCTTTGAGAATGTCCCATGTGCACTTGAGAAGAATGTGATTTCTGTAGGTTTGGGGTGTAATTTTCTGTAGATATCTATTAAATCCATTTGGTCTAGTGCTTCATTTAGAGTCTCTGTTTCCTTGCTAATTTTTTGTCTAGAGGATCTATCCAGTGGTGTCAACGGGGTGTTGAAGTCCCCTGCTATGATTGTATTGCTGTCGATTTCTCCTTTGAAGTCCTCCAGAAGATTTTAAATATATTTTGGTGCTCCTATATTGGGTGCATATATGTTTATCAAGGTTATATCTTCCTGTTGGATAGATCCTTTCAATATTATGTAGTGGCCTTCTTTTTCTCTAGTTATTGCCTTCATTTTGAAATGTATTTTATCAGATATGGGTATTGCTACCCAGTTTTTTTTGCTTTCCATTTGCTTGGAAAATTTTTTTCTATCCCTTCACTTTCAAGCTCTGTGAGTCTTTTGTTCTGAGGTGGGTCTCTTGTAAAGAACATATAGATGAGTCATGCTTTCTTATCCCATCAGCTACTCTGTGTCTTTTTATCGGAGCATTCAGTCCATTTACATTTAAGGTGGTTGTTGATATGTTCTTATTTATTGCCATTTTTGTTTAGTTTGGTCATATTTTTCTTCCTATTTCTTCTACTAATTACAGCTGTCCTTTTAACATTTCTTGCTGGTTTGGTGCTAATGTATTCCCCTAGCTTTTGTCGTCTGGGAAGCTCTTTATTTGACCTTCTATTTTGAATGACAGCCTTGCTGGGTGGAGTAGCCTTGGATTCAGATCATTGTTCTTCATGACCTTGATTACTTCATGCCATTCCCTTCTGGCCTGTAGTGTTTCTTGTGAGAAGTCAGCTGAGAGCCTTATGGGGTTTCCTTTGTAGGTAACCTGTTGCTTATCTCTTGCTGCTTTTAGGATTCTTTGTCTTTAATTTTTGGCATTTTAATTACTATGTGTCTTGGTGTGGGCCTGTTTGGGTTCTTGTTACTTGGGGCTCTCTGTGCTTCTTGAATTTGAATGCCTTCTTCCTTCACCAAATCAGGGACGTTTTCTGTCACTATTTCTTTGAATACATTCTCTAACCCTTGCTCATTCTCTTCTTCTTCGGGGACTCCTATGATGCGAATATTATTGCGTTTCCAGTTATCCCACAGTTCTCTTAAGCTGTCTTCCTGTTTTTTAATAGTTTTTTCCTTTTGGTTTTCTGATTGGTTGATTTTTTTCTACCCTGTCTTCTAATTCACTGATCCGGTCCTCATATTCCTCTACTCTGCTCTTTAGACCTTCCAATGTGTTCTTTATTTCTGATGTCACTCTTAATCTCTCTTCTTGGTGGTTTTTAATTTCCAGTTGGTTTATTTTCAGCATCTCTATGTCCTTACTCATGCTGTTGAGCTTCCTCAAGATCATGGCTCTGAATTCTAGCTCTGTTAACTTGCCTAACTGCTCCACATTGATATCATTTTCGGTGGAGGTCTCTTGTTCTTTCATTTGGCTTTTGTTTCTGTGTTTCACCATTTTGGCTATCACAGTGGGCTTTGGAGTCTGCCAAGTTTTTCCTGTGGGTATGGGTATTGGTGTTCTGCTGTTTGTGGCTCCCTCTCCTGGGTTTAGATGAGCAAGGGAGGACCCACCTTAAACACCACTGTCAGGTCTTACTTTCCTGGTTAGGGTTGCTAGCCCAGGAATGGTACTGTTATCTTCTAGCTTTTTGCCTGGAGGCTAGCAGTCCAGGTTATTTGAAGAGTTTTGGGTTGTTAGTTGATTGAAAAACTCCCTCAGGTGCTCAGCATAAGGGATTTCCCAAGGGTGGGGCAGATGCTAGTTGTTAGTGAGCCTCAATTAGCATTTCAATGGCCCACATGGTGGGGTTGGATCTCCGAGGGAGGGGCTGCTGCCTCTCCCCAGAGCCCTGGGAAGTAGCAATATGGCCACTGTTCTGCGTTGCAGCAACTCAGCAAAAGCTCTGAGCGCCCTCCAAATCCTGAGTGTCCCCACACAGTTCAAGTCCAGTCTGCCCTCCCTCTGCCGGAGCCCAAGGCGAGTGGCTGTGGCTATTTTAGCCTCTGTCCCGGCTCTGCTCTTTGGAGCCGCTTGTGTGTTTAACCCACGGGGGCTGCTCCCAGCTAAGGCCACTGCTGTCTGTGGGCTCCCAGCCCCCGTATTGTGCCTTCGAAATCCTACCAGGATTGAGTCAGTTTCCCTGGGTATATGGTCCTCACAAGCTGCTTTTCTGTTGCTTTTTCCCGTCGATCTGTCTGTGTTATAGTTGTAATTCCAGTTTGGTCCTGGGAGACGGTCTGTGTAGCTTCCATTCATTCCACCGCCAGTTTGGAATCACTAGTCTGTGTTTTACTAGCTGTATATCTGTGGTGAATTTATCACGGTCCTTCATTTCCTGAAAATTGGCAATTGGATCACAGGTCTGATGAAATTCATGTTTGGTTCCTTTGGCAGGCTGGCAGGTGATAGAGTGTTCTTTGATTAGGAGACATAATATCAGGTTGTCTTTCTTTTTGTGATGTTAACAGTTATAAATGCTCAATGCATAGGTCCATTAATCCACTGAGAGTTGCAAAATGGTAATATTCTATTTATATTATTCCTTTTTTACTTACTAATTGAAATTATTTTGTAAGGAGATGTTTATCCTTATCTGCTTTTTGGTTATCTAGTGTCTAGTGGCACAGTTCATATACAAAGAGAATAAATACTTGATGTTTTCTATTTTTCAGTTTATTTAATTTATTTTTTGTTAATCCTCACCCAAGGATATCCTTCCATTGATTTTTTTTTTTTTTTTTTAGGTAGAGTAGAAGGGAGGGAGTGAGGAAGGGGGAGGAGAGGGAGAGGGGGAGAGAGAGACAGAGAATGAGAGAGAGAGAAACATCAATGTGAGAGAGCCACATCAATTACTTGCCTCCTGCATGACCTTGACCAGGACCAGGGATCAAACCTGCAACCCAGATACATGCCCTTGACCGGGAGTCAAACCCATAACCTTTCTGTCTATGGGCTTATGCTCTCACTGCCAAGCCAAACCAGCCAGGGCTTTATCAGTTTATCTGGATAATGAATTGGTTGTTATCCTCTGAAAGTGAACTATTAGCATTTTTTTATTTTAAAATGTCACAAGTTCATACAAATTTATTTGGTTTTGTTTTTATCCTCACCCGAGGACATTTTTCGACATTTTGTTCAGATAGAGTGGGGGGGAGAGAGAGAGAGAGAGAGAGAGAGAGAGAGAGAGAGAGAGAGATCGACGTGAAAGGGACACATCGAGTGGCTGCTACCCGCACAACCCAACCAGGGCTGGGGACAAACTGCAACCGAGGCACGTGTCCTTAGCGGGAACCAAACCCGGGTCTCTCTGGACCTCAGGCCGACGCTCTAACCGCTAAGCCAAACCGACCAGGGCACAAATTTAAACAAATTTGATGGGTTTCAGTTAATTGCAATTATTATCATTGTTGAATTTTAAATTGTTCCATTTAGGGGAGCTTTTAGGATTGGCTCCTGAGTCCTTTTGATATTACCTAGTAGTCTTTGATAGTTTCCTCATTATCTTGTATGAAAGATGTTCTAAGCATATCTTTTTTTAAAAAAGCTTTATTAAGATGTATTTCCCAATCCATACAATTCACTTATTTAAAGTGTATAGTCCAATGGTTTTTAGTATATTCACAGAGTTGTATAACCATCACCACAATAAATTTTAGAATTTGTCATCACTCTGAAAAGAAATCCTTTAGCAGTCATTTCCCATTTCTTTTCACCCCCTCCCACGCCAGAGGCCTCCTTGCCTCAGCCCCAGGGCAACCACTAATTAAATTACTGTCTCTATGGATTTGCCTATTTGGGACATTTCATATAAATGGAATTATTCAACATGTGGCCTTGGGTGTCTGGCTTCTTTCACTTAGTATGTTTTCAAAGTTCATCCATGTTATAGCATGTACTACTTTTTATTGCTGAATAATATTCTATTATATGGATAAGCCATATTTTATTTACCCATTCAAATTGTTGGACATTTGGATTATTTTTACTTTTTGGCAATTATGATTAATGTTGCTGTTATGAGTAATGCTGGGGTATTCATTTCCAATCATCCCCCAACTAACTATCATATGTTATGTTCTATCTATGGCCATGACTGCTGAGGAATGACCCGTCTCCCATGGCTACAGGTCTTGCTGGGTCCTGGTAACAGCTCCCTTCCCTTGCCTCTTTAGTGCCGGAGATGATATTGGTTTCCCATTGCATCTAGTCTCTGTGTATTTCACCATTCCTTGCTGTTTCCCATAGCCCTGCCTATATTTCAGTAAAGAAGTCCCTGCATTAAACTCTTAAATGCAACCCTTTTGGTATACCATTTCTGTTGGGCTGCTGAGGATATAGACATCCTCCTAAAGTTACCTTTAACTACCCTCATCTATTTTGGTTGGTCCCCTTATTTTGGTGAGACACGTCTTCCAACAGCTCCTTGAGGATGGGTGCATATAGACTGTTGAGACCTTGCATTTCTCAAAATATTCTTCTTCTCTTACACTCAGTTGATATTTTGGCAAGGTATAAAATCCAACGTTAGGAATAATTTTCCCTCAGAATTTAAAGGCTTCACTCCTTAGTCTTCTTGCTTCTAGTCACTGCACACTTCATTTAAATTCTTACTGCTGAATCAAATTAAGCTATATTTTTCATCTGATCTTTTGGGCATGTGGGTTATTCATTCATTTAACATATAGATGAGCCCAGCCCTTTGCTAGTTGATGGAGATAGAAGGATGAATAAGACAGACTCGGTCTCTACCTTCATGGAGCTTATAGTGTTGGCAGCACTAAAAAGCAACCTCACATAAATTAAAATTCATTTGTAACAAACGATAGAAAGCAAAAGAACAAAGTATATAATAGGAAGATCTAACTTAGTTTGAGGAACTGGCGTTTAAGCTGGGACCTGACAAAGAGATACAGGCCAGGATGCAAAGAAGTTGGCAGAGAATATCACTAGCAGGGTTGGGAGGAAGGACAAATTGGTATGTTCAAGGCACAAGAGGAGGGAGTGTGGCAAGTGAGGGAGGGGGCGGCACAGATGAGGCTAGAGTGGGAGCCAGGGCCAGAACCGCAGGACCTTGGTGCCAGAAAGGGTATTGGTCAATATCCCAAGAACACTGAGAAGACCTGGAAACGCTTTAAAGAATAAGGCTATTTAAATAAACTTTCATTTACCTGGTTGACAACCATTTCTGCCTTTACTCTCCTTTCAAAGAGTCTTTTCAAATATTCATCAAAATTCTGTGTGCTTTCTTGAATTGAGTTTTGAAGTTTCTTCAGTTCTGCTTCTAAGGACTAAAAGGAAATCAACAGCAAAGTTAATGTTTAGGAACATCAAATGCTCCTAGGAAGTGGTGTTCACATTTTGCCACAAGGGAGGGGCAGGTGGCGGGCAAGTCTTGTGAGGTGTTCTGGGCCCACTGGCCCCCTTCAATAATAGATATTGCACCTGGATTTGTTCAATACAATAAAACCATGATATAATGGACTAATTCAAGTGAGGGGGTGTCTGTTAAAGATGAAAGTCCATTATATAATAAAGTAGTTTTTCCGAATGTATAGATTAAAAAATTGACAAATTAGTTTACCTGTTTTTACTTATGTAGACACGTTTGTGTAATTAAAATGTGTGCAAACTTAAATTTCACAGAAAAGTTCTCTATATGTATTACTAAAATTTTAAATTTTTACTAAATAGGTCTAGTAAATGCGTGTTCACCGGTCACTGTGAATAACAAATGCAGATGGCTGAGGCATGGCTTAGCGCACATAGTAGTAACAAGGACCTGCAAGAGTTAAAACTGCTGCGGAAAGTCACACCATGGGACAACAGAACCTATTATGTGGTGTGATCACATGCTAATCCTTCACTGAACGTTGTTTTTGAGCGGTGACTCTTGGATTAAAATATGTAGACTATTGTTGTAGATATGTAATATTTATTTATGTCGACAAAATTATTACAGTGTTTTTTCCAACATATGACCTATTTGCTAAAATTTGTTAAAAATAACAAAAATTTAACCTGTTAATTTAATTATAGGCAAATTTTTGTTTAAAGCATTTAAAAATTAATAGGGTGTTAATTTTCACATATAATGTAGGGACTGGAAATTTTGTCCATTAAATCCAAAGTCTGTTAAATCAAGGTCCGCAAAACCAAGGGTTTACTGTAGATTGTGAGTCTGAGATTTTTGCTTAAAAAGATGACACTGAAATAAAAAACAATTAAAAATCACTGATCATTACTAATGATGCAGGTGGCAGTAGGCCTAGTGAAACAAATTATAGCAAATCTTTCCAGAAAATTCTGGCTCTATATAAAGACAGAACTTTCCAGACACACAATTGGGCCTGGAAAAAAATCTTGATTTTTGTACTCTACTGTTTTTTTGTACGTTTTATCTTTCTAAGCAGTTTTATATCAAGGGAAAAAGTCCCACCCTCTTTTTAAAAATTCTACTGGGACATAGATAGTCAAGTGAAAAGCTATAAATTTGTATTTTTAAAGAAAACAACATCTGCAGATCAATTTTAGACATACTTTTATGATTTCTATCTTTAAATATTTTTGTAATTTTTAAGTTTGGATATGACTTAAAATTTAAAGAAAAGTTACAGGAATAGTACAGAGAATTCCCTTATAATTTTAACTAATTTAATCAGTTATTAATATTCTGCCCCATTTGTTTTATCACTTGCTCAATTTCTTTCCCCTTACCCTCCCCTCCTCCCTCCCTCCCTCCCTCTGTCCTTTTTTAAAGACTCAGAAGAGAGCCCTGGCCAGTTTGGCTCAGCAGTTAGAGCGTTGGCCTGCGGTCCAGAAGGACCTGGGTTCTGTTCCCACTAAGGGCATGTACCTCGGTTGCAGTTTGTCCCCGGCCCTGGTTGGGTCATGCGGGTGGCAGCCACTCGATGTGTCCCTTTCATGTCGGTGTTTCTCTCTCTCTCTTCCTCTCCCTCCCACTCTATCTGAACAAAAAATGGAGGAAGTGTCCTTGGGTGAGGATAATAAATAAATAAATAAAAGACTCAGAAGAGAGAAATTGGAATGAACATAGTTTGTTTCTGGAGTTTTTTAAGGAGACACTGAGTAGTGGATTGAGAGGAAAGTGGGATCAGGGAGTCTTTTTATTTTAACCTTTTATTTTTAACTAATTTCAGACTAACATAAAAGTAACAAGAATGTAGAAAGAACTCCAGAAATCCCTTCAAGGAAGTCTTTTTTTTCTTTTTCTTGTGTATACAACGTAAAAGATTATAGCATGTGTTTATGTTGGTGGGAAAAATCCAGTAGAGAGGAAAACACTGATGCTGCAGGAAAAAGGGGGCAAATTGCTGGAGTAATAATGCTGAATGGGTGAGATGGGATGTTCCCAGTGCACAAGTGGAGGACCAGGCTGGGGCTGATGCAAAGCCATTTCATCCATAAGAAACAGCAAGGCAGGGATTCTATGGATTCAGTGCAGGGGGCTGGAAGATGTAGTGGTATAAGAGTAAGGCAAATCTCTTTTAGTTGCTTCTCTTCACCAGGTAAAACAGAAAATAAGGTGACAGGGGGTTGGGTGTTGGAAGTTTGAGAATAGAGAGTGTGTGAAGTGGTCCTCCAGGACCTAGCTACTTAAAGTACAGTTGGCTCACTAGCAGCAGCTGCTGCACCACCTGGTTGCATGTTAGAACTCTGAGGATGCTTCCATTTCCTGAGAATGACAGAATTCTAATCTGCACTTTGAACAAGATTCCCCAGGTGATGGGGACTAAGCTAGCAAGGAAATAAAACAGCATCGCTAAGCAAGCTCTCAGGGCCTAATGAAGATTAAGGCCATTGGAGTGAAACCAGTCAGTAGTTTTTTTTCTTTACTACTGCAGACGCAGGTGCAGGTGCAGGTGCAGAGAAGGCCAAGTACTGGGCTTAATCAAGGCTGGGTTCTACCAAGTGAGTATGACCAGGGAGCAGGGAGTTGAGGATGGGGGCAGTGCACTATCTTACAGTGCAAGACCATGGAGTAAATGTCACCCTTATTTATATTCCCTAATTTCTTGAAATCTCGACTGCATTCAAAACTACTCATTTTGTCTTTTAGGTAAGTACTATCTTAGGATAAAATGCAAGGGCACTGTTAGAGGACTGCAGTGAATAAAAACAGGACAGGTTAACAATAGGTTCTAAGAAATTATTCATGAAATACATCCACTATAAAGCCAACAAACTGTCCTGCCTTAAATAATGGTATGATTTTACTTTCTTCACAGAGAAATAAATATTATTTATTTGGTTGTATACCATCAACTTCTATATCTCCACTGTAATTATAAGCAATTTTAATGTGGGAATGTTTCTTTGCAATGGAAGAAGGTAAAAGTAGAACTGCACTGCAAAAATCTCAAATTAGAACTGTAAAGTATGTGCTGCACTGATTGCGCCGTTCTTCCCTCAAGTCCTTTCCTTGAGATTGAGAATAAATCAAGCAAGAGGATTACTGAACTCAAATAGATATAGACAACATAGAGCAGTGCCCTGAACATACTATAATAGGTGTTCATTAAACATCTGAAGAATGAATGGAGAATGAACTGTAATGGTGTGGGAAATGTTGAAATCAGTAAGAACTTAAAAAAACATTGAAATATATTCTTTTTGTTTTAAATTGTTCTAACTCTTTAACTTCATCTCAATCTACGTCCCCAAATGCTCTTGAAAATTTCAGTTGAAACACTATCCTTAAATTACTAAAGATAATGAAAAAAATCAAGAACACTTAATTTGAAAATATATGGAAACAAAACCCTGGATGTGGTAGGGTATAGTGATTCTTTGCACTTCTGACCTTTCTATATTTCTCTCTTTCTTCATTTAACTCCTTGACTTTTTTCTCATAGTCTTTGAACTGTTTTCTTTCCTCTTCAGTCCACACAGCATCGGGTTTTGCCATGAAAGCAGGCTGAGGAATCACCTGAAGATATGAAGGAAAGCATGTACGTGTAGCAGTACAATAAAAGCTCAGAGTTATCATTACAGATAAAACCAATAGTCCTTTAACAATAGTTCTTCACACTGGCAAGACAATGACCTGACACTTTGACCAAAATACAAGAAAAAATGTTACAACTGTTTTTTTGTAACTTAAGTGAGGTTGGGCAGTTTGGGATATACCCAGACTCTTAGATGACAGGTTTGGAGGTGTGTGTTGATATCTTCATAGCTAGAACTGCAGTTGAGCTCCAGGGACACCTATGTCAGGTATCAAAGGGAATGTTTCTCAGGAGAATAACAGGTGCAGCGTTATCCCTGATTTTGTTAGAGACCAAAACCACTGTGGTTGTTTGTGTTTGTTTGCTTTTTGTCAGACTGAAAGGCAAGTCTGAGGTTTTCAATTTCTTATTTGCCTGATGTGGTATGTTTATAAGGTACTAGAGGTTGTGTATTTGTTGCTGTCGAATTTTAAAATTCAGGTTCTTATAGACAAAAATGGTCAAATTTAAGTAGTTTTCTTCACCCCATTCCACCTTCCATAAGAATATCCGGGACTCTCACCATTCTCAAAATGTCTTCCTTCTTGACTTCCAGAACTCCTCCCATCATGTCCATCAGGGCTCGGCGTCTGGTTTCGTTGGCCTGGGAAAGAGCTGACTCTGAGACGGGAAACTCCGGTGGCACCACTGGTAGCCTCCCACTCAATGTTAAATGACTGCATTTAGGATGGGGAGGGTGAGCATTGGATGGTGGGGAGAGGGAAGGAGGACACAGATTCCCGTGACCTCTGACCATAGCAAATGCGTTGATGTGTTTCTATTGCAGAGTTCAAGTACAAGACTATTAAACCAAATTAGGAACAGGTATCCCTAAAGGAAAGAGGGTCTTAGGTATTGAGCAAAACTGCATACCTGTGACAGAAGAAATTGCTCCATTGTACGGTTTGCAATAAATTCTGTTTTGGCTTTTTGCCATGGAGGAACATGTTTTTGAGCTGTAACCTGAAAGAAAAAAAATATAGTTTCCTGCTGTTATTCTTTTATTCTTATTAAATTTTTTTTTTCTTTATTGACTTTAGAAAGAGAGGAAGGGAGAGGGAGAGGGAGAGGGAGAGAGAGACAGAAACATCAATGAGAGAGAACATGGATTGGCTGCCTCCTGCATGCCCCTCATGGGGGTTCGGCCCACAACCTGGGCATGTAGCCAGACTGGGAATCAAACCAGCGACCTCTTGGTGCATGGGTCGATGCCTAACCACTGACCCACATGGGTTGGGCCTGCTGTTATTCTTACAAAATTCAACCAAACTTGCCTTCCACACAATGAGAGGTGGTTAGAAGGTATTAAGGGAATAAAGGGTATATGCAAATTTTACAACCAATTTCCTAGTTTTGGAATGACGATCAGGTCTAAAATGAGAGGGTTAAAAAAGAGTTATTTCTCTATTAGCTCTCCAAATGCATCTGTGTCACTAAAGAAATTATAGCAGGGGACCCAATTCAGATGGGAAGGGAAGGGGTTCCAAAGCAGTGTCATCTAAGCCAAATCCTGCAGGATGGAGTCCTGAGAGGTCAGAGCTTGGGACATTCAAGGAATTGTGAGAATGCCAGTGTTGCTAGAACAGAGCGAGACAGGGAGAGCAGCTGGAGTGAGGGGGCCCAGGGTGGGCAGTCAGAAAGGAACTTTGGGGTGTTATTCAGAGTGAAATGAGCAGCCACTGCAGGGGTTAAGCAGGAGAAGGACAAAATGTTTGGTTTATAAAATCACTCTCCTAAATGTAGAAGGGATTAGCATATGAGAGGAAGCAAGTGGGTGGGGTAAGTTATGCACACAAAAAGTGACTGCCCAGAGCAGGACCTTAGTGGGGTCCCTGAATCTTGGGTCATGTGGTAAGAGTCTGATTCTGGAAGAACTAACTTCCTTAAACAAGTACAGTAGAGTGTAGAGATAAAGAGGAAGTACTCTGAGGTATAATGATTACATTCAAACCCCAACTTTGTTACTTACTAGCTTTGTAGTTGTGGTCAAGCTACTTAAGCTCTCTATGCCTCAGTTTCCTCTTCTGTAAAATGGGGGTAATATTAGTACTTATTTTATAAGGTCTAATAATGATAGATTAGTCTCAATCTATCTAGGGCACTTTAACCAGGATTGTGTTTTGCTGTTTGCTGTTACTTCTAAGCAACACTGTTTCCTTTTGCCCCAAAGTAATCTAACTGGTTTCATGTGAACAAGGGTTTTTGTTTTGTTTTGTTTTGTTTTTTTGAGTATTCACTACCATTTTTCACCTTTTAGAAATGAAATATGGCTATATTTTAATTGTTTTCTTTAAGCATTTACTTGTTAACCACCTCTGGGCCAAACACCTTTTAAGAAGACTAACCAGCAAGCCCCTTTCTTTGGGACCCATGTTGCCCTAATGACCTAGACAATTACTGGAGTTCTGTCAGCCTCCCTCCCAGATGTGACCCAAACTCACTGTGTATGTGTACTGGACCTAAGCTATGCCAAGGGAGCCCCTTCCCAGGGAAATCCAGAGTTGGGACTAAGAGATTCTGTTTCAGGCCAGCTACTCTCTTGAGTGTACGAGACACAAAATAGAAACTGCCAGAGGAAGCTGAAATGCAGAGAGAAGTGAGCTAAGAGATGAAGAAAAACTTCTAGACTCCCCACAAGACTCCAGTCTGAGGTTCCTGCTTCTTTCTAGACTTGCTGAACAAATCTTCCCCGAACTCACTGGGACTCATAAAAGAAATCCTCAGTATTGCTGATGCTATGTCAACTGTTTTTGTTACTTGTAACGGAGAATGCTATCTAATATAGTTGCTTCCAGTAGTGCAAACAAGATGAATAAAGAAGAGTTTGGGAAAATGTCATGAAAAAACAAGGGAAAGGATAATGCAGCACACCAGTACCTCACTATTTTCCACAACAAGGGTTCTCTCTGGCTTCTCACAGTCATCAAATTCTGGTTGCCAGACTTGTTCATCCAATTCCAGATCTAAAATAATTTCTTGAATTCTTACATTTCTTTCCTTCACACGTGCAATTTCAAACTCTTTATGTTTAAATGCAGTATCAAACTCATTATTGAAAACAGTTTTTACCTTGTAAATAATATCCTGCAATATCAATATATTACTGAAAACACATCACATTATATCTTTACTGGTATCATGACCCCATAGCTTTACTTTCCCCCCAAAATCATTTTACAAGTTTCAGTAAATTAATCTTTCTAAAATACTGTTTATATTAAGTCATTTCTTGGTTCAGTAACCTACAGTAGCATTCCACCATACACAGGATTAGGTTGTTATACCACAACCCACTTCCAAAAATGTATGTTATAACTCAATATGCAGGTATGTTGATAAATGCTGAAGGGAGTGATGAACAGTTGAACGCTCTCTGTGTATATTGTAAAACAAAATAATCACAAAATATTTAAAAAGCAGTATGTAGTACTTAAATGGGAAATGTTCTTTCTTTGGAACTGTGTTTGGGGAGATGTGGTGAGGAAGAGACGGCCTATAAAGGTTGTTTGGAGACTCTACCAGACAAGCACAACCACATGCAATATTGTTCCTATATATAGTCAGGTTACTCTCAGGTAGGAAGGGGACACAAGTTGGTTAGCTAGATTCGCCAATTAATAAGGTGGCAGTGGGTCCAAATGGGTTGTTCCCATCTCTGCTGGGGACAATGGGTCAATTCAAAGTAACCTTTATTTTACCATCAGAGTTCAGTCTACATATCTATCCTACTGAAAATGAAACCATTAAAGCAGGGTGGGGAAATGATCTTAGCAGCTGGCACCACAATTTCTCTTGTGTTGAAACGATCTTTTTGTAGGAAAATGGCTTAATAAAGCAGCAGGAAAGAAGATTTTGAGGGCATAGGTCAGCAGAAGCTGAGCAACAAAAGAGTTAATTTCAGGGGTTGAAGGAGAAGAGAAAGAGAGAGAGCAGAGTAAGATGGCTGGAGGCTAGAACTCAACTTGCAGACATGGCTGAAGGACTTTCAGGATCAGGAATGGCCAACATTAAATTTCAGACCATCTGCATTGGTGTACTCCCAGTCACCGAATTTTCCAAAATCTTTAGTAGGCATGTACAGATGTGTTCGAAGACTGACTTATTTGGTGGACAGAAAGGAGCAGGAACTTAGAGCCTGAGGGATGCTGCACCATATCCCTAAGCCCCAGAAATGACACAAATCTTGAGAGGAAATTGCATTTCCCCAGGTTAAGGGGCTAGACAAGCAGTCACATCTTGATCATACAAGGGGGTTCTGATTGACATCTGGGTTTCCTAGAAGATGGCATTCAAGGATTTCTTTTTATCTTTGAGATTAATGAAAATCTAAGTAGAAGAATGGTTTGCTTGTGGTATCAGCCAGTGTCGGGTGTTTTTTGTTTTTTGTTTTAGATAACCTGCTATCATGAAACCCAATCCAATGGGTGAAAGCAACTCTGGCAAACAGCTTTGCTTTATGAATATGAATGCTAGCCATCTAGATATTTCTCTGTATACTATAAAGACATCATTTGATTGGCATGGGATTTCAATTTGAGACTTTGTAAGACACCTCATAGGGATTTTCAGAAATTTTCAGGGATAAAGAAAAAATCCACCTACTTTCAGTAATATAATTTGGTTGATTTTTTCCTCTCTGGAATGAAGTTCCAACTGGCTTGACAACAAAGAAGCATGTACCCCAAAATCAGTACACAGACTGCCGAGCATGTAATTGGGCAAGCTGGTATCTCTTACTGCCATGTCTTCTTCCTCCTCCTCTTCCTCCTCCTCTTCATGATGCTTTTTAACCATGGTAATAGGAGACTGGGCCTCTAAAATTTCCTTCCGTAGCTAAATATAAAAAAAGATGACAGGGAAATTATGCAATTAGGAAATTCTCTAAAGGGCAATTTTGTGACAACTTAATTATTTCAACAACCACGTTAAGATATTAAACTGTCTTGCGCCCTGGCCGGTTTGGCTCAGCGGTTAGAGCATCGGCCTGCGGTCTGGAGAGACCCGGGTTCGGTTCCCGCTAAGGGCACGTACCTCGGTTGCAGTTTGTCCCCGGTCCTGGTTGGGTTGTGCGGGTGGCAACCACTCGATGTGTCCCTTTCACGTCGATGTTTCTCTCTCTCTCTCTCTCTCTCTCTCTCTCTCCCTCCCTCCCACTCTATCTGAACAAAAAATGGAAAAATGTCCTCTGGTGAGGATAAATAATTAAATAAAATAACTTGAAGCTTAAAAAAATAAAATAAAATGAAAAAAATAAAAATAAACTGTCTTGCCTGACTAGTGTGGCTCAGTGGATTGAGTGTGTCCCATGGACTGAGAGGTCCTGGTTCGATTCCCAGCCAGGGCACATGCCCAGGTTGCAGGCTCGATTCCCTTGTGCAGGAGGTAGCTGACAGATGTTTCCCTCTCACATAGATATTTTTTTCTCTCTCTCTCCTTTCCTCTCTCTCTCTAAAAAAAAAGATGTTAAACTGTCTTGTCAACAACTGAATTCAAAGTGATGCATAGATGTTAAAACTGCTTCAAAAGAAACGAAAGCTTTGGAAACTGATAAACTGGGTAAATCAAGAGTAAAAATTGTCCTTGTTAGAATATACTATTTATATTTTGCTGTCAGAATGACAGCTGTTTGTAAATATTTTTAGTCTTTGTTGGAACTTAAGCATTAAAAAATGCACCTTTCTTCATATTTTACAAAGGAACTTGTTCACATAGGACTGGCGGGTGTAGGTTAAGAAGAATTAAGTATACCTTCATTTTATGTTTCAGAGAAAGAATGGATACAAGGTTCTGGCCAAAACAAAACTATACCAGTGGGGCAGTGTTTTTTCAGTGGTTTGATAGAGATTGCTGCTTTTTAAAAAGCTAGAATTTCTTTAGGAAAAAGTATAATTCCATCAAAACAGACACTACTTCATCTTTGTTCAATTATCTTAAAATACAATCTCTAGAGATATGAGAAAATAAAAAGACTATGGGTGGAGTAGGATAAGAACACAACTCCAAATTTCATTTTTAAAAAATGTATCTTCACATTTAAAAGATAGCCAGTGTTGTATAAGATGCAGGTTTCTAGATTGTGTGGACTTGGTTCCTATATTAATTAGAATATGTTCTACAAATTAACAAGGAATGAAAATATAAATACAAACAATGTATCAACTCATTCTAAATTGTATCCCAACTCAAATCTGTGTGAAGAAGACCTTGAAATAAAATATATCACTTATATAGCATGCATATATTTAAAATTGTACTTTAAAACACTCTGTTTCAATCTTCTTTTGCTGCAAAACTCTATTCACTTCTTTCAGCTCTTCTTCCGTGCGTTCTTTCATTGGGAAGTTCTCAACCACGTAGGGAATGTGAAAGCACTTGTTGGAAAAAACACAAAATAAATCCATTTTTAGTATAAGTGTGTATATCTGGAATGGAGTGGGGGATGTTTTCCTGATTAAAATTAATTCACAGGTTATCATGCATGAGTGAAATTGAAAATGAAAACTTCCTTTAAAATAAAACAATGTATTCCATTAGCATTGGTGTAAACTTTGTATAAGAATACTGTGCTTTGTGAAGGATTCACTTCTGCAGCAGTGGTTCTCAACTAGGAGTGATTTTGCTTGCCCTTCCCCCTTCTCTCCAGCCCCTCAGGGACATCTGGCAATATCAGGAGACATTTTTGATTTTTACTAACTGGGGCATTGGATGCTACTGGGGTCTGATAGACAGAGGCCAGGGATATTGCAAAAACACCCTATGATCCATAAGACAGCCCCCACAACAAAGAATTATCCAGCCTAAAACATGCCATGCTTGAAAAACTCTGTTTTTGAGCAATACACAATAAAAAAATGTAGTCTGACCATATACTTTATTAACCAAACGGGATAGAGGACATATTTAGAAGTGAAGAGGGTGCTCTTAATAGTTACTCTAGGACCACAGGTATAAACTGGGACTCTCAGTCACCCTTCACAAAGAGGGAAATAGTGTTGGGAGGAATCTCATTGAAAAAGCATGAAAAACATTAGAAAATGTGAAGGCAGGCCCAGGTAGAAATGTGAGGAATATTATGTTGAGTTTTCAATCTGTGAGGATGGTGAGTGGCATTTTGAAACAGACAGATATTAAGACCTGGAGCAGGTAGTGTCACAGAGGAAAGAGGTGCTCAGACAAATCTTCAGAGATGCTAGCTTCAAAGTACACGGGGACTGAACAGAGAGACAAGAAAAACGGACACATCCGGGTAGAATTCAGCACAGGAAGGGGCAAGGTATGCTTTGAATGCCTTTTTATATATAGATTGTCTTAAAATCATTAAAAGTTTTTTCGGCCATGAGACTTTTACTGAAAATTCTCATTGGCTAAGTTAAGGCGTGGTACCTTATATCTGGAGGTATATCTGTTACCTTAAGAGCTCGACCTTTCACAGCCATTGAATGCCAGCATTCTTCTTTAATAAGTTCAGCCAAATATCTCTTGGCTAGGTTATGCATTTCCACATCTTTTTTTATCTTGAAGAACATAGATGAAGAAAAAAAAATGAAAATGAAAAACATGGCCTCTTAAAAAAAAATCTCATTTGTAAATTCACTAACCAATCGAGTTTGGTCTTCTTTCTCCAACCGTGCTGCTCCACAGGGAGATGCATTTTGTTGGGGACAGTGCCCTGTCTTTGAGAATCTTTCCTGAAGTTTAGTCTGGAGGACAAAGGTGTCAACACAAACACCTCCAAGGGCAGGCAGGTCCTATACATGAGTCAAGGTGGGTGTGGGGACAGTTGCACAGCTGTGGTGGGCTGGACAGCTAACATACCCGTTGTCACAGATCTGGCCGGTTGAAGTAAACCCAACGTGCAAAGTCTTCCTGTTTTATTAGCAAAGTAGGACATTTGTAATTTTATGAAACTGCCAGATATCTTGGGGTCTTTTTTTTTTTTTTTAAGTTGAAATCTTTATTTATTTATAAAGATTTTTAGAAATTGACTTTTAGAGAGAGAGAAAGGGAGAGAGAGAGAAAGAGAGGAATGTCAATGTGACAACGAAACATCCACCGGCTGGCTGCCTCCTGTACACCCTCCACCGGAGATGGAGCCTGCAATCAGGCCTGTGCCCTGACCGGTAATCAGACGGGACGATACCCAACCAATTGAGCCGCACAGGCCAGGGCTGTGTTTTTACTGCACTTAATTCTTCTATTATTTACCTCTACTGCTCTTGGGGAGCACATTATATACTTTTTCCCATTTTGAAACATATGTGATACCTCAATTAGTTTTATCAGCTTTAAGTAATCTTATTACTTAATATTTAAGTGATTAAGTATTTTTATTTTAATACAGTTTGCCAAAAGAGCTGGTATGAAAATGAGACCCAACAGTCTTTAGTCCTTAGGGTCCTCTTCAGAACTGTTTCTGCATTTCACTTTGGCAGAATTTTTAGCAAATTAGCTAAGAATAATACTCCCCCCAACCAGATTAGAAAATATCTTATTTATTCACTTATTCATTTATTTGTGTTTGAACAAATACTTTGCTTAATTTGTATTTTATTTCTTTTTAAAATAATCTTTATCCATTGATAATAACCAATACAGTTTTAAATTCATTTAAACAATAAGTTTTAAATAAACAGCTGTTTTGGCCTATCAATTGTCAGAACCTGTCTGATTCCCAGCCCTCCCCTCTCCACTGCTGAGGCTATTGGATCAACCCCTTCAGACTCAGTCCCTAATACGGAGTCCAGGTTATCTACTGGGTTTTGGTCTTTTCCCTAATGTTGAGATCCTGGCTGAGGCTGGCTAGTAGCCTGGTCCCTTTAGGACTGGAATCCTTGACTGGTAGGTGCCACTAACTTTTCCTATGGACTAGTGTTCGGTTCTCAAATGTGCCCAAAGCTAGCTGGGTTTATGGTGCCATCTGCTAACACAGTTCTGTGCTGAATTGTTTGGTTCTGTTCTCACATCCAATCTGGGGCTGATATCTTTTCAAAAGCCCGGAGCTCCGCAAAAAATAAACAACATGAGGGAAATGAGCATGTGAAGAATCTTTCTCTGCACCAAAGCCTGCCTCAGAGGATCAGGAAGCTTTTCCAGAGATGTGCAGGAATTTGATAAGTGGCAAAGGTGGGGGTGGGGAGGACATTCGGCAGAGGCATGGGGTGGGGGTGAGGTTAGCAGGGTGGGTTCATCATTGGTCAGTAGGTCAGCAGGCCAGAGGAGCAGGTTCATGGGGCTAGGTAGTCCGACATGAGTTTGGAGATAGAAGCAACGCTAGAGTAAGGATGGGACTAGGCACCTAACCCAGACTCATTGCAGAGTGGTCCAGATGAATGGGCTGGAAGAACCTGGTGCCAGAACAGGAAGGGGCGTTTTAGACCTGAGTGAAGCCAGGCCAAGGAGGAAGAGCCTGAAGCCTGGTGGGCAGACTGGCGCTTCCTGACTCAGATCCAAGTTGTGGGTTTTTAGCCAAGTGTCTCTAGCTCTGAAGCCTCAACTTGTGCAAATGGGGAAAACAAAAACCCACCTTTTGGATTGTTGCAACAACCAAGTAACATTCAAAATGCCCCTAAATTGGTGCTTATTTGTTATAATAAAAATGGGATAGTTTCTAATAGCTTTCTATTGCACTTTTAATTTAAAAAGCCAGAATCTTTGACTTGAGAGCTGGCCTCCACCTACCTTTCTTACATCATTCAGTGAGGCTCTCTCCTGTCCACTGTGCTATAGCCTTCCTGGCCTTTCTCCTCCTGGAATACCCAAGCCACTTCTGCCTCAAGGTCTTTGCTCTTGCTGCTCCCATTGCCTGGCGTTCTCTTCTCCAGAACTTTGCATAGCCAGCTCCCTCTCTTTTAGTTCCCAACTGAAAAGTCACCCCTTTAAAGTGATCTTCTTTGACTACACAAGTAGATCCCCGACATCTATCACAGCATCCAGTTTGTTTTAATCACACAATATAGAGAGATTTGTTTATTTATGGTCTGTTTTCTCTGCTGGATTAGCCCTATGTAGTCGGGGCCTATCTGTTTTATTCACTATAATAGTCCTGGGCATGTAACAGGTATTCAAAAAATGTTGCAGAATGAATTGATGGCTAGATGAATGATCATTTAGGTAAATTTTATCTCTTTGAGTAAGCCTGTTGAGGTCCTTTTGATCCTGATTCGGTTATCCAATATATTTTCTCTTATTCTCAGCCTCATGTCCCCAGTTTGACAGATCTGCCTCATTTCTACATAGTTACCCCAGTCATTAATAAACATGTTTAACAGGACTGAGTCCCGATGCATATCATTGGAAACCTCTCTCCTAGAGATATCAAATAGTCTCGTTTTGTGTAGTTGTTTAACCAATTATAATTCACTTAAATGTCCTTGCATCCAGATATATTTCATTCTCTTATTCAGAGGGGAAAAAAATGTGTTTATATATTCACACTTGAAAAATCAAATGTACCGTGCATGCTGGGAAAGAGGTAGCTTAAGAACATTCTGTATAAAACAAAATGAAGGCTTTCACTTAAAATAAATGTAACGTGATTGCAACAGAAAGATGCAAAGGCTGAATTAATAGAAGTACAGTATCTAGTAATGTAGAGGTTTCAGTTTATGCTTTTCTCTAAACTGGACAGAAGATAACTGGAATTCTTTTGTGGGTGTCAGACTCAAATATAATGAAATCAGAGAAAAACTGTGTGATGATGATGAAGCTATTCAAACTACATTATATGATGGTCACAGGAGCTGGGATAGTTAGCTGAGATAAGAGAAGATACACATGGTAAGTGCTAATCTTCTCTAACCATTTTCAGAATATCTGTCCATACAGTAGATGGCGTTAAAAGAATAGAAGAATCAGTGAGTATAGGGGGAAAGATTTCAACTTTAATTAAGGGATTATTTCAGAGTGTCCAAAGTTGACATGAGGTGGCTGAGGGGATTTCTAAAAATGTTCAAAGACATGGTGGAAGATGTCTGGTATGAATGTAATGGAGGGGAGACAGACATCAGATATCTGTCTGGCCTGGATGTTCTTTTCCCCCCGAACCCCCAAATTCAGTAATTCTCTGACTCATTCCACTCATACACACTAGGTTTGCTTTACTCACATTGTGCTGGAAAAGTTTTTGTTTTAATTGCATAATTCTGGAAAAGTTTCCCTTCCGATTTTCTCTTTACTTCCTTCATTATGATGCTTAAATCAGATTTTTCCATACCTTTGCCAGTTCTTCCTCACTTTGATTTTGAAGCCTTTCTAGTTCCTCCAGGTCCAGGCCAAATTCCTCTTGGTCTAATTTTGCAATATTATCTATTGTTTCATTTTCTTTCATCATATTCAGAACCTGAATTTTAAAATAAGAGAGGATGGTGACAAGTGAAGAAATAATCTTTAAAGACACAGTATTCCAACTCGTACATAGCAATCAATAAAAAAAAAAAAAGATGTTCTATTAATTTAAATGTTACTACTGAGTACAGAATCAGGTTATGTGCTTATTGTGATTATTAACAGTTTAAAACTTAATCTTTAAAAGCTCATTCATCTATAAACAACAACAAAATGTGTAAATTCATCACTTCACTGAATAATATTAAGGAATTATTGATATTTAGGTGTGCTAATGGTATTGCGGCTATGTGTTTTAAGAATTTTTATCTTTTATAAAAAAGATATGAGAAAATTGCATAATCAAATCAATGCAATGTAGTCAAAGTGGTACCCAGAGGAATATTTATGGCATTACATTCATTATAGAAAACAATAGAAAATAAACCAAGTTTTCAATTCAAAACAGCAACAAAATGAGGACAAATAAGCCAGAACAATGTAGAAAAAAAATGAATAAAATTTTAAATTGATAAAATCCTAAGTTAATTAAAGGTATAGGTATAAAATTATATATTATGTTCTTACAATAATAGAGTTAAATCAATAAAAACCATACTATAGTAATAAAATAGAAATGCTGTTGGAAAGTGTGATCAAGAGAAAATATAAAAGGCATATATACACAACATTAGGAATAGAGAACTATAACTGAAAAATTAAGAGACTTGAACATTAGAATATTATATAATTTTATATTATATATTTAAAAATCTAGATGAGAAGGATAATTTTCTTAGAAAATATAATTTATCAAATCTATACTTGGTAAAAAAAAAAAAAGAAAACCTAATAAGACTAATGACCACAGAAGAACTTGAAACAGTAGGAAGGAATCAACTTCCGCAACAGACATCAGGCCCAGATGGTTTTATATGTGTGTGAGGGGGTAGTGATTGTTTGTTTTTCTAACCAAATAGTAAAGAAAAGGAGAATTCCTGTTTTATGCATACTGTTCTAGAGAATGGGGGGGGGGGGGGGGGATGTAGAAAACTACTCAAATCACTTGATAAGACTAGTATAACCCTGATACTATAATTAGACAAAGGAAGTACAAGAAAATTAGACCAATATTACTTATAAATAGAAATAACAAAAATCCTGAATAAATATTAGCAAATGGAATCTGGTATACTACTTAAAATGACCAATGTTTATCTAAGAAATACAAAGCATTTGATCAATTTCATAATACAATTCACAATAAAAACCCTTAGGTAACAAGGGACAGAAGCTACAGCAAGCATCACCCTTATGAGTTAGTAACATTCCTGTTAAGGTTAGGAAGAAGACAAGCATGTCCACTGTCAGGACCACTATTATATTTTGCCATATGATAAGGAAAAAAAAGAAGTATAAAGATTGATAAGGAAGAGACACATGATTTTCAGAAGATATGATAGTTTACCTAGATGATCCAAGAGAAGCAATTGAAAAAATAGAACTGAAAAGAGAATTCAGCAAGATGATCAGATATAACATCTGTAACATTCATATATACCAGAAGTAACCCGTTAGAAAATGTAATAGAAAAATAGTCCATTCACAAAAAGCAAAACAAACTATAAGATGCCTAAAATAACCTTAAAAGAAAATTATGGTCACTTTTAGACTATAAAACTTCATTAAAGAATAGTTTTTAAAAATTGAATAGATATGTACTTATATATTTACATAATGTATATTATATATAAGAATTGTAATAAAAATGTATATTTTTATATATATATAAACTTATATATATATAAGTTTACATAGCAAATAAATTCTTTCCAAAGTTATACTATAAGCAATATATTTTCAATCAAAATCAATTCAGAGTTTTCCATGGAACCTGACAAGTTGACTAAAATTCAAGTGTAATAAAGGTGGGCATAAAAAAGCCAACATTTTTTTGGTAAAAGGAAAGCAAGGAAGCATCACTTTCAAGATATATAGAAGTATTTTATAAAGTTATAACAATCAGAATAGTTTGAAATTAGCTTAGGAAAAGATCAATACTTAATTTCAGAATGGAGAATCCAGAAACAATCTCGTGTACCGGGGACTCCAGGGATTAATAGAAGGAGTTGCAAATCAGTGGAGAAATGAAGGTATATTCAATAAAAAGCACTGACAAAATGGACTATTTATTTGAAAAAATAAGTTAGATCCACACCTCATACTATTCATGAAAATAAATTACAGGTGAAATAAAAGGTATTAGAAGAAAATGTGCAAGACTTTGGAAGCCCTTTTAAAATCAGACACAAAAATAAAAGCTATAAATAAGATGATCCAATACACTTGGGCCATAACTTTTAAATTCTGCATTTAAAAAGGCACATTATAAATGTTGAAAGAAAGAAAATATTTGTAGTATATTAGGCTGAAAAAAAGAAAACAGCAATTTCATGTGGTTCCATCAAATTTTAAGGGCCACCTCTGGATTTTTCCCACGTACATCTCCATGCTCTTTTCTCTTCCATTTACCTAAGATGAGATCAAGCAAGACAACCTTAGAAGCCACGTGGGGAAACTGGCAGAGTCTCCACCAGCCTAAGTCACTGAATGACTGCATGGAACAGAGCAGCTGTGATTTGAACACCTACCCAGGACTGTTTTTTGAGAAAGAAATAAACTTCTTATCTCTATGCTATTATGCTTTTTGGAGTTTTATTAGTATCACAGCTTAGCTAACCCTAATTATGATAAATAAACATGCTAATAATAAAAATAAAGAACTCCTACAATCAAAAATAAAAAGACCAACAGCTCAATAGAAAAAATGGGCAAAGGATATAAACAGGGAATTCACAGAAGAGGAAATACAAATAGTCTTTAGAGTTATAAAAAATGTTCATCCTCATTAATAATCAGAAGAATAAAACAAAGGGGAGGAAATTATCAAAGAACAATTTAAGAACACAAAGAACTGAAGAACAAAGGTTTCTTATTGAAAGTGCTCACCAATGCCCAGCATATGAAAGAAAAAAACAATAATAACACATCAAACGTACAAACTTAGGTCCTGGTATGAAACAGCTGGCACATTTAAATGGGGTAATTGGGGAGAGAGATTTTAAAAAAGAAAGATTTAGCAGGGTAAGGGAAACAAGCAAGGCATGATGAAGCATCTCAGGCTAGCAACCACAGGAAGCTGACACCACTTCCAGGTCTGAAGGGTAAGGCTGGGGAGAGTAGTTACTGAAACCTGAAGAAATTGGTAGCAGTCAGAGAGGGCTGGCAGTCACAGCCAGTTCAAAACACAACAGAGAGCTCCCTGGAGGAATAAAACCCTGACCCTAGTCTTCTCCTGCTCTCTGATCTCCTGTTGATACCACTCAGTGGCTAAACTGAAACAGAAACCAGAGGCACCCACAAAAGCCAGCCTCTCGGGGCTCAGAATTGGGTGGAGAAGGGTGGAGAGCATCTAGATCTGTACCAGTAAACCAATATCTATCAAACAACTCAAGATGCATTAATTGTGAAATTTCCAAACAGCAGGGAATAAGAAAGGATCCATATATAAATTTCCAGAGAGAAAAATCTGGTTAATGACAAAGAACTGGGAATCAGAAAGGTATTAGATTTTCTAAAACAAACACTGAAAGCTAGAAAACAATGCAGCAAGCCCTCAAAATTCCTAGGGGAAATCACTGTACACTTAGGCAAACTGTCACATGAGTTTGAGAGTGGGATAAAGACATTTTAAGAAAAACCAAGTCTCAAAAAATGTAGCTCCCATGTACCCTTTTCTCAAGAGCCAAATTATTATACAACTCTAGGGACAGGCACCATTCACATTGTATTACGTTTAAATGGTACGCCATAAATAAATAAATAAATAAATAAATAAATAAATAAATAAATAAATAATAATAATAAAAATTAAAAAATGGGCAGAGGAGCTGAATAGACACCTCTCCAAACAGGACATACAAATGGCCAAGAGGCATATGAAGAAATGCTCAACATCACTAAGCATCAGAGAGATGCAAATTAAAACAACAACGAGGTATCACTTCCCACCTGTCAGAATGGCCGCCATCAACAAATCATCAAACAACAAGTGTTGGCGAGGCTGTGGAGAAAAGGGGACTCTAGTGCAATGCTGGTGGGAATGCAGACTGGTGCAGCCACTATGGAAAACACTATGGTGTTACCTCAAAAAATTAAAAATTGAACTTCCATTTGACCCAGTCATCCCGCTTCTAGGAATATACCCTAAGAAGCCTGAAACACCAATCAGAAAGAATATATGTACCCCCATGTTCATAGCAGCACTATTTACAATAGCTAAGATCTGGAAACAGCCCAAGTGTCCATCAGTAGACAAATGGATAAAAAAGCAGTGGTACATATACACAATGGAGTACTATGCAGCTGTAAGAAAGAAAGATCTCTTATCCTTTGAGACGACATGGAGGGACCTGGAAAGTATTATCCTAAGCGAAACAAGCCAAGCAGAAAAAGACAAATACCACATGATCTCACTTATATACAGAATATGATGAACATAACAGTCTGAGGAATACAGTAGACCCAGAAACATGAAAGTAGGGTACAGACTGACAACCCTCAGAAGAAGGGGTGGTGGGGGTGGAAAGAGATAAACCACAGAACTTATATGCATGTATGCATGACCAATGGACATGGACAACAAAGCCAGGGACGGGGTGGGGGGTATGGGGAGGAGGGTGCCAATGGGGTGAAAAAGGAGAAACATCTGTAACAAAAATAAAATTAAAATAAATAAATAAAAACCATAAAAAAAAAAAAAGAAGTAGGGCAGGTGCTGCTTTAAATAAACTCATTATTTAATTTGTAAAATTATAAACATATAACTTTGATTAAAATAATTATTAAAGAATAGGATACAGTATTTGGAAAAGACATAGAGAAGAAAAGCACTATTTATATATAGTGTAGTATGGTAAAATTTCTACCCTATTGAAGTACCCCAGGAAACTGAGATTACATAGACAGAAAAGAAAATGGGCATATCTTCTCATGCTGTATTGAACAAAATAGAGCTCAAAAAGTAATTTTAGACTGAGAGTCAAATTATTCACATATGAAATCACAACATTACCATTTTAGCAAGTGCTTTGATTCCTCTTTTTAGCTCTCTCCTTTTGTTGGAAAACAGTTTAATCTCCTTTTTGATGGCCTAAATAGGACAAGCATATCACTTAAACAGGCAAGAAAAATAATAGTGAAGTATATGATATATACATACGTATCAATAGCCATACATACACATATAGACATAGGTACACAGACAGATACATAATAGATAGTACTTCTCTAGAAACAAAATTTTTTAAAGACTAATATAAAGTGTATATGAAATAACACCACTTCCATACCTTGCTTAAATAAATTGCTATTATGTTGACTGAAGCAACATAGTAGTTTCAGTCAATTATATGGCCAACAGAAGGAAAATAATTAAGTAATAAAAAATTAAATAGAAAATAGTTGACAAAGGAAAACCAGCCTCCTGTTTTATTGGGAACTTGAGACTAGATAAGCAGGCTAAATCCAGACACAAGCTACTACTACTACCTTTGTCACCTTCCTGCATATCTGAAGCCAGGATGTCCCTTTTCCTGTTTCTCCCACCTCTTTCTTATATCAACTCTGAAGCTTCCCTAAAACTCTCCGACATGACGTATCACACTTCATTCTTTGCTTTGGCTTACTTAGACAGCTTTGTTGGATTTCATATTAGCTTATGTACAATTCTTAAAGAAGATATAATTTAATCTAAAAGATTGGGCTGTGTTTAGGGTGTGCGTTTTCTTTCAGGAAAGTTACACTTGTATGATGGAATGCTCTGCTAAGTAGGACCTTGTTCTATTTTCTAACTTTGCAGCAGGTTTTCATAGGAAACTAATCTATTTGGCACACCTACAAAGCATTATTTCAAACCTCTCCCATATTTTATAAATACCTCTTGGCTTTTTTGTTGTATCCAGGGTATTTGCTTCATATTATCAGCTTGGACTAATTCCTCTTGTGATGAGTCAATGTTTAAACTCATAGTCTCACTTATCTTAGAAAAAGACAGACATGTCGTAAATTTAAAATTCATCAAGTTCTCCTCCTCCCACACTACTTCAAATAATTGTTTTGAATCTCTTTGCACTTGTTGCATTAAAACAAACAAACAAACAAACAAAATCTGGCCAGTTTGGCTCAGTTGGTTGAGCATCGTCCCATGCACCAAGAGGTCACTGGTTCAATTCCCAGTCAGAATACATGCCTGGGTTGTGGGCTCTATCCCCTGTAAGGGGTATGCAGGAAGCAACCAATTGATTATCTCTCTCTCTGCCTTCCTCTCTCTCTAAAAATCAATAAAAACATATTTAAAAAATAATAACAAACATTTTGCCTGTCCAAGACAAAGTGTTTTATTAATTTAATTCCTACCACTCTGTCCTTATATCAGCTACACTTTTCACCTAGAAAGCAGAAAGGATCAGATAGGTTTCATGTTCACCAAAACACTCTCTGCCTTCTTCCTGTTACTGTAGACCAAATGCTCCTGCCTATCACGGCCTGCTCCACCATTTGTACTTAGGATCTCAATCTTTTCCCCCTTCTTCAGGCTTTTACACTTAAAAAAAAAAAAAATTCCATTGCCCTTCAGCGTCATCCATTTCTCTCTTCTACTGAATCTTCCCCAATCGTGTGCTGGTATCTCCTGTCCTAGGAAAGCCACTGTCCATTGACTACCACACCCCCTCTTCAGCTACCACCCCCCTTCTGTTCTCTCTCTGCAACAAAATGTCTTGAAAAAGTTTGGGATATCACACTCTCCTGTAACCTCACTGGCTGCCCCTTCTCAGCCGCCTTTATCTCCCTAAGTTGTTCTCCTGGATATCTAGAAGATGCTCTCTCCTAGTCCCCTCTGTTTCTCAAGGTTGGCATGGGTAACCTTCTTTCTCCCACAGAGGTACCCTGCCTCATAGTCTTCCCCATGTTCACAAGTAGTATAATTTCCTGCATAGTTGTTCAAGTAAAAAATCTAGAAGTCCCTCTCCCTCTAATCCACCAGTAAATTCTGTTAACTCTACCTTGGAAATTTACCTGAAATGTACCATTTCCTCTCCACAACACTCCTCCACATCCATCCCTGGATCTCTGACACAGCCTCCTAACTAATCTCCCTGCTTCCTCTCTTGTCCCTTATGGGAAACATTCTCCACATAGTGGAAAGTCATTATTTCAAAAATGTGAGTAAGATCTTGTAACTCCTCTCCTCAGAAGATTTTATGGGTTCTTATTATACATAAAATTAAATCTAAACTCTACCTGGTTCACAAAGCCCTTTGTTACATGGCCCTTTTCCACCCTGAGGACCTCATCTCCTACCTCTCTCTCTCTTGCTGCCTTTAGTTGCACAGGCCTCTTTAAGGTCCTCAGACATGTCAAACACTTTCTCCCATCCGCCCTGAGTACTTTGCCCCATGTTGCATGTTGGCACCCTCTTTAAATTTAAGTCTCAGCTTAAATGTCCTCTCCTTAGGGAGGCTATTCCAGACAAATGCTATCACACCAAGCCATTTTTATTCACTAAATAGATGTTACTATTTACTTTTCTTATTTATTTGCTTATTTAGCTTTTTCTCTGCTCACTCCCAACCCGCAATTAGAATGTAAGCTTCATGAAAGCAGAAACTTTTTCTATCTTGTTCATGCCTATACTTCCCACAGCCTAGCATTTTGTAGGTGCTCAATAAATATTTGTTAAATGACTTGAAGGAATGAATGTTGCTCTCTGGCTAGATACGTCCTATATAATGTATGTGACATAAAAGTATAGACATGAGCCCATTTTGACCAAGCACAAGAATTGGTAGTAAGATTCTCTTTTTTCAGGCAGGCCTGGATCTTGTACTATGGTTTAAATAAGATCTATGGTATAATATTTGCCATTGCTTTGAGAAAGGCTGAATATTCACTCTTAGATGGAGCTCATGCTCTTTTTGAGAATCATGGTGTACCTGGATAAAAAGGGAAATTACTGAATTTCTGCTTAACGAAAACTGTAACTGCAAACTGATAGCTGATTGAAAGAGAAAGAAAGGGAGTGGGAATGCAAAAGGGATTCTACGAAAAGTAACCTCACAGAGTGATATGATCCTAAATTCCTAAATGGGTGGGTCATGGTGGGATAGTTACCACACTCCAGCATATAACTTTTTTAGGAACAGGCTTATCTTTGCTTTAGCAAGCCCTATCCATTGTTTTTGTGCATGTAGGTTAACACGCCTTTGCAATAAGCGTAACCACCCTCAACAGGGGATCTAGTTTTGTTAACTATCCTATAATCAAATGCTTGCCTTGCTTTTAATCACTTTCATGTAACCTTCCTTAGTTCCCTCCCTAATTTTTGATACATAAAGGAAACTGTCAAACTGTGGAGTATTTTGAGATCTTGCGTCCTGGCAATTGTTAATTTGGCTCAAATAAATTGTCATAAAAATTCTTTATGGGTTTGGACATTTCTCACGTAGACAGAAGGAGGAAAAAAAACTATATCAGAACTCAACTGCGTGTTCAGATCCTGATTCCAAAGTCGTGGAATTGCTTTGTCTTATACGTAAATAATTATTCTCCTCCTGTATGGTGTTGCCCAGAGAAGTTAAAAGTTGCTGGAAATATTCAAGAATTTCACTGGCTAAGTTTCCTCCAAATCGCCTATATTAATAAAAAAGAAAACACACAGGCTATAAAATCACAATTTTAAAAAATCATACTTAGCAGTATTATTTCCAGATACAAAACCATTTCTACACAAAGCGCTATGTGGACAATTCTCTGAAGTGCTCTGTAGACATTAGGACTCCACTTCTTAGAGTCTGTGCATGGGCTCCCGGACACGACCAGCCCCTGGGCCTAGTTGGGTGATCTTTTCTCATGCTGTCCCCATAGTCTTACCCTACAATTCCTCTGTACCTGCTTTGGCCACAGCACAGAAGAGCCACCACTCTGGTTAAGCCTTAGAATGTACAGGTGCTGCGCTGCTGCACACACATAATCACACCATCACATTCAATCCTCGCAGTCCCATTCTACTGAGGGTACACTCAGTGCACCAGAACATCTCAAAACTTTGGAAACGTCAGCATCACCTGGAGGGTTTATTAAAACAAATTCTTGGACCTCACCCACAGAGATTCTGATTCAGGAAGTCTGGGTGGGGCCCAAGAATATGCATTTCTAACAAGCTCACAGGTGCTGCAGACCCCACCTTAAATAACATCGTTCTAGATAGTTTGGAAGGGTTGTGATGTGTTTGAGGTTACAAGCTAATAAGTCCTGGACTGAGGTTTCAAATTCAACTTTGTTTTGAGTCAAAAGTCCACATGATTAACTGTGATAGGTGGAAATGTCTTTACTTCCATAAATAGGGCTCCAGCACTCATTTGCTGTTACCTGAGATGCTATTTGCTCACTGACTATAAAGGATGTGTTAGGACTTATATATAAAATACAAGTTAATTAAGAGTCCATGTATAAAATGGACATAATGGTACATACAGTCTTCAAATGAGTCTTTGAACTAAGTGGCTACCAAAATTGTTATGATATAAAATCTCCAAAGTATTTAACATTTTCAAATGTCACTGAGGCCATGTTTTATTATTGTTTTGATCACATGAGGCACTGTAAGATATTATTTTTGTGGAAATGAACTACACATTGACTAGTTCTATCCACTGCAAGATCAAACAAGGCAACACTTCAAGTCCAGGCTGTCACCTTCATGCTTTCTGTCCCCTGGTCACCATCTGTTTATTTTAGTAGTATTTATTTATTTAGAATACTAATTTTAGTCTAATCAAAGTCCAAATAAATTAATATTGTCTGAGCAAAGTCTAATTAGGAAAGTCACTCTGTATGTGTATATACATACATATCTATATAAGGATTTTGAGGGATAAACAGGAGCTTTTCAAGTTGTCTAATCTTCAGAATTGTCCTCATTTCTTGTACTCTTCCAACAGGTGTTATGAAAGAGAGGACTGATCATCTTACACGTATTAACCATATCTTTTCTTTTCTTGTATTTTGATGCTTTGACATCTAGGGCCATCCTGACCCTGGAGGGACTCCCCTCCCAGAGCTAGCCAGTTCCTGGAAACAGTAAACAACTCATGCTGTAGCCCACATTTCTAATGCAAACCCACTAACCCAGAACCCACACCCGACCATCTCCTCCACTGGGCTTCACCACTGTTTCCCTGCCCTAACCATCTTAGGGCCAAGAGCCGGATAACTAGGGCAGCCCCTATGCCTTAGAGCCCACTGAAGTTATCCTAACTAGCCAGCCCTAAATCTGTCTGCTCTTTCCCATGGAAACCATAATAAAGGCTCTTGCCCATGGTCTCCCTGCTTCCTCTGCCTCTTTACCCACCCTGGTGCTTCCCCATGTGGACCTCCAGTAGCGTGGCCTACACCCTCCTCTTGGGATCTGTGAGTATAACAACCTTTTCAAAGGTCTCCTGTTATGTTGGCCTTGCTGTACCTAAATAATAACAACATCTTTATTTTAAAACACCATACCAGGCCCTGGTCAGTTTTGCTCAGCAGTTAGAGCACTGTCCCGTGGACTAAAGAGTCGCAGGTTCGCTTCTGGCCAAGGGCACGTACCGCGGTTGTGATTCATCTAGGCCCTGGTCGGGGTCGTGTGGGAGACAACCCATCGATGTGTTCCTCTCACATCTCTTTTCCTCCTTCTCTCTCTCTCCCTCCCACTCTGTCTGAAAATATTTGAGGGGAAAAAAATAACCTCTGGTGAGGATTAAAAAAAAACAAACAAAATAAATAAATAAAACACCATACCATGTGAGGCTGCTTTCTGTTTACTGTACGTACCTCCATCTTAGGCAAACAAGGGTGCCATCATCTTTTCCATTTACCAGAACGTTTTGTCCATCCATTGAAATTCTCACTGACTGAATTCCATGCCCCTGGTGAGAATGACTCCGACAACGAACAAACGTTTCCTCAATAGTTTTAGGAACAAAGTGAAAAAATTACAAACACAATTCAATTACATGGTTTTTCTAAGGGGACTGCATGCACTTTGCTTGTTGATAAATCTTTTTCTGTTTGTTAAGAGCCTCGTGGTTGGGGTGGCATTAGCCTCTAGGTAATACAGAGCACTGAAAATCCCTAGTTCAAAACACGTTCACCAATACTGATTCATTCTCCATTTGTGGTAGTGGAGAAGGAGAGGAATTATTATCATCAATGTATAATAGGAAAATTGGACACAGAAGCGAATGAAATTGCTGAAGGCTATGAAGGTAAGGGAGGGGCCTTGAGCAAGCAGAGGGGGTAAATTCAGGCGCCTTCAAGAATCAGGCAGGTTCCATTTATGTGTGAAGAGGCTGAGTGTGATGAGAGAGGGTGATGGGCACTGGGAATAAAAAAGGATAACATGCCCCATATGGAGGATGCTAATCAAACATGTTTAATTAGAACCCAAACAAAACACATCACTAATTTGGTACACAGGGCAATAGTCTAAGCCCCTTCACTAAAAATTGGGATTTCTGTGTCACACTGGTTCTCAACCTTGATACTTTGTTTTAAAAAAAACTTTAAAAATAGGTAATACATTTAAATGGTCCAAAATTCAAAAACTATAAAAGTGCACGCAGTGAAATCTTCATGTCACCATTCCCCAACCACTTCCCAAAGGAAGTATCTTCAATATCCTTTCAGACTTTTTTTATGCATATAAATGAGATTTTATACAATTTTAACATAAACTGTAGAATAATACCTACATTTGCACCTTGCTTTCCTCCCTAAAAATATCTTGGGGTTCTTTCCATATTGTTGCATAAGGATTTCCTCATTCTTTATTACAGCTGTGTAATATTCCACATTTTACTTATGTATTGTTTATGTACCATTATTTATTTATCCAGTCCTCTGTTGATGGACATTAGGTTGTTTTACAAACAATGCTACCATGGATAACCTCATATATTAGGTGCTTTGGATAGAATAACCCCCCCAAAATCTTTGATGTCTTGCCATATCATGCCACTGTTAGTTGTTGTATACATTACAAATCATTTGACTAAGAGACAGTGTAACAAAGTTTACAAATTGTTCACTTAAAAGTAATCTCTGAGGGCCCTGGCCAGTTTGGCTCAGCGGTTAGACCATTGGCCCACGGACCAGAGAGTCCCGGGTTCGGTTCCCACTAAGGGCATGTACCTCAGATGCAGTTTGTTCCCAGCCCCAGTTGGGGTTGTGTGGGTGGCAACCACTCGATGTATCTCTCTCACATTGATGCTTCTTTCTTTCTCTTCCTCCCTCTCTCCCTCCTGCTCTGTCTGAACATAAATGCAAAAATGTCCTAGGGTGAGGATTAAAAAAAAAAGTAATCTCTGAGGGATTTAAGGTTTTACTTGTATAATATCACTTTTGCCCAACTGTGTTCCAAATATGCTTTCTTGCACATATGAGTAAGGAGAGCTGTATGGGCACAACCAGGGCCCAGTTGATCTGGACCCATAGGTGTGAGTCATGTGGGTCATTGTGACACTTTGCATATTTGGAGTAGAACCCTGGATAAAAATCACTGACTGCATTAAATTATACTGATGACCAGTACAACTCGATTCCGGCATCACATAAAGAGTCGGGGGGGGGGGGCAGTAGCAACCAGCCCAGAGGCCCTTCAGGCCAGGAGGATAGCAACAGTAATCCCTAGGTTTACACAGCAATTCACCACTTCCGAAGCAGTTTGTATATGCCCTCTCACTGGCTCTTGCTAGAATCTCACAGGGTGAGAAAAAGCTAGGCTTCCCTGGGCTTTTTCTTTGCAGATCTGTCCCTGGTTGGTGTTTTCTCTCTCAAAAATCCAAACCTTGACACATAAATACACCTAAAGTTAAAGTCAATAATACCATCAGTGATAAGTAAGTTATGACTCAATTTACCTATGAAAGAATTCCAATTCTTTCCCTAAGGGCTACTGCCCCTTATATGAAATGAAGACATACATCCCATAATTGTTTAAAGAAAAAAAGTTTACCAAAGTGTGAATGTCTCGGATACACACAGTTCCACATTTAGCTCTTGTTATGAGCCACAGTCCATGCGCAGACAGAGAGAGTGCTCCAGGTCCATATAGTCTGCTCTGCACTTTCTGGTATGGCTTAAGAATGCAAATACCACTATGTTCCTGCCAATCAAAGAAGATGACTGCATTATAGAACAGATCAGGGAGCAGCATCTTAGGGTTTGCAGTTGTGCCTATACAGTCATATTCAAATTTGAAAATTCTGTCGTTGGAAATACACTGATACACGATAAAGTGGGCACCTGTATTTGTATCACATTTTCTATCTTTGCAAATAAATGTTCGTTTTGGCTAAGAAAAGTCTTTACGTATATGTTAGTTACCAGTAAAGATCCCAGACTACACTGACCATCTCTCTCACTAACCATTTTCTTTTTTTTTTAATTTTAAAACTTTTTAAAAATTTCTCACCCATGGATATTTTTCTATTTATCATTAGATAGAGTGGGAGGCAGGAGGGAGGGAGACAGAGAGAAACATCGATGTGATAGAGCCACACTGACTGGTTGCTTCTGTGTCACACGACCGGACCAGGGTTGGGGATGAACCGCAATTGAGGTACGTACCCTTGACCAGAATCGAACCCGCAACTCATTGGTCTGCAGGCCGATGCTCTAACCACTGAACCAAACTGGCCAGGGCTTACTAACCATTTTCATATATTCCCACGTTCAAGTCAAAATAAATTAGTCAATATGCCCCCTGTCTGTTTCATGCACTCCCCCCTCCAAGCCTTTGCACATGCCGTGACTTTTGTCTAGAATGCTCTTCCCCTCCCCATCCCCACCAATCCTGCTCCTTCCCTACCTCAGCAATCCCACTCCCCCGACTCCCACCAAGATGGTCCACAGTATTTCTCTATGCCTTAATCTAACCTATTCTTCAAAGTTCAGCTCAAATAGTACTTCCTTCATGAATCTTTACTTGAATCCTCCTTATCATTAGCCATTTCTTTCTTAATTTCTTTGTCTCACACCTTGCTGACATTGGCCACTCAGGGAGAGACGAGCTTTGATTGAAGGAAGGGAGGAAGGGTGGTTGATGATCTGGGCCAGAGTATGTAGCAGGAGGTGATATCATATGGGAGAAGTTTAAAAAGAGTGTGATGAAAGGATGCCAGAAACATAGTTTAACAATTCTGTGCAATTTTACTTAGGGTTTAGGTGCAAATTTCTACTGAAAACCAGCAAGCCTGTAGCCCCTGTACCTGCGGGATATGTTTTCTAAGGTTAGATTGTTTTTTTAAAGCATTAAACTAATACTGTGCCATCTGCATGTTTATCTGACAAGTATGATATATGTAGCACAAGTGTGAGGTTATTCCAACATATTTTGATGGATTAATAAGCCATGCTTATATATATTTAATTCAAGGAAATTATGTTATTACAATAAAGCCGTTTGTGTTTGTTTTTTTATCCTCACCCGAGGACATTTTTCCATTTTTTGTTCAGATAGAGTGGGAGGGAGAGGAAGAGAGAGAGGGAGAAACATCAATGTGAAAGGGACACATTGAGTGGCTGCCACCCGCATGACCCAACCAGGACCAGAGACAAACTGCAACTGAGGTACGTACCCTTAGCGGGAACCGAACCCGGGTCTCTCTGGACCACAGGCCGATGCTCTAACTGCCGAGCCAATAAAGCCATTTGTTAACTGGACTATAATGTTAAAGCATGGATCACGTCTAATTAATACAATGTGTTAATCTTGATTGCTAAGATAAATGATAGCGAGCTGAAGTTTTGACATACCTTTTCAGGAAGAAGATAGCTGCAAATGTAGGGCACTTCACTACAGAAGCCATATACTTTGTTACTTTGGAAATTCAACACAGCAGAGGACAGAGAGTGCTCTATCTCATATAGGAACTTATGAATGAATTCATCTCTCATTCTCCCTCTTTCATCAACAAAGGTTGCAGAAACTGTAAGATTTAAGGAAGAAAAGAGATCACTTGTACCATATATTGATTTTATTTTATTTTTTTTATCCTCACCCGAGGACATTTTTCCATTTTCTTTTCAGATAGAGTGGGAGGAAGAGAGAGAGAAACATCGACATGAAAGGGACACATCGAGTGGTTGCCACCTGCACGACCCAACCAGGGCCAGGGACAAACTGCAACCAAGGTACATGCCCTTAGCGGGAACCGAACCTGGGACTCTCTGGACCGCAGGCCGATGCTCTAAATGCTGAGCCAAATCAGCCAGGGCTGATTTTATTTTTTAATTGTTATAAAAAATTATGAAAGTTAAATTAAAAATTTAAATGCTTAATTAATAACTTGGCTCACCTGACCAGTGTGGCCCAGTGGTTGAGTGTCGACCCATGCACCAAGAGGTTGCTGGTTTGGTTCCTGGTCAGGGCACCTGCCCAGGTTGTGGGCCTGATCCCCAGTGGGAGGCGTGCAGGAGGCGGCCAATCGATGTTCTCTCTCATCGATGTTTCCACCTCTCCCGCCCTCTCCCTTTCTCTCTCTCTAAACATTAATAAAGATAAAAAAAAAATTAAAAAACAAAATAAACAAAACCGTGGTTAATTAAAATATAAAAGTACTTTGAGGTTTTTGGCTGTCTTATATTCCACAATTATATATTTGCAAAATAGCTACCCAGATATTTGTTACTTAAAACAGAAAAAGTGTCTATTTTATCAGACCTCTAGCCAGAAAGCTTTCTTTAGAATTTTATCAGTGAAAGTAATTTTACAGTAACATATATGAATTTGACTATATAAAGTTAAAATACAAAAAAGAGACATCACAAAATGACAAATCAATTTGACTAAAGTGCCAGTTGATCCAGTTTCTTTTCTCTGGTAAATGGGCAGATTCATATGAATGACAGGGCTTAGAAGAAAACCCACATTTCACACTGTTTAGCAGCCTCATTAGTTTCACCTTGTAAGATACACAAAAGATGGTATTTTACCTGTTCACATGTTAAAAGAGAGAAAAAAAAAGCTATCACCAGGAAAAAAAAAGAATAAAAATTATAGCAACTACTTGTCTGGGCCCAGGGCAGAACTGGTAGCTTGTGTTTTTCTTTACCTTGTGGTAGTATTATAGGCAGAGTAAATATTTCCAGCCTGCTTCTTCCAGTTTCTGGAAGTGGAGAAAGTACCATCACTTCCATTATGTCTGTTTCCAAAAGAGACACTGTGGATATTTGTAAAATGTCTTTGCCCACCTCTGAAAGAAAATGGAAATCAATACCACAAGTGGTCATTGATATGTTTAAAGAATCTTTTACCTTCCCAAGTAAGATATCACATTATAGAATTGCCTTCATTAAAGCTTTAGATCCAAATTTATCTACTAGACATTTAAAGTGACCTTTCAACATAAGTGACGGAAATTTTTATTTTTATGACAGGGATATTTTTGATGACCAGATAAAGGAATCTCCTGATAAGATATCTGTGTTGGCTGATTCAACCCACCTTTGATGAGCTGTTACTTTCCCAGGCAGGGAGGCCTCCACCTAAATGCTCTGGCCCTTGAATGTCCACTCTAGCTGGTTTGCCCACTCCAAATATTGGATACACTCAGTCTTCAGTATTCTTTGTATCACTCTCCCTGGGGGGCTGTTCTGGATGTGTCCATTTTCTCAGGCCCCCAATATCAGCCCCTCAGGTGTTCAGGGGATGACCTTTTCGTACTTATGGAGGAAGACTGAGAACATCTAACACAAACCTGACCTCAACTTTCTTATCTAAATCTTAGATTGTTCCCATCCTCCCTTCATTTCTTAGCATTTCTGTAGGAACAAAATGTAACCCTTTTCATCTGTGAATTTGAGATCATTCCTTCCATGTCCTGTGAGATCATGTGCTATCAATTACCTCTTATTTTCTTGTGTCTTTTATGGTTTCTTCTATTCAGCCCTCAAGACTCTCCTATGTTCAAATCGGGACCTTCCTTCAGCCCTGTTTTCCCACCACAGTGACCATCCAATTCTCTTTTCTCAACTGCAAACTTCTTAAAACAGGAGTTGTCACTCACTGACTTCATTTTCTGACCTCCACTCCCTCCCTCCTTTTGTCTCTCCATTCCAGAGAAGTAACTTTCCTAGGGGTTATCCATGGTTGGCAGATATGAGGGCCTCCTCCCTGTCCTTGCCCAGTCACACTTCTGCCCGAGTATATACACCCTCATCCAGCTTTCTTCCTTCAAGCTCTTTCTAGAGTGGGTGACTCCAGTTTTCTTATTACTCTGGCATGTTGTCAGCTTTCTTCACTGCCTCATCTTTCTCTGTTTACAACTTCAATGGAAATAGTTTTTCCTATCCCATACTCTGACTGATTGGACATGTTAAAAAATGGAATGTTGAGGCAGAACTTGCATCCACTCTGAGGTCAGCCACAGGTCCTACCGCACTCTGTGTCATCTAATTTATATATTAAGGTTACCTGTTTGGCCTCATTAAGCAATTGGGTTTGCTTCTACTCTCTCTTCTTAAGCCATCTCAATGGCTTCTACGATTTCAAGATCAGAATTCTATCATTAACCTGTGAACTACAAATCTTCATCTCCAAACTTGTGTTAAAAATCCCTAAATGGTCCTGGCCAGTTTGCTAAGTGGTTAGAGCATTGGCCCACGGACCAGAGTCCTGGGTTCGGTTCCTGCTAAGGGCAAGTACCTCGGTTGTAGTTTGTCCTTAGTTGCAGTTTGTCCCCGGTCCCGATTGGGGTCGTGTGGGTGGCGACCACTCGATATGTCTCTCTCACATCGATGTTTCTCTCTCTCTCTTGTCCTCCTCTCCCTTCTGCTCTATCTGAAGATAAATACAAAAATGTTCTCGAGCGAGGATAAAAAAAAAAAATTCCCAAATGAAGAGCTTATTGACTTCAAATCTACAAAGCTCCTCAGCTCATCTTATTCTTCAACCTCCATAATTTTTTTTAAAAATTGAGTTTTTACTTCAATTTATGACCACAAACTTCCATGATCTAGGCTAGAAATTTTAGTCATTGCTGTTCTTTTCCTTTCACACATAAACCAAGTCTTACCAATTCCGTCCCTCATAGCTGTCCCCTCCTTTTTCTTTCCATGTCTGCCGCATGGGTGTGTGCATGTGGATAAGAGCAGGAGCCCTGAAGCCAGACTTCCTGAGTCCTGGCTCCACCACAACCTAGCCGCACGCATGACTTGGAACTGTACTTACCCTCTCTGCCTCAACTGCCTCATCTGTAAATTAGTATAATAACAGTCCCTACCTCATAAAAGTTGTAAGAATTAAATAAATCAACACATGCCAAGTGCTTAGAACACTAAATCCCTCAATAAATGTTGGCTACTTGGCATGATTGATATTACATGTCTGGCTACTAGAAAAATTGCCTAACTCATCCTTTTCATTCCATTCTTTTGCCTTTCTGTTCCAGCCTTCACATTTGTGCCAGAGTCATCCTCTAAAAAAACAAGTCAAATCAAGCTAGTCCCATCTTGAGAACCTCTGATGATACTGCTTTCACCACAGAACAAAGTCCAGACTCCTGGGAATGATACTCAACACCCTTTGTCTTCTTTCAGATTTCATCACCATAATCATCACCTAGTAAACACTTCTGTTTACCTATGACACCAAATTTCTTCCCACTCCAGGGGCTTTTGCTCCTCCCTTCATCTAGAGATGAAATACTAATACGGTCCATGCTCCACTACTTTAAATCTTTGGGAAACTCTCCCCTGTCGTCTGCACTACCTTGCTACTAGTGCTCCCCTTTACCTCTACTCATATTTCCTCACCCCTGGCAGAATTAATTGCTTCTTCCTCTGAGCCTACACAGCACTCTGTTTATTCCACTTCTACTAGATTATCTCCTTGGCCTTTCTGTGCCCTATAGGGCCTAGGTTCATATTCAAGCGAGCACTCAATGAATGGATTTTAAAAATGTATTTGGGCCTGGCTGGTCTGGCTCAATGGATTGAGCATCATCCCATGGGCTAAAAGATCCCAGCTGGATGCCCAGTCAGGGCACATACCCGGGTTTGGGGCTTGATCCCCAGTAGGGGATATGCAGGAGGCAGCTGATCAATGTTTCTCCCTTACATCAATGTTTTTATCTCTCTCTCCCTAAAAAAATCAATAAAAACACATTTAAAAAATTTAAATATATCTGGGGAAAATGGACATATGTATTTAGCACTTAAAGCCAGAGAGAAATGTATTAATTCTTACTATTTATCATATCAGTGTCTCTCATCTACCAGATCTGTGGTTTACCTAGACATTTAAATAAACATTACTGAAAAAAGCTGAATATCATTTAAGATTCATGTCATAAAACTTTCTTTAAATATTTTTACTAGAAATAAAATATTTTTTATTTTTACTTTTTACACTCATTTTTATTGTTGAATGTATTACAGATGTCCCCCCCCCCTTTTTCCCCATTGACATTCTTCTCCCCAATCCTGCCCTCCCCTCCTGCCTTCCCCACACTGTTGTCAGTGTCCATTGGTTATGCATATATGCATAGAAGTTCTTTGGTTTATCTCATCCTGCCCTCCCACCCCCCTTCCCTTTGAGGTTCATCAGTCTAATAACCAATTTGTGCTACTTAATTCCATGATCTTTTTCACCTATCGCTCCAGCCCCGGCCCATCTGGCAAGCAACAAAAAGTTCTCTGTATCTGTGAGTCTGTTTCTGTTCTGCCTGCTCATTTTGTTTGTAGATTCAATTGTTGATAGATATGTATTAATTGCCATTTTGTTGTTCATATTTTTGTTCTTCTCCTTCAAGAAGACCCTTCACTCCTTTAGCTTTTTCTTGTCTGGGAAACTCTTGACATGTCCATCAATTCTAAATGATAGCTTTGCAGTAAAGAGTAATCTTGGTTGTAGGTCATTGCTTTTTATCACCTTGAATATCTCTTGCCACTCCTTTCTGGCCTGCAAAGTTTCTTTTTTTGAGAAATCAGCTGACAGTCTTATGGGAGCTCCTTTGTAGGTAACAAATTGCTTTTCTCTTGCTGCTTTTAAGATTCTCTCTTTGTCTTGCACCTCTTGCATTTTGATGATGATGTGTCTTGGTGTGGGCCTCTTCGGATTCATCTTGTTTGGGACTCTCTGTGCTTCCTGGACTTGTATGTCTATTTCCTTTACCAAGTTATGGAAGTTTTCTGTCATTATTTTTTCAAATAGGTTTTCAATTTCTTGCTCTCTCTCTTTTCTCCTTCTGGCACCCCTATGATGCAAATGTTGGCATGTTTAAAGTTGTCCCACAGGCGCTTCACACTATCCTCATTTTTTTGGATTCTTTTTTCTTTTTGCTGTTGTGATTGGGTGTTTTCTGCTTCATTATATTCCAAATCAATGGTTTCCTTTTTGGCTTTACCTATTCTACTATTGATTCCCTGTAAATTATTCTTTATTTCAGTTAGTGCATCCTTCATTTCTAACTGGTCCTTTTTTATGTGGTTGATATTCTCACTAAGTTCCTTAGAGGTCTCCTTAAGTTCCTCGAAGGTCTCACTAAGTTCCTTGAATGTCTCACCAAGTTCCTTGAGCAACCATATAACCAGTGTTTTGAACACTGCATCTGATTGATTGCTTATCTCCGTTTTGTTTAGTTCTTTTCCTAGAGTTTTGTTCTTTTCTCTCATTTGGAACATGTTTCTTTGTCTCCTCATTTTGGCTGCTTCCCCGTGATTATTTCTATGTATTAGGTAGAGTTGCTATGTCTCCTAGGCTTCATAGAGTGGCCTATTGTTATAGATGTCCTATAGGATCCAGTGGCACAGCCTCCCTTATCACCCTAGCTAGGCCCTTGAGATGCACCCTAGAGTGGACTGTACACATTTCTGTTGTAATTGAGTCTTCTTTTTTTTATCCTCACATGAGGACATTTTTCCATTTTTTGTTCAGATAGAATGGGAGGGATAGAGAGGATGAGAGAGAGAGAGAGAGAGAGAAACATCGATGTGAAAGGGACACATCGAGTGGCTGCCACCCACATGACCAACCAGGGCCGGAAACAAACTGCAACTGAGGTTATGTGCCCTTAGTGGGAACAGAACCCAGGTCTCTCTGGAACGCAGGCCGATGCTCTAACCGCTGAGCCAAACCAGCCAGAGCTGTAATTGAGTCTTGATTGCTGTTGGCATGCCAATGGGAGGGATTTACTCAGGCTGATCAGCTGCAAGGACTGACTGTGCCCACTGACCACTGGTCTCTGACTTCCTTGGATGTTCAGCTGTGAGGAGCCCACCACATAGAGCAAGACTTACTTCATCAGGGCTCTGGTGCCCACTGAGTCCACTCATTGAGTGTGTTACTTGTGGAGGCGCTTGGGTGGTGGTGCTTCAATGTGGTCTGAAGCTGTCCACTGGGTGTGCTGGCTCTGGGGCAAGGTTAGCCACTGCCTGTGTTCTTTTTATTTTTTTATTCTCACCCAAGGAAATTTTTCCATTTGTTTGTTCAGATAGAGTGGGAGGGAAAGAGAGGGAGAGAGAGAGAGAGAAAGAGAAACATCAACATGAAAGGGACACATCGAGTGGCTGCCACCTGCACGACCCAACCAGGGCCGGGGACAAACTGCAACTGAGGAACGTGCCCTTAGCAGGAACTGAATCTGGGTCTCTCTGGACCGTAGGCCGACGCTCTAACCGCTGAGCCAAACCAGCCAGGGCACTGCCTGTGTTCTATCCGGGGCCACCTGGTATAAGCTACAAAGTGATCTTCAGATGGCTGCTTCTTGTGCTGGGCTTGGAGGTGCCCAGGAAAAGCCAAATGGTGAACCAAGACTGGCTGCTTCTAGTGCCAGGCCTTTGCTGAGACCAGATGCTGCTTGTTTGAGAGATTTGAGGAAACTCTGAAGCAGGATCCAAGACAGGACAATCCTATGGTAAAGCCTTTGGAAACAGCTTGGGTGGGCCTGAAATTTGGGTAGGGCAGGGACAAAAGTGTGAGCCAGGTTGCTGGAGTCCCAGATATGGCGACGGTCTGCCAGCCCGTGGGGGAAGGGCTCACCAAAGGAACATCAGCCTCCGCCAGCATGTCTGTCTGGGAGAAAGCTGCCTCTCCAGCCCTCATCCCAAGGCCAAACAGCTCAGTTCCTCCCTGTATGTCTCTGGTGCCTTTCAAGTTGCCTCCCTTCTGAGTTTAGAGAGAGCGAGTCCAAGTAAGTCCGTGAGTGGGCCCTTTAAGAAAGCTGCCTGGGGTTCCAGAAGCCTCAGCCTCAGTTCCTGCTGGTTTTACAGCCAGAAGTGCCAGACTTCTCTTCTGGCACTGGAACCCTGAGCTGGGCACCTGGCATGGTGCAGGGACCCCTCACTTCTCAGGGAGGACCTTCCCAGCTGAGACGTCCCTGTTGATTTTTATCCGCAACACATGGGTGTGGGACCAGCCCGTCCGTGCCCGTGCCCCCGCCCCCGCCCCTCCTCCCAGTCTCCATGTGGCTGTTTCTTTAATTCTGTAGTTGTGGGACTTCGATTCAGCTCGATGTCAGGCAGTTCTGAATGATGTTTGTGCTATAGTTTAGTTGTAATTTTGGTGTGGTGGTGGGAAGAGGCGAAACCGCATTTACCTATGCCGCCATCCTGACTGGATGTCTCAAATATTATTAAAAAAAATATTTCAGGGATAAACAATCAAATTTCTTTTTGTAATAACTTTAAAATATTTGGCCATTGCATTCATTAGTTCACTAATTGATTCAAGAACATTTATTTAGTATTAACTATGTAACAAGCGGATGTATCAAAAACCTCTAAATGTGACATAGGAATTCTCCTAAGTAACTTTAAACAGTTATTTGAATGTTTCTCTTTTAGAAAATATGCCACAGATAATTATCTCACTATAGCCTCATTTTTACCACCTTAAATTCTTTGGAACAAAGTGACCAATATTTTAAATTAATAAGCATTTTATGTAGTACCTACGTATCCAAGAATCTCAAATAAGCTTGAGGGGGTGGCATTGATAACAAAGATGTATCCTTCTGATGTTCCAACTAATAGATACATTCCTCGCTGGTCATAACTAGAAAAGAAGAAATCTGATTTTACTTGTTTCACTAATAAGATGGTAAACATTTATTGAATGAAAGCACAGAGATCCATTCAAAAGCATTCTTACCATCTGTAATTTTTAATATGATCTGACCTTACAAAAGCCAAGTGATTACATATAAACATAATCATTACATTCTAGGCTAATGCTATTTCCAAATTTCAACACAGTCAAGAAGATTCACTAGCCCTGGCTGATGTGGGTCAGTTGGCTGAGCATCTTCTTCCCATGCACTGAGAGGTCATCAGTTTGATTCCCAGTCAGGGCACATGCTGGGGTTGCAGGCTCGATCCTCAGTAGGGGACGTGCAGGAGGCAGTCGATGGATGTTTCTCTCATCGATGCTTCTCTCTCTCTCTCTCTCTCTCTCTCTCTCTCTCTCTCCTTTTCCCTTCCTCTCTCTATAAAATCAATAAAAATATATTGAAAAAAAAGATTCATTAAAGATGGTCAACTATTTCATCATAAGTGAATGAAATATGACAATAAAGCTTTCTAGATATTTAAAGTGGAAATACGCAATTCTCAAATTAGTGATGAATACATTTTAGTACCCTTTAGGACCAGTACCTGGCAGGAGGAGGAAGAATGTAGTGAAATGTTTCTAAACCTTCATAAAATTAGAATAAGTGGGGAAATGAAAATTAGGATAACAGAGAAGGATCTGAGAAAGAAGAAACAACAGAAGGTATGGTACAGAGGAGCAGGGTGTAACTGGAGGGAGGTTACAGATCCTTCCCCGCTGAGCTGGAGGCAGCATGCTTGCAGCGACAGCACAGATGATGGAAAGCCAGCTCCCCCAGGCGTAGCTGGGTCATTTCCTGGCAAGTGCTTCTCTTAACCCTTCTGAACCTGAATTCCCTCATTTGTGGAATAGGCACAAGCATAATACCTTCCTGACTGGTGGGACGAGGATCACATTCAATAAGCTACACTCTGTGACAGGGCACAGATGTCGGTTCTTGTTAAGAACAACTGTTATGCCCTGGCCGGTTTGGCTCAGCGGTTAGAGCATCGGCCTGCGGTCCAGAGACACCTGGGTTCAGTTCCCGCTAAGGGCACGTACCTTGGTTTCAGTTTGTCCCTGGCCCTGGTTGGGTCATGCGGGTAGCAACCACTCGATGTGTCCCTTTCACCTCGATGTTTCTCTCTCTCTCTCTCCCTCCCACTCTATCTGAACAAAAAATGAGAAAATGTCCTCGGGTGAGGATTTAAAAAAAAAAAAGAACCACTGTTATGATAATTTAACAAAAGAGCCCTGCTGGTGTGGCTCAGTGGATTAAGCATGGCCCCATGGACTGGAAGTCCCAGCTCAATTCCTGGTCAGGACACATTGCCTGGGTTGTGGGTTCAATCCCCAGTGGAGGGCATGCAGGAGGCAGCCAATCGATGTATCTCTCTCACATCGATGTTTCTATCTCTCTCTCTCAAAAAACAAACAAACAAAAAAAACAAACCATAAAAGAAAACTAATAAAAGAAATAATAATTATAATAACAACAACATGAGTCCAAACCCAATGACTCTGTACTGTCTTCTTAAAAGTCTTATTTCAAAATATCATCTAAATACCCATCAATATATTGTCTTTTAAAAATAATAGTATATTCATATAATGAAATACTATGCAGTGTAAAAAAGAACAAGGAGGGCCTTTATGTGTGGATAGAAAATATTCTCCAAGATACACTAATAAGTCAAAAAACAAAAACAAAAAACAAAAATGATGCAGAACATTGTATATGGTTTGGTCCCTTCTAGAGTGAAGGCAATGAATCTGGAGCCCCACTGCCTGGGTTCAAATCCCAACATTTGCCATTTATACCTGTGTAATATTAAGCAAGTTATTTATACTCTTTGTGTTCATCTTCCCCATCTGTAAAGTGGAGACAATACGAGTCTCTATCTCATAAAGTTAATATAATAGAAGTGCCTCACACACTCTTAAGTGCTTGATAATTATTTGTGAGAATGAAAGGAAGTGCGCATCTTTTTGCTTGTTTAATAATAAAGTATCTCTGGAAAAAAGACATGAGAAACTGGTAACAGGCTGCCTCTTTAGAGGAGAACTGGGGTTCAGGGACAAGAGTAGGCCACCTTTCACTACATACCCCTCTGTATTTTAGAACCTTGAACTGAATCAATATATTACTTTCCAAAACAAAACACTTAAAACTTAAAACGTAAAGAAATGATGGCTTCGCTGAAATTCTCAACAGACAGGTCTGACAAAGTTGCTGCCGGGAGCAGGCAATACTTACAGGAGGTGCTGAACTGCGTATTCGGAGGGAAAGGCCCTGTGAACCGCCTGAGGGGATTCCGCATCCAGGATGTCAATGAAGTGGACAGAGCCATCCACAGCCCCCACAGCCGCAGAGAGGGAGGCGGGAGAGCAAGCCAGAACTGTCGTCTGTTTAAAATAAACCCCCAGATGCTAAACTTCACTGTGGGAAAACAACAACAACAACACGCGAAGCCAGATCTCTTACACGTCAGAATCTGCAGTTTATTTGAAAAGCCTGCAGAATTCAAGAGCGGCCAGTGTTGTGTGGTATGACAAATCATACACTCCACATTCCTGAGCTATTCGAATGCATAAGTCACAGGAATCTGTACATTTTATTATTTTATCCTAAAATTAGAATGATAAAAATATAAAGAAATTTCTTGAACTTTAAGCCATGGCTTCATTTTTAATCCCTAAATGATTATAAAATTACACCAATAATCATGAAAAATAAAGTAAGAAATTTAAATAATTTCCTAGCACCTTTTGGACATCTTTATAGAATGTTATAGGTTTTTAAAATCACCATTCATCTGCTGGATTATGGTAGGTCCTGGGGTGCTGGTATGACTGAGGAATACTTCAGAAAATAACCATTATCACTGGACTGTGTATTTAGTCACGAAAGGATGAACCACAGATCCCTGCTCTTCTCACAATCATTTACAGAGCATAATGTTTAAGAGAATAAACTTGCTTTCATGACACTTAAGAAATCAGATTCATTTCTCTATAAACTTTGTTGTCTTTAGGTTGTTTTTAACAAAAATCATAGAATGTTAGAAATAGAAAAGATCTTAGCAGATAGTCATTTTGCGGAATTAAAAATAGAGGCCAAGAAAAGAGCAGCAATTTGCCCCAGGATCTCATAGCTGGTGACAAAGCTTCAGATGAAAACGCAGGTGTCCTGCCTCATTTAAATGCACAGTTTTCCAATTGAGCAAGTTTTTATTTTAGTTTTCAAAGTGGATTTTCAAAGGCTTAACCTGGTTGAGTCTTCAGTGTTATCTCAGTGTGAAACTGAAAACAAAATAGTTTTTTTTTTTTAACTGAAAGACTTTATGAAAACTCTAAGTGTGTGAGTATGTGTGTGTGGTGTGAGTTCTCAAAATAATCAGATGAAATTATCCTCAATTCCAGGGCAATAGTGGGCTAGGCTAAAAATGTACAGCAATATTTGGAGGGTCATATGTACCCTTGCAGGTGCCATTAAGGCAAGCTCCTGGTGGTGTCCAGGTGTCCTGCTATCATGGTTCTGGGCAGGGTTCTCTGAAGAGCACTACCTAAAATGTTCATGGGGAACACAGTTACGGGCATAGGCAGGGAGATCTGGTCTCAGCATAACTGGGTCCATCCATTTATCAGTTCCCCACAGGGCAGCAGTATCCTCCACTGTGGAAAACCCCCCAACTCTTCCCAGTGTGGGATGAACCACATGAGAATGTACCATGCCTGGTTTGAGGCTTAGAGAAGGTTTGTCGAATTTACTGTGAAAGTTGTCCAAATCTCTCCCCACTGGTCAAGTGAAGGGAAGATGTCTAAGGCAGAAAGCAGGCCTTCTAATAGTGCCTATTTCCCTCCTTGGCCAAGAACAAGTTAAGTCCTAATTATACAGGCCCTTGGGTGGGTTGCTAAATCTGTATGTCTCTCTTCTGTAAAAGGAGGTGTGATAAGATGGATTTTAAGGCCTCTTTTAGCTCTAATAATTCTAATAGAAACAAATACATATAAGCCTTTGTTGCAGATTATGGAGTCTACTCATTTCAATCTTTTAGGTAAAAATTTTTATCTTTACCTTTTGGGGTTAGTTTTATTTTTTCCATTGACTTATGTGTCTTTTTCTTTTTGTAACCTTATATGTGGTATGATGCTTCATCTTGTTTTATCATTGAGATTTCAGTTTTATAATGGGAAGGATTGTAATTTCCCTACCTACTACCAAAATCTGTACCTCATCTAGAACTGTGTAAACAGCAAATGATGATAATTTTTAAAAAGACAATTAACACTGTTTCTTGGTCCTTGTATGTTTTTGAAATACTATTTTATGTAAAATGCACAGTGAACTGGGAACGTGGCAGAAAAAATGGTATCACTTTATGGCAGGTGTGAGAAATTGTGGTTTGCCACCTAGCATTCACATAGCCTCCCTCCTTCTAGAAACTTATTTGTTATTTTTTAATTAAAGTTTACTCTCAAGATTATTTTGTATTAGTTTTAGGTATACAGTATACAGGTTAGACAATCATATACCTTACAATCATATACCTTACCTGGCACCATACATAGTTATTAACAATGTTATTAAATATATTCCTATGCTGTACTTTACCTCCCCATAACTACTAGAAACTTTCTTAAATATCCATTGAGAAACTCTCTCCTATATTCAGGATTGAATAGAATAGATCTGAACCCCATTTCCAGGGCAGAGCTTAAGCCAATTAGCATTTCTCATCCCCTTGTCTACAGTGATTAGTTCAGAGATGTTATTAAAACATTAGAAGATATTTACTAAGCCTTCTAAAAAGGAGAAACTTCTTTTTCTCTTTCTCCTCCCACTGTAATAGGTTCTCTTTCATGATAATCTGATATGAGCTTGGCACTTCTGGCATTTGGGTACCACTAAATGAAGCCTAACATGAAATTAAACTCATAATACACAGAGAGCAAAACAAGATCCTTGGTAATATCATTTGAGTTGCTGGATTGACCCTCACCTGAGGCCAGACAAGTTCTATACTTTATAATTGATTGAACCAAAACTCCTACTTTTTAATGTTTGGCTCAAGTTGCTTACAATGGCAATTTTCTTTAATTTCTAATTAATCCCCTTGAGGTTAGATGGGACCGTTTAGTTATAGCCAAGGGATATTTGTTTCTGAGTAAAAGCACTTAATTGCAGATTCAAGACCCTCTAGCGCTCTCTTCCCATAGCATGGCACTGAGGAGCTATTAGTTGGTGGAGTCTCCATCAGCCTGTCTCCCTGAGAGACTATGTGGAGCAGAGACCCCGCCATGAAGTTATAGCATAAATTAGAGATAAACCACTAAAATTCCAGAAGCAACTGAAACCACAGAAAAACTTGTCCTTTTCTATACACCAATTTAGTACCTTAAGTTCCATCCTCTGGGCTATGAAATATACTTTATACACAAGAATTACTCTAAATATAGATGGTAAAAATGCAATAAGGCATCTGTACCAAGTATTACCACAGACTATTGACAGGTGAATATGCAAAAGTGCATTGGATTAGAATTCAACATTTTTTAATACTTACTGGAGTATTTAGATAAATCTTGCTGACACAAGCAACATCATCTATACACCAAATACAAACTTCCCCTGAATATGTGACTGTCTGTGAAAGAAAAAAAAACCAAAAAAAACTCTAAGTGGAAAACAAGACTACTTTAGAAGCATGTTATAAATCCTTTTCTAGTATGTCTATCTCTCTGATTATTTAGTATAAAATTTTATTTTACTTATGTGGATTATAATTACTTCACAATCTAAACATCAATACTTCTGATTTTAATAAATATTAACTACTATTTTTAATATGACAAGTAACAACTAATTAGGATTAAAAAAATAAAATATTTTTTTTTCTATGTAACATAATTGAGATTAAAAATCACTTGAAAATTTAGTGGGATTATTGCCTTGTGACTAAACTTGAAATAGGAAATTATACATTGTTATTTTTTAATTAATAGACTTTGTTTTTAAGAGAAATTTTAAAATAACAGAAAATTTGAGCAGAAAATACAGAGACTTACCTCCTTCCCCACATATACAATTCTCCTATTATTGACATCTAATATTAATGTGGTACATTGTTATTATTGATGAGCCATTATTGATACATTATTATTGACTAAAGCCCATAGTTTACATTAGGGTTCACTATTTGTGTTATGCATTCTGTGAGTTTGATAAATGTTTAATGAGATGTAGCCACCATCGCAAGATCATACAGAATAGTTTCGCTGCCCTAAAAATTCTCTGCTCCACCTCTCCCTCCCTCCCCACTGTACCCCTAGAAACCACTGATCTTTTTACTCTCTCCATAGCTTTGCCTTTTCCAGAATGTCATGTAGAAGTAATCATTCAGCCTTATCAAATTGGCTTCTTTCACTTAGCAATATGCATTTAAGTTTCCTCTATGTCTTTTCACAGCTTAATAGTTCATTTATTTTGAGTGATGAATAATATTCTATTGTATGTATGTACCACAATTTATCCATTCTTCTACTGAAGAATATCTTGGTTGTTTCCTCTGGTATGCTTGTTCCAAAGACAAACCTTGTTGTCTTTGGATTTCCCATGAGATTTCTTTTTCTTTTTTTTGTACAGACAGAGTAGGAGGGAGAGAGAGGAAGAGAGAGAGAGAGAAACATTGACGTGAAAGGGACACATCGAGTGGCTGCCACCCGCACAACCAACCAGGGCCGGGGACAAACTGCAACCGAGGTACGTGCCCTTAGCGGGAACCGAACCCGGGTCTCTCCGGACCGCAGGCAGACGCTCTAACCGCTGAGCCAAACCGGCCAGGGCTCCCATGAGATTTCTTAAATAAGGTCTGAGATGTGCATATTTTTCAGTTGCAATCCCCCCAGGTACTGGCTCCAGTGTGGTTTCTACTTCTGGGTATCTGTTCCATCAGCTGTGATTCTCTGTATCTGCCTGTCTGTCCCTATAATTGTAGGGGCAGTAGCCTTCCCTATGACCTCCATCTGATGGAGCTAAGAAGAACTGCTGATTTTAAATTCATTCAGCTTTTTTCTTATTGTGAGGTTCCAATTTATGCTGGATTGTAAACAGTTTAGACTGTTCATTTTTACAAATAGTTTTTACTCCTTCATAGGATCAAGACTGAAAGCAGCTTAAAGTAACTGCAATGTGGTACGATTTAAGTTCTGTTTTTGACTACTAGGGAGTGGGTAAAATGAAAATGTAGGTCAGGTATCTAAATCCTAAATGTGAAAATCTTATATGGAATTTTTTAATTGAGTTGAAATAACCTTAAGAATATACATAATGCTTACACCTAGAGGAAATAATCCTATAATCAGAATCTCAAGATTAGAAGGAAATTTAATTGTTAACTAGTCCATAATCTATGTATTTTTTATTTGCTAGACTCCCAAAATCTTAATGGATTTGCTGATAAATCATATGAAAAGTAAAATATGTTTCTTGAGATAAACAATAGGTAAACAACTAGAGAAAAAGTTCCTTTTCTAAATATAGAGGGTAGGTTTTTTCCTAAGTAGATCAAGTTCACATTTTGTGCATGGCATCTATTTCATTTTCATCCTTAGTTAGGGCTGCATCACTCTGAAAGGGGATAGATACTAATAGTTTAACAAGTGTTGATGATTTATTAGCAATGAATGTGTTTAAAGGTCTGTCTTGGAAAATGTGTTTGGTGAATACAAACAGAATGGCTCTAAAATTTCAATTGCTTTGGCCATTTGCAGAGACTTAATATTATGGAATCCCAATATGGCGATGTCATTCTAACTGGGGAGTACATTTGATGATGAAAGTGGTTGGTATTTCTACCACATCTTCAGGAATACCCTCTATATCCTATTTGCATCAGGTTGTACATGAAATTCCAAAATCTCATCTTTAAATCCTGTGACACTAAAATATTCCTTACCATGCAGTATTTGTTTCCAGGTGTGATCAAGTCAATTGCCTGAAATTTTCCATCAGAAGCCTCTAGGACTTTATCCAAGGTTGGCTCCTCACCAAAAGTGTAAATATAAATGGATCCCTTAAAATATGCCAAAAGAAAAAAAAAAGAAAAATTAATATAGTTGTTGTGTGAGCAGTTCAACAAATATTAAATGCCTCTTGTGAGCAAGGCACTGTATAGGACTAGGTGATGGAATATTAGAAACCAACTCCTTAACGCCCTAACCTTGAGGAACTTAAAATCTAGATGCATAATATATTTGTTTTTTTACTGATTCATCATTTAAAATAATCAATAAATGGAATCTTATTTTTTTTCCAATTCCAGGCATTCATTTTTAAGTTATAAAATGTAACAAAAACTTTTTTTATGAGTTTAAAAATAATGTCTATTGATGCAGAAAATTTGAAAAATTTGGAAAACTAGAAAAGTTAAGATGGACTAAATCCTATCACACACTAGATCATGGTGTACACTAATGAAAACATTTATTAACCCTTTGTGGAAATTTTGACGATATGGCCAAAGCTGTCACTTTGACTTGTTGATCATTCCCAGCTCCCCAATTCACCTCTCAAAAAAATCTATCCTGTAAGTTATGCATCTCTACCAAGTAACTGTAATATGGTATGGTCACTTAACTAGCAATAAGAAGTCTGCTTTCCACTAATCACAAGTTTTTCAAGTTTGAAAAACTTGAATATTTTTGTTTTTGTTTATATAAAAACTAACTCTGTAGAGTCTAAAATCTGGTAGGTATTTACTGATTTTACCTTTCATTTGTATTTTAACAAATATTAAATGGATACACGGTGCCAGACACTGTTCCGGATGCTGGGGCTACATCAGAGGACAAAATAGACCAAAAGTCTCTGCCCTCATGGAGCTTAGATTCTACTGGGGGTTCAGCCATAGTTTCCTGATCCCTGTACTACATGGAAGATATATTCTCTATTTTTACTTACATTATTGCAACATAGAAGTCAGTGGTTAGTCTAATGGGAATTCCTTTGAAATAATCTGTTTTTCTCTTTGACTTCTTTTAAGATTTTCTCTTTGTCTTTGTTTGTCAACAATTTTACTTTGTTAAGTCTAAGGCAGATATCTTTTTATGTCTCCTGGTTGGGATTCACTGGGCCTCTTGAATCTGTAAATTCATGTCTTTAATCAGTTCTGAAAAATCTCTCTTTAAGTATTGCCTCTGTCTCACTCTCCCCTCTGGGATTTCAATCAAACATACGTTAGGTCTTTTTTCTGTATCATGTCTCATACCATCCCTTCTGTATTTCCTACCCTTTTGTGTCTCTGGGTTATATTCTGGATAACTTCTAATCTATTTTCCAGTTCAGTAATTCTCTCTTTGGCTGTGTCCAATTTCTGTCAGACATATTCATTTAATTTTTACTTTGTCAGTATATATATTTTTTTGGTAAAAGTTCTATTTGGGTCTTTCTCCCTTCTGTTAGGTTACCTTTTTTTATTGTTTCCTGTTCTAAATATGTTAAGTTTGTCATTTATTAAAACATAGTACAGTTGTTTTAACTTCTGGTAATTATCAGAAACTGAAATCTTTCCATGTTTAAATTTAAATTTATTTTAGGCAGAAAATCATTGAACTTTGTTTTTTTTTTTTAATCCTCACCCGAGGACATTTTTCCACTCTTTGTTTGGACAGAGTAGGAGGGAGAGAGAGAGAGAGAGAGACATCGACGTGAAAGGGACACATTGAGTGGCCACCACCCATACAGCCCCAGCTGGGGCAGGGACAAACTGCAACCGAAGTACGTGCCCTTATTGGGAACCGAATCGGGTCTCTCTGGACCACAGGCCGAAGCTCTAACCGCTGAGCCAAACCGGCCAGGGCTGAACTTTGTTTTTAATTCATCTAAAATAGTTGCCTAAAGGATGGGGAGGAGGGTGTCAATGGGGTAAAAAAGGAGAAACATCTGTAACAAAAATAAAATAATAAAAATAAATAAATAAAAAATAAAATAGTTGCCTAATAATATAAACTGCTCCTAATCTTGTGTTATTCCATTAATTAGGAGTCTTTCTAACAGTATAATTGATGTGGACACTTGGTTTTATCCTACATTTATTCCCCTCCCCTTTTCTCTTACAGAATCCATCTTTTCCTTAGAGAGAACCACTCATGACCCAAATCTAAGTCCATGTTTGGGCAGGTTAATGCTACATAGGGTCCAAGGGTAGGCTGGCCAATCAGAGCTTAGAATCCATTTGGACATAATAACTGACACATGGTGAGAGAGACGGCCCACATTAGTACAATGAGTCTAGATTCAAGGACATTTTTTCTATTTGGTATCTTTCCATCAAGGTCAACAAAAAGATAGAAATGCAAACTAGAGTTATAGGAGGCTCTTTTGACACTACAGGGGTGACTCTGCATGGGAAGGGAAATAGCAGAAAAGAAACAGAGCCAAGAGATGGCAGAGAAATAAGGCCAGTGGTTTTATGGGAGTTCTTGAACTCGGGTGAACTTGCCTTTTCAGTTACATGCACAAAAGCAAACGAACAAAAAACAAAACTTCCTTCATTAGTAAAACCTTTAAATTCTTTTTTTTTTTTTTCATTTGCAACTTAAAAGAGTCCTGACTTGGCCCTGGCCGGTTTGACTTAGCAGTTGGAGCGTCAGCCTGCGGACCAGAGAGTCCTGGGTTCGGTTTCCGCTAAGGGCATGTACCAAAGAAAAAAAAAAGAGTCCTGACTTGGAGAGTATCATTATGACACATACTGTATCCTTCATTCCTGTCATGCAATGATGATAATATCTGAAAATTGCATTCTAAGAAATCACCATCTAGCATACCTTGTCTGTCTGAATCAGCAACATTTTGTAATTGGGAGAAAACATCAAATGTTCCACAGGCTCTTCAACCTGAAGAAAATCCTCTACTGTGTAATTTGAATCTTTAATAATAAAAGAATAAACAAAGCCATCCTAGAGACCAAAAGCAATGATATAAATGCAGAAAATCAGTCTCAGTCAATGCATAGTGTACTTTCCTTATCAGACAAGCTAAGACTTATAACCACCTACTGTTTATTTTTTGGAATCAGTTATGTTTACATTATATAGAATGCCCTGTCTTCTTACCTTTATTTAGGCAACTGTTAACCATGTTTCCTGGTAAAGTTTCAATTTTATTTCCTTTTTGACATATTTTTCAATTACCTAAAATTTTTACTGACCTCTCCTCCTTTGAAAATTTCTAGTATCTATCTTCTTATCATCCTCTTTATTATACAGGAGGTTAGACAAATAGCGCAGAGTTTATAGTGTAGTTTGTATATACAGCAGTCTCCCTACTTCAAAGGACATTAGTCTTCTTTTTTTTTTTTTTGGTACGTCCCCCTAGTAGGAACCGAACCCGGGACTATCTGGTCTGCAGGCCAACGCTCCAACCACTGAGCCAAACTGGCCAGGGCAGGACATTAGTCTTAATGTATGTTCTTTAATCATTGTTATGTGCATTTCTTATCTCCCTAAATGACCCAAAGATAGGGAGTGTGCTGTTTGTTTCCTTTATATTCTTCAAGTATCCAATAAAAATAAGTTAGTTGGTTGGTTGGTTGATTGGTTGATTATGAACAGATTTAGGTAAATTTAACTACTCTCAAGAGGAATTTGAGTTACTTCTACACTAGTGAACAGGCTTTGGGCAAATTCATCCATAATTTCTAGATTAGATCCCTCTTATAATTAAGAGTAAGCATTTGTGAGATGGCTGGGTTCAGACACTTGCATGTTTATGCAAGGTGCTTTCATCATTTTTATCATCATTCTCTATCACTTGCCAGAGCAGATTCTCCATCTTTTCTTTAAATTTGTTTTAAGAAAACACCAAGACCACAATGTAGACAAAATGTAGGAGGTGAGGGTAGTCCATTGCAAGCTGGGGAGGAGGGTATTATAAGCTGAATGTAGGTTTATGAGCTCTGGATTGTTTCTCATTGGTGGAGCTACATCTCTCACCTTGACAACATTGACTACTGCCCTCGGGGTCCTGGAGATGTGATTTGTGGCGTTGGAAGAGACAAAGCTAACAGTAGTCTCAGGACAGTTACCAATAGACCTGAGATTTTAGTGTAGGTCAGCTCCAAAACTTAGCCTGATTACCACAGCATGGATATGGTCTCATCCCTTTTCATATGTACTGAGGCTGAGTGAACTCGGTAATAGTTGGTTCCTTCATCATTAGTTTCTACTTGATAGGGTTGTTGTGAGGGACAAAAAGATAACACAAGCCTGGCACAAAATAAGCACCAAGTAAATGATGGCTATTGATACTAATTCTAACATGGACAATAACAGTATGATATAGGTAAGCTAAATAGGCACACACCAGAGGCTAAGCTGAAGCTTTGACAAAAGGTTCCATTTGTGTCTGAAAACTTAAAACACCAAGTGCACAAATAGGACTGGAAATGGGTGGTGGATATGAGGTGTTTGGGGGAGGCATAGATTTTTAAATTTTTATTTTTGCCTCTTTGCAATGAGATGGATATATGTTAGTTCATTATACTGTGATTGCTACTTTTCATATATTTAAAATTCTTCATAATTTTATAATAGCATGCCAAAAAAAAACTATTTTAATTAATCAGACAGAACAAGACATCCCAAATTATGGCTTATAATAGTAAATGGCAGCAAATGGAAATTGTATATTTTCGTAAAAGCAATTCATTTTGAAGGAAAAAAAAATACATTACAATTCCAGAAGCTAGCACACCTCCCTTCTGATACACTATGGTGACTGGACTGATAATATTTCTTTCACCTTCTGGAAAAGAAAAACAAGAAAAACAGGCGACACAAAAGTGCAATACAAAGTAATTTATCTCATTTGATTTCCTAGGACTATTCATTTCTGTGTAATTCTTTTTTTTCTTTCTGAAGATCAACTTCATATTAAAATATGTGCTATGATGCTTCCTAAACAATGAATAATAAAAGCTGCTTAGCCATGATTAGTGATGTAAATTGCACGAGTTATTTAAAGGTCAGTATCATCAGATCTATGTAAATGACATTGTAGAATTATTTAGCAAACATATATATATTAGGAAAGCACTGTTAGCAATTTTAAGAGGTCATAAAAACTATATTATTAACATCAAGCTTTATACTTAAGATTTGTACATTTCATGGTATGTAAATTTATACCACAGTAAATAAAGCACAGTGGATAAAAGAAAGTGAAAAGTTCTATAAGAACATTTGTTACTTATAAGATATTGTCCTTGGATATTTTATACCTGAAACTAATATATTATATGTTAATTATACTTTAATAAAAAAATATATTGTCCTTGAGGGGAAATAACAAAAGCATATTCCTTGTTATGTAGATAAACCATGAGAACTATGAGATCAAAAATTCAAATGGCATCCATCACATTATTTGTTTGCTGCATATTAGGTGCTTGGCATTTTGCCAGATGCTAAGGATAGTGTCCTTTCTTTCAAGAACTAGTCACCTCCCAGCAGTTTCTTCTTTCCCAGCCCAACTGCCACTAGAGTCTAGCTTCTTTTTTTTTTAATCCTCACCCACAGATATTTTTGCATTTATCTTCAGATAGAGCAGGACAGAGAGAGGGAGGAAGAGCGAGAGAGAAACATCGATATGAGAGACATATCAACTGGCTGCCACCCACTCGACCCCAACTGGGGCCAGGGACAAACTGCATTCGAGGTGAGTGCCCCTAGTGGGAACTGAACCTGGGGCTTTCTGGTTCACAGGCCGATGCTCTAACCACTGAGAAAAACTGTCCAGGGTGAGCCTAGGTTCTTATGACTCCTCCCCTAGTCTAGGAGCCTGCTTCTTATAGCCATCTGCTTCTAGGGTCTTCCTTTCCTGAATGATGGCTCATTTAATCTCCCCAAGTACAATTCCAGTTGGGGTATATCTCCCTATTCAGGATTTTTTGATGTCCTACCACTGTCAGTTGAATTAAATATAAACATCTTAGGCTTACATTCAAGGTCAGGTTTGTTATAAATAATCCTTTGTTCCCCACTACCCCTGTGTGAAAACGTGACACTCCAGACAAACTGGACCACTTCTTGTGTCTCCACCTACACCAGGTTTTTTGTCTACACAGATACCATTGCCAAAAAGTCCACATACCCTTATCCCTGCCTGTGAACCTATCCTTCAAGGGCCATTTCAAATGCCACCTTCAAAATAACTTGGCCTGTTTCCCTCCTCTGAATTCCCACAGCACTTCATGAAGTTCTCCCTTAGTGAAATCACCCTAATCTACCTGGCTATAATTAACTAGTTGCCTTATTCTCTTCACTAAAATAGAAATTGAAAATAGAGATTATGAGATTATATATTTGCCATCTATGTCAATTGTAAAGCATAGTGTAAAGCACATTGTAGCGGTTGGATAAATATCTATTTTGAAAGCATAATATTATACCATGAAAATTATTAGAAATAGTATACAACGTGTGAATGCCATGATTAAGTCCTGAATTGGGTATAACATACTACAAGTGTGATAGGAGTTTGGAAATGAAAAGCATTGTTTTATAATTCATTTTACACACACATACAGGTGCTAATTTACTCTGTAGAAATCTCTGGGATTAAAATTTAGAGCCAATGGATGAGTAAAACACAGTCCCTGACTTCAAAGAGTTGACTAGTGGGAAAGACAGACAGGCACAAGGGGCATTGTAATAGCACAAGATGAGGCTCTAAGAAAGCAGTGAGTCTGAAGGAACCCCAGATAAGGGTACCTAATTTTGCCTGAAGGTTGGGGTAAGGAGAGGAAAGGCTCCACGGAGGACAATTTCACCAGTAAACAAGAAAGGGAAGGACATCCTAGACAAAGATAACTGCAAATAGCAAAAGGCAGAATTTGGGGAGAGCACAGGAATGATGAGAACTTGTGAAAGTCTCAAGTGGGAGTAGGTGACATTGGAAATGCAGGCCAGAAAAATGGTCTACTTATTTGAGAGCTGTGGGAATGCAAGATTAGAGAGTGAACCAAGCCTGGAGGGTACAGGTGAGAATAAAGGGAAGAAAGAGGGGCTGAGGTAGAAAAGTAAAATCTAACGGTCTCAGTTTTAGCAATAACGTGTGAGTCAGGGAATGGGAGAGGGCATAGTTGAGGGACACTGCAGTTGGGGGCAACTTGCTATAGGAGGTGATGTTTGAGCCCGGAACTGGAGTTTTAGAGAGCAAAGTGACAAGGGAATGAGCTAAGAGGCATGTCTGAAATGATGGGAAGAATTGACTGGCTGGATGGAAGACTCGTACTGGGGAATAGTAGGAACTAATACTAATGAAGTAGGTAGAATTAGATTAGAGAGAGCTTGAAAGCAAGGTAGAGCAATCCTTGAGTTACATGTTAAAAATGGTCTTCAAAGAAGAGCAGTTTGGCTGGGATGAGCTTCCGGGTTTGAGTCAGTTGTTGATTAACGTCAATGAAATCAGTGTTAGGTTGCTGCAAAAATTAAGGTGTGAAATAATAAGAACAACTGAAATGCAGAATGCAATAGAGAGGTTTGAGGAGCTTGCCCTGGTAAGGTTCCCTTCTCAAAGTGTCTACACCTAGCCCGTTCTGTGACCCAGGTCCAATTCTGGGCAGAGGACCAGTAATGGATACCAGATCTAAAGAGAATAGATCAGGTTCTCTTAGAAATTTTAACCACTTAACATAAAGGTAATGTTCAAGATGGCAGTTGGACTTAGAAGACCTTTATGGATAAAGGGGTTGAGAGGCTAGAGGTCAGAAAAGAACATATTACTTTATTAAACAGAAGAGGCATATTATGGAAAATAGTAGCTGAGAACTTGGACTCTGAGGTCTTACAGCCTTGGTTCAGGTTTCAGCTCCACAGTTTACTAGTTTTGTGAATTCAGGCATGTTTGTTAACCTCTCAATGCCTCTATTTCCTCATCTATATCATGGAGATAAAAATGTATCTTCTTGTAAAGCTATTTTGAGAATTAATGAAATCTGCATTATAGAGTGATAGCAGAATGCCGACAGCATGTAACATTTAAGAAACATTAGCTAGCTAGAAAGAATAGAATTTGGTAACTATAGGATAAAGGAGAAGAAGAAATCAAAGATGTCTCTAAGAAAGAGAAAAACAGGAAACAAATCACTCATCTTCAAGTGTAAAACCATCACCAATGGCTATACTTCTGGGAATATGAAGCAAAACATTTCTCACCCATTAGTGGTTTCTCATCTATCTTATCAAGCACAGTTGCATTCAAGTTTTCTCCAGTAATCACTAAAAGATGACCCTCTTCACAGCCAATGTATAAGTCACTTGTTGGAGTCCAGCAGTGCATAGTCGGGTGAAGCAAAGTGTATAGATCATCTTTGGGCTTCAGGGAAAGATGAGAAACCTTGTGTTAAGACAACAATTATGGCCTAAGAGCCACAAAAGTACCCATCAAAACAATTTCCAAGAGGAAACAAATGAGTATGTACATACATACATTTATTGGCCCCACCATTTGCCAAGAGCTAACTGATCTCCTTTTTTTTCTACTTCTCTACATTTTAATTCAGCAGGAAAAAATTAGGCATTCTTGCCAACACATTCTGAGTTCTAGTGTCACAGAGTTTTAATAACTTCTATACTGTTTCTTGGTGGGCTTTTTTGTTTTTGTATCTTGAATCTAAAGATGTCATTGTCTAGCTACAATCATCCATTTTGAGGAAGACTTTTGTCAACATTTCTCCCTCCTGATTCTATAAGGGGCATGGATGTGATTTTCCTGGAGTGGCTATGGAGAGGTCTGCCTAGATCCCTTACTTAGTTAGCTTTTATGGGAAATGAGAAGAGGGCTCCTTGTCTGATTCTGGTGGTCTCTCCAATTCGTTTCATAAAATATCCTACATGACTTTGATACCATGGAAAACTCAAAGGAAAAATGCACAAACCCTACGGGATGTACCTAGAAAAAAAGTTGGCTTTGGAGACTAAAATAACATGGGCCAGAAATCTAAGGCAAATTTTTCTTATAAAGGACTAGGTAGTGAATATTTTAGGCTTTGTGGACCACATGTCACATTCAGCCCCCTTCCTCTTTTAAAACAACCCTTTAGAAAGTGTAAGAAAACATTCTTAGCTTGGAGCCATTCAAAAGCACATCATAGTCTGTTGCTTGCTGCCTTAGATACTAATACAGTTGTCCCTCGCCACTTGGCGCTTCGATGTTCGTGGCTTCACTCTATTGTGGCTTTTTCAAGTACTATACTACGCTACGCTACACTACACTATTACTATACTATACATTACTATACTATACTATACTATACTATACTATACTATACACTATACTATTACTATACATTACTATACTATACTATTACTATACTATACATCACTATTACTATTACTATTACTATTACTATTACTATTACTATTACTATACTATACATTACTATTACTATTACTATTACTATTCTATTACTAGACTAGACTAGATTTGAAAAACCCGCGATAGAGTGAAGTCACGACAACGAAGCACCAAGTGGCCAGGGACGACTGTGTATAAATAGAGAGTCCTAGTTATCGCGGTAGAGTCTGGAACGGATTAACTGCGATAAATGAGGGCTGACTGTACCTCAGTATTCTGTCTCCTGTGGCATTAAATGCTTGTGTCCAGCAGAGCAGAGGTCTTTTCCCCCTTTCTGTGAGGACAGAGGAGGTCTTCTTGTAAGCCTGGGACCACCTGCTCTCCTTCCTGGACATCAAGGTAGCTGTCAGCTACTTTGGGTATGTGCCTGCCCCCCACCTACCCAGCAACGATTAAGATTGTGAACTCAGGATACAATGATATGGTACTCCTTCCTTTCTATTTAAACCAGCCAAACACATGGAGCATTTGTTTGTTTGATTTGTATTGAGAACATAATGTTTAGTACTATCTGAGCTTTTTGTTATGCTATACTATTATTTAGAATTGCATTAGCTACAACATAATGTCTTTGTTTTCTTTAGACATTCTGACACCTATAGGAACAGAAAACATTTTTAATAAGCCATTAGCCAAATTACCAGGATTGCTAAATTCCTTGAGAGTTCCATGCTTATTTCATTCATTTATTCACTCATCTAACAAATATTTATTAGATACTTATTACATTCCAGGCTCTATTCTAGGCACAGGAATGTAGCAGTGAACAAAATACAAAAAAAAAAAAAAAAAAAAAAAAAAATTCTGCCCTCATGCATCCTGGTGAAGATAAATAGAGTAAAAATAAATTAAGAAGGTAAATATATAGAATGTTATGTATTGAAAAGTGCTATGGAGAAAAATAAAGCAGGGTAAGTTAGAATTGGTTCCACAGTTGGGGAACACTTCAAACCCATATAGGCAGTGATTTTTCTACTCAAAACTTCCCAGTATACACAAGTCACCTTTCTAATAAATATTCAATTAATTGACTAAAATATTATATACTGCTCTTTTAATTTGGGGAAGGTTTGTGGTTTCAAGGTAAAGCAGGTGTGACACTATCAAAGTAACTATTTCTACTAGATTCTCAACTTATATACATTTGTTGCATAATTGATATTTCAACAAACATTTATTGGGTTTGGTTATATACCAGGCATTGTACCAAGTCATAAGGATTTCCTCTTCTCAATAGGATAATCAACTATTGAGGGAAGAACTAGTATCAACAAATATCAGAATCAGAAAACATGGCAGATTAGAGGGGTGTGCTTAAGTATTCTAGGCACATCCATAAGAAAGCAATTGCTTCTTTATGGTGGAGTGAAGGAAGTGTAGAGAGAGAGAATTATCATTTGGGATGGACCTTGAAACATGACTAAAGCAGAAATCATATATATGAACAATCATCATGACAATTTTTATTTTATTTTTAAAAATATGTTTTTACTGATTTTTTTAGAGAGGAAGGGGGAGAGAGGTGGAAACACTGATGTGGGAGAGAAACATCAATTAGCTGCCTCCTGCACACCCAGTACTGGAGATCGAGCCTGCAACCGGGTCATGTGCCCTGAACAGGAATCAAACCAGGCCCTCAGTACGTGGGACAATGCTCCATCCACTGAACCACACTGGCCCGGCTATCATGATAATTTTTTTAAGGATAGACTGACTTTGATTGTATAATGGGTCTATTTCATGCCCTCAGACCCTTAGATTGTTAGAAAATAAAACATAAATAACAATGTGGCCATCCAGTTGGGCAAACAAAGGGATTAAACTGCTACTAATTAATAACATTTTTGTGGTGTCTGAGATTTGACTCATAGAAAAGAATTACTTATTGAACACCATTATGTAATCACCATTATTTAAATGTTTTTTGGGTTGTCTTGATGACATATCACTTTAGACTATAAAAAGAAAAAAAAAAAAAGACAGACCTCTTCCTGGTATTGCAGTGGGTTTAAAATCTTAACACATGTATCTGGTTCTCACACCACCAGGGAATCTGTGCATATGCAACAGGTGCGAATTAAAACTTGGAATTATCTGGTCTTGGTATGTTAAACTAGTATTATATGTATCTTTTCATACTTTTTTTTATCGTCACCTAAGGACATTTTTCCATTTTTTTGTTCAGTTAGAGTGGGAGGGGGAGAGAGAGAGAGAAACATTGATGTGAAAAGGACGCATCGAGTGGCTGCCTCCCACTTGGCCCAAGCTGGGCCGGGGACAAACTGCAACCGAGGTACATGCCCTTCGCGGGTACCAAACCCAGGTCTCTCTGGACCACAGGCTGACGCTCTAACCGCTGAGCCAAACCGGCCAGGGCTATCTTTTCTTACTTTAAGATAAACCTGGGCTTGTCTTTCTATGACTTTCATGAATATATATGTTCTGCCATTTAAAAATTAATGTGATATTACATGGATTATGTTAGTAGAAATCTGAAAATTTTGAGAATAGTAAAAGAAAAGGTGCCAATAGTATTTAAAAATACTAACACCACCTCCTTGTTTAGTCCTCTGGAATCATGACTCAAACATTTTGGTCACTTGAACAACAAACATGAAAAATTTGAGTCCAACTTAATATTACTTTAGAAAAGGTAAGCATCAAATATGTTTCAGAATACTGGAGTTTATAAAAGAGATTCCTATTTAGCACCCCCCCCCCCTTTTATTTAAGGTAGATGGAAAAAGGAAACTGGACACTTGAGATGAAATTAATTATTCTGAATCCAATTTCTGGCCAGATAACATCTGCCTTTGATTTCCCCCATGCTACAACTAGATACATTTCTAATGCCCTAAATAAGTTGGGTAATGTGACACGGGACTATTTAATGTGCCTAAGCCCCTTATATAGATCAAGTCATTACTGATTCTTTGCCATTGGTACCCAGGTCACAAGAAATGCCATTCAAAGGAAGGAATAGAATCAAGATATTTGAGATCTGTTTTATGCTTTCACTCCCTGTATAGACATTAATTAATGTTTTTGCCATTTTTCTCACCTTCTTTATAAATTAAGGAATACATATTGGGAAAGCTAATTTCTTATTAAATGCAAAGCATATGGCTTTATTAATAATCCCTGTATAACTTAGAGATGTCAAAATTAAACATTAAATTTCTGTCTTTAGGAAAAGGTTAAAATGCACTGAGTACAAAAGTCCTAGGAAATAAAGATGTCTGTTAAATTATGAGCATTTTTTAAAATGGTAATTCTACATTTAAATATTTAAGGAAGGCATGCCCATAGCATTTTTCAAATGACAAGGACAACTGCCTGAATTTAAATGTTCTATGTAGGGTTCATCATATTGGTACAAAATGTGAAAGATTGAGGACTCCTATAAAGAAAAAAATATTTGAGGTAGTTGAATAGTTGTAGTACTAGGTATCAAATACAAAACACAGAAACATTTTTTTAAAGTTGTAAACCCTGATGACTGATTTATTTGTGTTTACTTTGCTGAACCACTGAGGCTGAGTGTCGTCGTATTTCCAAGGCTAAGCTCTGTGCTATTAAAAGGAATTAGTCATTTTCTGTAATTTAAAAAAAGTGAATAATTGTCATTCTTTAGAAGAAACACAAAGGGCATACAACCTTTTTTCTTGCTTGCCAGAGATTTTTAAATAAACTACCACGCTGAATTATTTTAAACATGTACAGCTTAATTCTCTGCAGTGGTCAAAAACACAAACAAACAAAAACCCCACAATATTTGGGAACCTCTAGCTCTTTTATCTTTGGCCTGGAGCTTTAACACAAGCATCAGCATAATGCAGGGTGGAGAGGCTTAGAATCAAGCTCCTTACCTTCATCTCTGTTCCTTGCCTCCCCTCTTGAACATCACCTACACCTCACTCCCCCTCATTTACTGTGCTCCAGCTACATGGTCTTTTCTCAGCTCCTCAAACATACTGAATTATTTTCTTCCCCTGGGACCTTTGTATATACAGTTCCCTCTGCCTAAACACTCTTTAATGATACCTATAGCATGATTAATGCCTCCTAGGTCTTAAAATCTCAGTTTAAGTGTCATCTCCCCAAAGGCCTTCCTTGACTAGCAGATGTTAATCTTATCCTCACCTCCATCCCCCATTTATCCTATTGAAATAATTATCACATTTTGCAATGATTTAATGTATCTCTTTACTTTTGGTGTTATTACTCTGTCTTCCTGATAAAATGTAAGCACTAAGAGGCAGGGATTATTATGCCTGGTTGGTCCTGCTACATGGGAAGAATTTGATAAAGTTGTTGAATGAATGGATGAATGAATGAGTGTGCAATTGCTGACAAACTCCCTTTTGAAACTTTCTTCTACTGTTTTCCACTTGCTCTTTCCTGGATTTGCTCCTATTCTATGACTACTCCTCCTGAGACTCGTCTTTATCCTTTCAACTCTCTGCAGTCAGTTTCCTCTTTGGTTCTCTACCCTCTCTCTCCTTTTCATCACCCCTCCCCCTCCGTGCTTCCACTATCTTCTGTGGGAATGACTCTGACAGCTGTGTCTGCAGCCCTGACTTCTCCTTAACAATAAGTCACTTTGCCAATTTCCACCTGGCATCTCCATCTGGATGCTTCCCAGCACCCCAAATTCTGTATGTCCAAAACTGAAATCACATCTGGGCTCCCGTTTCAGTTAGCAGTGCCATTATCTTCCCAGTCACCCAAACTCGTAACTCCAGCATCTTTATCTCTCATGATATCCAGGCTAATCTTGATTAAAAACCAGGATGATTCTCTCCGTCCTACATGTTTCATGGGATGATTATGTAAAGACAAACAGGAAGACATGGCAGGTAATTACCCTGAAAGTTTCGGCCTCTTTGTCCACTAGCCCGGCAATGGCTGACAGAGGGAGGATAGGTCCATAGATAGGATCCTTGGGCAACGAGTCAGGGAAAACGACATCTTTTTCATTAAAAAATGACCCGTCTTCCATGGGTAATTTTACCGACCTATAGGAAAAAGAAACATCAGAATAATCACATTAACAGAAACCAATCATTAATGTGAATGCTGTTTATTGGTGGTAAGCAAGATACGTAGGTGTTTTAAATAAAAACAAACAAACAAACAAAATAAAACAGATAAAAGCCAAATAGTAGATTTAAATATATATATCATAAAGGATAAGTAATGCACAGCTATAAATTAAATACATAGGGATTTTCAAAGTTAACATCTAAAGTAGGATTGTAAATTTGAATGTTGATAAGATCAGGCAGGTGATGTGTGGCAAGGTGGTGATTGTGGCAAATGGGAAACTGTTTTCCCCCCTAAAGGTGGCAGGCACCACTCAGTTCCAGCCAAGAGGGTTTGTTGACATGTGAGAATTCTGGTTCCAAAATTTCGAGGAAATACCTTTATCTGGATACTTATGAGAAATCTCTCAAATTTTAGATGCTCGCAACCAATTCAAATTAAAAAAACAACAACTGTGAGTCAAAATAAACATACATATAGGCTGTATTCTGCTACCTCTGCAACCTCTGATATCAAGAATTCATTTTAAAATTTACCATACTTTTAGCTACTTTTAACTCATAATATGGCTATCAAGATGAGTTTGGAGAATTCATGGCTTTATGAATTATATTCAAAATTCCTTAGTTATATAATATGAATAATGAATAATTTTGTAAAATTATTATGAAAAAATAGTATCTACTACTCAAGTGTAAGGTTTAAGTATTTTTAAGACCTGCTTGCTTTCTGAACTGGAAAATCCACTCACTTTGCCTCCCACTTTGTTTATAAAAAAATACAACTCAGCATCAGAACTAGAAGAGGATATTGAAGGGAAGCAAAAAGAGAGAAGGGTATGATAAATTATTTGTGTACCCTGGTACCGTGGTAAGGATTTGCTAGAGATATCCACTTTATGAAAAGGTATAGTGTTATCGACTCTGTCTAGAGATAGATTTGGCTATTCAGTGGGTTCTTGTAAAAATGAAATTGTGACATGAGCAGTATTGAGTGGAAAGAATGGCGTCTCTTAGGGTTCTCCATTTAGAACATTTAACCATATTTATATTTCTCTTAAGAAGGCAGTTTTCAAAAATTATAGTTTCAAAGATGTATATGGCCAACATCTCTTAGTCTTTGACTTGGGGGAGTATAGTCAGCTCAAGGGCATCTTGAATCTTTGAACTCTTCAACAAAGACACCATTATCATCAAGTATCACCAGAACATTGGGCATAGAATTTCTCTCTCTTTTTTTAATCCTCATCCAAAGATATTTATTTTTATTATTGATTTTAGAGACAGATGTGGGGGGAGGGGCAGGGAGAAACATTGATGTGAGAGAGGAACATCGATTGGTTGCCTCCTGTATGCATCCCAACTGGGGACTGAACCTACAATCTAGGTATGTGCCCTGAGTGGGAATCAAACCCACAAACTTTTTGTTGTTGTTATTATTATTCCTCACCTGAGGGTATCTTTTCCATTGATTTTTAGAGAGAGTGGAAAGGAATGGGGGAGGGAGGAAGAGAGAGAGAGAGAAACATTGATATGAGAGGGACACATTGATTGGTTGCCTCCCACATGAGTCCCGACTGGGGCTGGGAATCAAACCAGCAACCAGGTATGTGACCTTGACCGGGAATCTAACCTGTGAACCTTTGGTGTGTGGGCTGATGCTCTAACCACTGAGAAAACTGGCCTGGGCTACAATTTCTCTTTGACCCAGTTCTATTTAAATAGGTCACCCCCATGATCTATTCTATGCAACTACCCTTTTGTTTATAGATAATGTGGCTGAAAGTATAATCTTTATATAAAATTTCCATATCTAAAAGTTTCTTATTTTTGAGATTTCAGTTGGGCATCAAAATAATAGGAGCAAAAACTCATAAATGTTCTTTTTATATAATAGGCATGTTTTGAAATAGTAAGAGCAAATAAAATTTTGGAAAATTAAACCATGTTGGAAAAAGCTCTAGGAGGACTTGATATTTATTTATTTTTTATTTTATTTTATTTTTTTTTATCCTCACCCGAGGACATTTTTCCATTTTTTGTTCAGGTAGAGTGGGAGGGAGAGAGAGGAAGAGAGAGAGAGGGAAACATCGACGTGAAAGGGACACATCGAGTGGCTGCCACCCGCACGACCAACCAGGGCCGGGGACAAACTGCAACCGAGGTACGTGCCCTTAGCGGGAACCGAACCCGGGTCTCTCCGGACCGCAGGCCGACGCTCTAACCGCTGAGCCAAACCGGCCAGGGCAGGACTTGATATTTAAAAGAAGCTCACTGGGCCCTGGCCAGTTTGGCTCAGCGGTTAGAGTGTTGGCCCGTGGACCAAAGAGTCGTAGGATCGATTCTGGCCAAGGGCATATACCTTGGTTTCGGTTTGTCCCTGGCCCCGGTTGGGGTAGTGTGGGTGGCAACCATTCGATGTGTCTCTCTCACATTAATGTTTCTCTCTCTCTCCCTTCCTCTCTCCTTCTTGCTCTATCTGAAGATAAATGTAAAAATATCCTTGGGTGAGAATAAAAATAAATAAATAAATAAATAAATAAATAAATAAATAATAAAATAAAACAAAACAAAACAAAACAAAATAAAATAAACTCATTGGGCCCGGCTGGTATGGCTCAGTGGTTGAGCGTTGACCCATGCACCAAGAGGTCGCCAGTTCGATTCCTGGTCAGGGCACATGCCCAGGTTGTGGGCCCAATCCCCAGTGAGGGGCACGGAGGAGGCAGCCAATCGATGTTCGCTCTCATCGATGTTTCTCTCTCTCTCCTTCTCCCTTCCTCTCACTCTAAAATCAATAAAGAAATTTTTTTTTTTTTTTAAAAAGAAACTCATTGGGGCTCAGCCCTGTGGTTGAGTGGTTGAGTGTCGATCCATGCACCAAGAGGTCACTAGTTTGATTCCCAGTCAGGGCACTTGCTCAGGTTGTAGGCCAAACCCCTAGTTGGGGTATGCAGGAGGCGGTCAATCAGTGTTCTCATTCATCAATGTTTCCATCTCTCCCTACTTCTCCCTTCCTCTCTAAAAATCAATAAAGAAAAAAAAGAAACTCATTGGGAAATCATGTCACAGAGGATCTTTTTGAAATGCAGTCACTCCAATGTCATTACATTTGTAGAAAGACATTATAACTTAGGATGCATGTATAAAGACACTTAATTCATCAAATTGATCCAATCGCATTACATGAATGCAAACAAAGACCACCATTGTATTGTATTGTAATGAAGTCTCTCACTTTGCTTTGAGATAATGCTCCTGGTTACTTCTTTCAACGGTCCACACAGTCACTGAACTTGGACTTGACAAGCACAGCTGGTGCCAGTTCATGGGGTTAAAAGTCATCTGGCTCACATCCACACCAGGTTGTGACTTCTTGCACAAAATGACACCCAATTCCCAGTTCCTTAGAGAAAAATTGTGTTTGGTTAAAAAAAAAAAAATTCATTTTAATTTCATACCTTGAGAACATGTATCTAATTATTTGAAAACAATTTACATAAATTATGACTTAAGTTACTATACAATTCATATAATCTGACATTAATATCAAATTTATAAATAATTATGCTTATCATTATACTGTACCTGTTAAAGAAAGCAAAATAACTATTTTTATAAAATGATTCATATGCTACCAATTAAATATGACTCATATGCTACTTATTAAATTTGTATTTAACTCATCCACTTCTAGAAAATGGAATATATCATCACATTTGCTGAAAAATAAATGTAGGTGTCTAAATTTCTATATTACATATGAATACTCTATTGTTCTAGGTGCCAACTGATTGTTTACTGAGCTTTTTAAATCATAGTACTAGTAATTTAAAATTTATTAATTCATTTCACTTGAGAGAATATCGTAAATGCCTACTGTGATCAAGGTCTTTGCTAGATGAAATAAAAAGACAAAAATTAATGTGAGCTATCTCCTCATACAGGTTTATCCATTATTCCTTCTGCACTCCATTCAGAGTTGTGACTGGGAAACTGAAACTAATATGTACTAAGCTTGCTTGGTCTTTTGGCTTCCTCCTGCTCTCACATCCTTCCATCCTCAACACAGATGCCCTGTCCATCACATCCACCTTGCTCTTGCTGGTATTGCCGGTTTCTTGGATCTTTTGAGTTTCTGCCTCAGACGCCTGGCAAAAACTGTCATGGATGGATACAACTGAAAGCCAGGGCTTACTGGAGACACAGGAACAAAGATCACAGGATGATGTGTGTCAGTGACATTATAAATTCCTGGTTACCATACCCACTGGCGCCTCAATCCAACCTCCGATCCTACTGTTTCTCTGGTCAGTGCTCTCTCCTATTCTCTAAATTGGTCATCAAAAAAGAAATTTGTTTTTCTTTATTGATTTGAGAGAGAGAGAGGAAGGGAGAGGGAAAGAGAGATAGAAACATCGATGAGAGAGAACATCGATTGGCCGCCTCCTGCATGCCCCCACTGGGGATCGGGCCCACAACCTGGACATGTGCTCTGACCAGGAATCGAACCAGCGACTCTTGGAGCATGAGTCAATGCTCAATCACTAAGCCACACCGGCCGGGTTAAATTGGTATTTTTTAATATTCTCCATTTTCCTGAAACCTCTTGCCCCTCCACCTACTCTCAGTAAAGGACCTTGATTCCCATGAAACAGATAGAGGTCATAGGCTGAGAATTTTGCCAAATTCCTGCTATGAAGTATTACTACCTGTCAGGATCTGTGTCATTCTTTCCTTTTTCTTTCCTGTTGCAAGGGAAAGCATGCCCCTCCTATCTAAGGCCAATTTCACAACCTGTGTTCTGGATCCTACAGGTCTTGCCTTTGTAGGAACATTCGTTTATCCATTATTCCTTCTCTTTTGCATCATCAGACCCTCCTCTCATGACTCCTTTCTGTCAATACTTAGATTGTGTTCACCTGTACCATCTTAAAAAAAAAAAAAAGCCCTCCCTTAATCTGACACATCCATGTCTCTCTCCCCTTCTCTTCAAGCCAAGCTTCGAGTGGTTTGTTCTTAACTCATTGCCTCCTCTTCCTCTTTCCTGCTGTCCCCTCATCCCAGAATATTCGCATCCCATCCTACCCATTTCATTGACGCAGCTCTCTCCCAGATCCACAGATATCCACCTTTATCCTAAATTCAACAGGCACTTCTAAGTCCTTGCCTAACTTTGCTCCTGCAGGATCTGACTCTGCTTATGACTACCTTCTGGAATGACCCTTGGACTCTCTGTCACACACCACTTATGGACACCCATACCTCTCAGTCTCCCACTGTTTCTGAGGCCTAGATAACCTGTTCTTACTTGGTGGTGTCCAACTGTGTAGGCTTTAACTAACTTCCTGAAGGTACACTCCCATGTTCCTCACCTCATGTCCGTTCCACATGCCCAGAGGCTTCCCTATGGGCTCTGGGCATGACATGCAGAGGGTCACAATAAACCTAAAAGCTAATACCTTGTGCAGTGGACCTTTGGTTGATGGGATAACAGGGGTTGATGAATACGCTATCATCTCTTCCTCTCCCCTTCCTAACCCACTGTCTGTCATTGCTCTGGGACTGTCCATGTTCACAGTAGTTCATATAGCCTCTCAAAAGACCACCTGTGAGACGGAGCGAACAACTGTACCTGGTACCAAGTGGTGGCTGGTAAAATAATGTGCACTTTATCGGCTCTCCTCCTTCCCTGCCTTCCTCCCCTCTCCCTGCACGCCTCTTTCCTGAGCTGGCACCCTGTTAAAGAAGTGGCTCATGAACTTCTGCCACAGGCTCTGATTTCTGTGGAACCCAGGCTGAGGCATGTTCTGGAAACCTCCTCCCTCTATGGCTGCTCCTTCTGGGTCTCCAATGAGGTTTCTCTTCCTCTTTAGGTCCCTTTTTATTGGTGTTCTTCTACGTTTTGTCCAAAGTTCCACTTTAGGTGTTCTTAGTCACTTTTGATTACCAACCTGATTTAACAACTCCCAAATGTTTACCTCCAGCCCTCTCTCCTGAGCTCTAGTCCCAGGTATCTGTGGCAGAGGCATATTGTGTGTCCCTCAACATCTATTCTCCATTTTTCTCTCCAAGTAACAGAACCCCTGCTTTTTAGCCAGGCACATAGTCACCCACCATGAGGACATTTCCCAGCCTCCCTCGCAGCTCAACATTGCATTCAGTAATCTGGGCAATGGGATCAGTGTCAGTGATGTGTGCAACTTCCAGGCTATACATTCCAACAAAGGTTGGTGCCTTCCCCTGATCCTTTTCTCTTCTCACTGCCTCTCAAAAGTACATGGGTGATGCCCCCACTTTAGACTAGAGATGAGGGCAACACCCTAGGAGTGGAAGAGCAAATTAGTGCGAGACTAGCCCGACTCTGGGGATCTCATACCCAGATTATTGCATGTGAAAGAAAGTAACTTCTGTCTTATTTAAACCACCTTAGGGTAATTTGGGTTTCTGTGACAGCAAATGAACTTAAATCCTAACTGATACTATCAACTGCCAACTAGATATCTTCATTTATTTATCTCAGGCACCCTCAACTCAGCTTGTCCCAATTCATTTTCCCTCCTCCCTTGCCTTGATATCTTTCTGAACCACCATAATGTCTCAAAGTTGCCTAGGTCACAACTCTGGGTATAACACTTAACTGTCACTCGCCCTTAACGCCATTCCCAATATTTAGTCAGCCACGAAGTCCCAGGGAACTGCCTTCTAGACACCTCCCGAATATCTCCACTTCCCTCCGTCCCTCTGCCCATCACCCACAATCATCTCTCACTTGGACCACCACAGCCTGCTAACTGATGTTCATGTCTTATTTCCCTCCAATATACCTTCCATGATATGACTGGAAGGAATCTTCTTACATGTAGCTCTGATCATGTCACATCTCTGCTTAAAATACTTTAATAGCTTCCCAATGACTTTTAGGGTATAAGGTGTGCCCATTAGAATGGCTTATACATAGGATGAGTTACCTTTCCAGTATGCTTAAGACAAACCCAGTTTAGACCTGTTGTTCTATATTCATTATTAATTATTAATAACATCCTCTTTCACTCTCAGAAGTGTTCTGATTTAGATGATAAACTCTCTATGGTCACTTATTTACAAGGCTGCTCATAAGCTGCCCTGAGAGTGTCCCTCCAGGCTTGTCTCTCATAGTTCATATCTTGTTCTCATCATTATGCTCTATTAACATCTTATGTCAATCCTCAAACCTGCCATATTTTGTTCTCATGACCTTACACATGCCATTCCTCTGCTTGGAACCCTCTTCCTTCCCTCCTCACAAGGCTGTTCCCCATTCATTCTTTGGGTTGACTTGTGTATGTTGTTGTCCTAACCTTCAGGTTCTCAGAATATAACCTTATTTGAAAATAGGATCTTTACTAAGTTAAATGAAATCATTTAGTGTGGTCCTACTCCAATATGAGTATTATCTTTATAAAAAGGGGAAATTTGGAGACAGATACACATACAAGGAAAACGTGCGAATGTAAAAAGAGTTATTCACAAGCCAAGGAGAGAGGCCTGGAACAGATTCTCTCATAGCCCTCAGGAGGAACCAATGCTGCTGACACCTTGATCTCAAACTTCTAGCCTCCAGAACCACGAGACAATACATTTCTGCTCTTTAAGTCACTCAGTCTGTGGTACTTGGTTAATGCAGCCCTAGCAAACGAAAACATTCATCAACAGGTGAATGGATAAACTGTGGTATACCCAGACCATGGAACAGAAAGGAACGAACTACTGATACACATAGCATAAGAGAGTTTCAAAATGAGATCATTCAAAATAATTATGTTGCATTGAAGATGTCAGGGAAAAAAAAAAAGAATATACAATGTATGACTTTCTGTATATGAAACTGTAGAAAACACCAACTAATCCAGAGTGACGGAAAGCTTATCAGTAGTGAGCTGGGGTCGGGGAGAGGGCAGGGAAGGGGTAAGGGTATGTGTGGCAAGGGCCAATAAGGAAGAATCTGAAGGGCACAAGGAAACTTTTGGGGTGATGGGTATATTTATTATCTTGGTTATGGTGATGGTTTCATGGGTTTATTCATAAGTCAAAACAAAGTTTTATATATATGCAGTTTATTATCTGTCAATTTATACTTCAATTAAACTTTTTTTTAAAGAAACTACATAAACTGGATGTGGCTTGTGGAACCTAGATTATTACAAATTTATATAAGAAATACTAATATGTAAGGAGCATCCTCAATCATTCCCGGAACATTTTGCACGTCCCCTTAATAGGACTCCCCTGGAGGTGTTTATATGAAGGATGGAAGAAGAGTGCATGCAGCTTTGAGGCTGGCACATGGAACCGCCCCGCAAAGACCACAGATAAGTCTCATCCCCAGGTACTTCCTGTACAGCTGGAGAATATGGCATAATTTTCCACTCTCTGAACATGCAATAGTTCTAATGTCTCTAAAAATAATTACTTCAAACTGAGCTCTAATACAGAGACCATCTTAATTTCAACGTTAGTGGGAAATATGCAAACACCTCAAAGGTGCTATTTAAAAAAAGATGAAAGTTTATGTATTTATAAATGTATATTTTTACCTGACAAAGGAAATATTATAACACATTAATAAAAAGAGACACATGATCATTAATTTAGCTCTCATATAGCTTGTGCCCTGCTAAATTTTATGCCTAAAAGTAATATTAAACATTATAATTAGGACTTTTACTTCTTCCATTTTTCCTTGTTTCAGATTTTTCATGTATCTGTCCTTTGATAAAATCCAGAAGGATTTTTACAAATAACCTAATGTAAAAGGATTCTGTAAATTTCTTTACACGTCAAATGTAACCCAAATGAAAGGAATTCTGCAAGATGCTGGAACTTACCAGAGAGCCAATTCAAATTCTGGGAGAGAGGAATAACTAGCCAGATAGGTGCCACAATAACTGAACGAAAGTAAAATATAGTCCAGAAGAACATTGCCTAAAATATAAAAACCATTTCAGGTATTTAATTATATTCTGAGTAACTACAGTCTATAGTTTATTTTCCTTTTCTAATAAACTTCACATAATTCAAAAACATTTAGCTCTTGGAATAAGAGCTCTCCTGATTGATTTCTAACATAATGAACAAAAGTTAAGATCCATTTTTTAAAAATATTAGAGTGAATTAAGATTATTAGTTCACTGTCTCTAGACTGAGCATACTGTACCATGTATATCCCAGTGTGATTTGAAATAACTCAAGAACCAAAAAATATCCCATAAATATATGAAACATTGTGATTAGAAAAGTTATTCAAACAACTTTAAATATATTAGGGAGGTGTAATAATTCTAGCTTACTTTTATATCTCCAAACCTTAGACCATATCTGGCCCTTAGCTTAATATCATCCAGTTCTTAGAACTAGTATAAAAACTTCTATTCTCATTTGTACCTACAGTAGAAAAAAATAAAACATGACTTTAAAACTCTTAGCAACAATGTGTTAAAATGTACATCATGAGGATGCTGTAACAGGGAAGTGTCTGCTTCTGTCCCTGTATATGAGGCTCTGGTCTTCCTTCTTTATCTGCTGTTCTTCAGCATGGTTCCATTGGTGCAAGCTTTGTCTTTTTCTTATGACTGTCTTCTTTACATTCATTGCTACTTGAATTCATTGCTACTTTACATTCATTGCTACTCTATTGCTACTTCTGTGTATTTTTAACGGCTCTGTTTCCTGCTTTTTGACCCTTCTCACTTTAACTGACAATAATATAATGCTAAGCTTTGTCATTTACTGAATTTATTTATCATAGTCTAATCAGCAAAGAAAACAACTTATATTTTTAAAGCGTTCAATGCGAAAATATTTTTTCTGTGGGATAGAGGCCCTAACTAAATAATTTTCTATCCTTGCAATGCAGATTTCTCCTCCCATAAATGAAGAGTATACATTTTATATTCTTTTTACATTTAAAATTTTTTAAAATGCATGTTTTTTGATGTGTTAAATGAAAGTCTTGTTAGATGGGCTCCGGTAGATGTGCAGCAGCCTGGTCTGGGTCAGCTGTATCTAAGAATGAGTCAATAATAACTTATATGGTAGATAACGTTGGTTGACATGTGTGTGTGTGTGTGTGTGTGTGTGTGTGTGTGTTTGTGTATGCAATTCCATTTATTATCACCACAGTTTCAATAGTACATACTACCATTATTTCCATTTCATGGAAAAGGACACTGAAGCTCAGAGATTTATCTTTCAAAGTTATACAGCATCAATTCACCTAGATTTTCAATAAACTATCAGGAAATAAAAAAAATTGTTCTGAAAAAGTTTTTTTTTCAAACTGCATTTGGTGCTGTAAATGAGTCTTCTAGCTCAGTGCTTCTCAAGCATAATGTATATATGAATCACCTGGGGAATGTTGTTAAAATGCAGATTCTAATTCAGTAAGTCTGGGATGGGAGCAGAGTTTCTGCATTTATGACAAGTACCCTAGGTGATGACAGTGTTGAAGGTAAGCAGACCACACTTTGAATAGCAAGGCTCTAAGCCCAATTAATTAAATCCTTTGTGATCAGCATTATTCCTTCTTTTAAAATGTCTATTACAAAAAAACAAAAAACCTTCCAAAAAACTCTTCATTTATAAGAACTAGGTTTGATTATATCTTATAACAATATCCTTCAGTTACGGCAAAGTAAGAATCTTGCAAGATACCTTTTAATTTGGTTCTTCTGGTCAATGCAGGAAAACTGTATATGTAGATGACAGGTCTTAGCTTCCGGTCAGAAAAAGCCACAACTTCATAAGGAATGTTAGTTGCCAGGACGCCCACAATTCCATTCATACACTGGAGTATAGTTTTTTGTTTTGTTTCAATATCGAGAAATATTATGAAATTGCCACTAGGGTAGCAAATGGTGCTGTCGTTGACAAAATGAACATTCTGCTTAGGGAATCCTTGCACCCATCTTTAGGGAAAAGATATATCACCATCAATATAATACACTCCAAACACTTATTTTTGACAAAGCAAACAGAAGGTCATCAAAATCTTTGAAACACATCTGTTCTATTTTCACCCCCTTTTTGCCCAAAACAATCTCTGAGCTAAAAGAACACTTATATTGGCTGTGAGGCCAGTTTGAGTCCAAGTGCTACTTAAAGTTCCATAGGTCTCAAGAGCCTTCTTCAGAGAACTTTTTTAATGAAGAAAATTCTCTGAGCAAACCTGAGAACGTCTCAGAAGGATTTCTGGGGTCTTTTATAATGGAAAAAGTGAAAACAACAGACAGAGAGAGGGAGAGAGATGCTTGATTCTAACAGAAAACAGGGTCTATCCTGGGCCTTTCTTTTATAATTAGGTTTTATTTTATTTTATTTTATTTTTTGGTACATGCCCCTAGAGGTAACCAAACCCAGGACTCTCTGGTCCGCCAACGCTCCAACCGCTGAGCCAAACCAGCCAGGGCTAATTAGGTTTGACTTTAAAAATAAACTTTAAAAAACAACTTGGAAAAGGGCAGCTTGCTTTGTGGTTGTGAACAGAGTAGGAAAATTTGTTCTTTACAAAGATGAAGCATGTGTAGCCATATATAGATATAAAAATACAGATAAATAAAGGAATTAAGCAAACATGAATGAAAGGTTAAAACACAAAAGGAACATGGTTTTAAGTAAGGAGTGTGTGGTGGGTATATGATAAAAGTAAGGAGAGTCTGAGATAATGGGAGATTCTAGTTTTATTTAGATATTAAGGATATGCTTAAAGATACATGGTGGTAAAAAATTTCAAGAGATTCGAGAGAAGAGATAGGACTGAGGAGCAGCTGTATGGAATAGACTGCAGGTAATAGCCCAGAATAGTGATTTTCAACTGGTGTGCCATGGTGGATACATGTAGTACTTCGGTGAACACACAATACAGTGTACAGATAATGTATTGTGGAATTGTGCACCTGAAACCTGTATAATTTTGTTGGCTAGTGTCACCCCAATACATCAAAAAAAAAGCAAACATACAATACCTGACTATTTCCTAGAGTCACTGACCTCTCTCCCTTTAGACTGTCAAATTAAAAATAAACAATAAACAGAACAAAAAAAATTGTTCTGAAAAACATTTTTTTTCAAACTGCATTTGAATGACAACAGCCAACACAACCATAGCTGTCCGGTGTCAGATTGGCAAAAAGTATATTTTTTGGTGTGCCACAGAATTTTAGTAGTTAGTTTGTGTGCCATGAGATGATAAAGGTTGAAAATCGCTGCTCTGGAATGTGGAAGGAAGGAAATACCACTTTTATCTGTGCAGTGCTTTATGAGTTTCAAAGGCCACCATGAATGCAAATAAATACAAAGTTAATGGTTAGGATTTAGGAGGGAGAGATGGACGGCCTTAAATTTGGGGGGAAATCACCAAAAACGACCAGGATGAAATGGGAGTGTCACTGGGCTGGGATGAGGGGAAGAACATTTATGAGAAGTCAGGGGAAAATGGATCACTGAAGGCCATACTGAGCAATATTGAGCCCCCCCCCTCCCCCCCCCAAAGGAGGCCGAAATGAAGAGTGGAGGAGAATGATGCTGGGTAAGCCAGAGCGGGGTAGGGTTAAATGAAAGCGCCTGGGGCAGGGAAAGCCAGATGGGGAAAGTCGCTGAATAAGGGATGGGAGGGAATCTACTGGAAGGCGTTGGGGTTTGTAGAGAAGAGGTCAATGTTTCTGGGACAGCGGGCCTAAAGAATGGGAGGAAGAAGAGCGCAGGAAAGGGATGTAAAGTGGAAGGAAATTTCCGCGAGACCGAAATCACGCTGGGCAGCGATGCCGCACCTCACGGACAGGGACGCGTGGCTGCCGGCGTTGTGGGTGCTCTCTTCTCGCTCCGGACCTTGCGCCATCAGCCGTGTTTCTCAAAGCCGGTCGGGGCAGCAAACGCTAGACCCCGGCTAAGCTCTGCAACCGTAACTTCGAGGCCTCTGGCTGCCCGGCCCGCCCAGCCTCCACTGTTTGCACCGTATCCAGGAGACCGTAACCCCTGTGCCTATTGGCTCTGTCCCTTCGGCCTTCTCCTCTAGGCCCGAGCGGATTGGTGGAAGCACTTCAATGTATCAGCCAATGGGCGAGCGGTGAGCAAAGCGAGGGGCGGGTCCCTTGGAAAGAGGCCTGGAGTGGACGCACCCAGTCAGTGACAAGTAATTGCAATATTAATAAATATCAATAGCAGGAATTAATATTGAGTGCTGGTTGAGCCAGACGTTTCAAATTCCATGCAGGCATTATTTCAGTCAATATTTACCCCGTCGTCCCCATTTTATAGATAAGGAAAGTGAGGATGAGAAAAGTAACTTGCCTAAGGCTACAAAAGTGAGTAGGATTTAAAAGCAAGGTCTAATGGACAACAAAGCTGGGGACAGGGCAGGGAGGGCGGGGAAGGGGGGAATCAGTGGGGGGAAAAGGAGAAACATCTGTAACAAAAATTAATTAATAAAAAAAATAAAAGCAAGGTCTAGTCTAAATCTAGCGCTCCAAGCTTTTCATCGCTATATTACACTTTCAGATGTACGCTCCGCTACTTAAAACAGGCACAGCTTCTGAAAACGACCTGATCAAAAAGGTCAGCAGCTTGTCCTTGCTTTTCCCCTTCCCTTTCAGATCCTTCCTAGCCATAGTCCTCTCCTTTTCTCTTCCCTTCTTTAAGTCCCTTCTTCCTGTCTTGCTATTGTCTCACCTTCATTTCATTCACAAATATTTACTGAGTATCTATCTCCCTTTCATTGCGCTAGTCACTTGGAACAAAATAATAAGCAAAACGGGTAAAATTCCTTCCTTTTTGGAACTTAGAGACTGGTTAGGTGTGTGTGTATGTGGGGAGTAGACTTACACTTCATCACACAAATATAGAATTATAGATTGAATGGAGAAGAAAAGGAACATGCTATATGAGAGCTTACGTTGGGGTCCTCACCTAGTTGGATGGGTAGTGTCAGAGGTGGTTTCTGTGGTCATGTTCTGTTTTCACTGAGAGGTAAAGGATAAGGAGTGACTGCTGGGGGTGGAGTGGTGCAGTGTAGTGGTGCAGGCAGACCAGAACTTGGTTCAGCAACCTAGGTACTTGAGTTCTGGCAAGAAAGAATTCAGAGCCAAGACTCAAACTATAAGAGAAAGTTTATTTAGAAAGTTGACCCATCCCACAGGTTGAGCAACGAGGACTCTAGAGGGGGAGTGAGGATGAGGAGGGACAAGAGACACAAGAAATGGAGACAAGACAGGATTCTGATCAAGTCTCGTTTATTCAGGGGGAGTTCACATAATATATAGAGGAAAAACAGGTGAAACAGTTAATGAGTATCCCACCTGAAGCAAATTCCAGTAAATACCCCAAGTGCAACAAATGATAAGAATGAAAAGAATGGAGTAAACATTATCTAGAGGAATGCAGACACTGTATGCAGAGAGACCCCGCCCTGGGGCCAGAGACGCAGAGCAGACTGCAACAAAATGGATGCCATGCAAAAGTCTCCCACAGAAAGTCACAGAGGTAGAAGTGAGCCATAGAAGAAATGGAATCAGAAAACAAGTTACAGAGCAAAAGAAGGGCACTTGGAGCTTAGGGGAAAGAGAGAGATGAGGAAAACGTGCCTAGGGGAAGGGAATGGGGAAAGGCAGCTGGCTTGCTTCATAGCCTAGCTGGATTCTCGGTCCTAAGGGCTTTAAGGGTGGGGATTTTAGGGAAGGTCCCAGGAGAGGACCTCAATAGAATATTCATCAGCTTTTCAGGTGTGTCTTGCCAGGGTTGTGGTCTCCACTAATTGATTGGCACCAGGGTAGGGGGTCATGGGTCAATGCAGCTGGTCCTGTGTTAGCAATGGTGTTGATGGTGTTGCTTGTCTGATTTTGCAGCTTTTCTGGGCTTGGAGCTGAAAAACAATTGAGGCCTAGATGTATTTTATGTGGTTCAGAACCTCATTGTCCTGGGGGCTTAATACTTAAGGGCTATTCTCTGGTCCCCTTAATCGTTCCCCCTTCAAGGGGCTCTCACCCTCATGACTAGCGACATGCCAGAGGAGGAAAGGTCAGGGGAGGGTCGGAACCACATGACCAGTGATATGAAAGGTCAGGGAGTCTAAACCAAATGACCAGAGATATGCTAGAGGAGGAAAGATCACCCTGGGGGTGAGGTCCTTGTTTTCCCAGTTTTGTCCATTGCTGGGCACGGGGACTTTCCACCCTGGTGACCTTCAGTACCTGGCCCATCATCCTTGCTCCGGCTCATGTCTGTCTAACTGCCTACCGCACTATGACACAAACTTGAGTCCACCAGAAAATGAAGATAAAGTAGGAAAATATCTGACTTCAGATTGTACTCTAGGACTATGTGGTTTAGAGAAAAGAACCCTCAGCCTAAAAGTTTATGGTCTTATTCTGTCTCTGCTTCTTACCAGGTAGGTGATAACTGGGAAAGTCACTAAAGCTTTCTGAAATTCAACTTCATCTGTAAAGTGAATCTGGTATGTTCCCTGCCTACCTTCTCAGGGTTGTTATGAGAATCTAATAAAATAATGTATATGAAAAGGGCTTTACATAAAATGTGTAATACAGACATGTGGTTCTGTTGCATAGTTCCAAGGTATTTCCTTCGGCTACCGAGCCTGGGAAGGAAGGAGATTTGCATGCACACTGATAGCATACATCATGGTCAGGCTGGCTACCCGGTCACAAGACTGCTAATTTTTTTTCTCTGAGTACATGGACTACTATAGTGAGCTAATTCTAAGAAGGGAAAGTATCAAGTTTCCTTAAATTATTAATTAGCATCAGTAACACAAATTTGTGTTCTAGAGCAGTTATAGGAACATATTAGTGGTGTGATCTGTTTACTAAGTCATGACCAGCCTTTTTTTTTTTTTAATCCTCACCTGAGGAATTCTTGCTTTTATCTTCAGATAGAGCAGGAGGGAGAGAGAGGGGAAGAGAGAGAGAGAGAAACATCAACATGAAAGGGACACACCAAGTGGTTGCCACCCACACGACCCCAACTGGGGTGGGGACAAACCACTACTGAGGTACGTATGTGCCCTTAGCTGGAACCAAACCTGGGACTCTCTGGTCCACAGGCCTACGCTCTAACCGCTGAGCCAAACTGGCCAGGGCTTTTTAAATTTTTTAATGAAAGAAAATGAAACAGAAAATTTCACAATGCATCCCATATGGTAAGGGTAAAATTGTTTCAGATATTATGTGTGTGTTTATTTATATTTCTGTACTTGATCATTAAATAAAATGCATTTTTTCCTTTAAAAATGTCAGTAAGTACTTTAGAGATGATTATGAGGGAGACAAGAATACTATTGTATTTGCTTAAATCTAAGATAAAATAACAATGAGAAAAACCTACCAATGAAACTGCAACAGAATCCTTTCTCATCACCCAGAATTTTTATTTTATACTTATTGAAAGAAATCTTTATTAAATTTATATTTTTATTGAATTATTTTAGAGAGAGAGGAAGGGAGAGAGAAAGAGAAACATCGATGTGAGAAATAGTGATTGGCTGCCTCCTGCATGCCCCCCACTGGCATGTGCCCTGACTGGGAATCAAACCAGAACCTCTCAGTCCATGGGCCGATGCTCAATCCACTGAGCCATACCAGCCAGACTTGAAATAATTCTTTTAAATTTAAATTTTTATCACAAAAGAACTCAAACTTATTTAGAAATAGATTTTTATCCTATATTACTCTTGTGAAAGTATAAGAAAGAAAATATAAATGACAGCTATTTCTACAGTTTCTCCACTTTTAGAATCCCTCTTGAATAATTATTCAAATCAGAGTCATAGGCATTCATTTCTCCTACATCCCTCACCCCAGCATTTCCCTCTGTGCCAACAGAAGCATTTCATTGAATTATGTAGCAAGAATGTTCTCTTGTTATCTCCAGGATTTTCTTCCAAGCCATTGATATCCACCCCACAAATTTAAGCACAAGCAATAAATCTATGTCAGGACCGCACACAGCCTACAGTGATTTTAAAATATAGTTCAATTCGCCCAGCCGGAATAGCTCCCATGGACTGAGAGGTCCTGGTTTGATTCCTAGTCAAGGCACATTCCTGGGTTTCGGGCTTGATTCCCCGTTGGGAGTGTGCAGGAGGCAGCCAATCAGTGTTTCTCTCTCACATCGATGTTTCTATCTCTCTCTCTAAAAAAAGAAAAAAATCAATAAAAACATATTTAAAAAAAGATATTGCTCAATTAGAGGAAGAAGTGTACAGCCTAGAATGGATGAGTACGGTAGTCGAGACCAAACTCTGATGACAGTCCAGAGTTGAAAAGCCAGCTCCACTATTCAAAAATATGTTCCTCTTGGGAAAGTCATGTAATTTCCACCCTCCATTTTCTCATCCATGAGATGGTAACATGGTTTCTTATTTAATTCTTAGGGTGACTGTGAGGATTAAAGGTATTTCATGTCGAATGTTTAGCAGATACTTGGCAGATAATGTGTGTTCACTAGTGGAATTATCTCCTCTAAGCTGTTTTACCACCTTTTTCATTTAAGAATATATCTTGAACATGGTTCTGCATTCGTATGTATAGATCTACTTCATCCCTTTTAATAGCAGTTAAGGTTTTGTTGTTGTTTTTAAAATTAGTTTCTTAAATTTTATTTATTTATTTTTTTACAAATATAGCATATAGTAAAAACTTAGATTCTACAGGAAGGTTTTCAAATGACAATAGTCTCCACCTAATGTCTTCTCACCTCATGCTTTCCGACCTCAATTCCATTGTCCAGAGACCACCTTTCAGCTTAAGAAATAGAACGTAACCGATACCAGGGAAGTACCCTCCCAAGCCATGTCCTCTTCCTTTCTCTTTCTTCCCCCAGAGTTAACAACTCTTCTAAATTGTTTATAACTTCTTGCTTTTCAACTCTACCACATATGCATGTGCCATAACCAATACACTGTTTCATTTTGCATGTTTTTATTTATTTATTTATTTAATCCTCACTCGAGGACATTTTTCCATTTTCTATTTAGATAGAGCGGGAGGGAGAGAGAGGAAGAGAGAGAAAGAGAAACGTCGACATGAAAGGGACACATCAAGTGGTTGCCACCCGCACGACCAACCAGGGCCGGGGACAAACTGCAACCGAGGTACATGCCCCTAGCGGGAACTGAACCCGGGTCTCTCCGGACCACAGGCTGACGCTCTAACCGCTGAGCCAAACCAGCCAGGGCCATTTTGCATGTTTTTAAAGTTAATATATGTAGTCATACCATATATATTATTTTGTGGCTTGTTTCTCAGTCCTATATCTTTGAGATGCATTTGTTTTGATAGCTGTAGTTGTAGTTTGTTTTCATTGCTGGATAGTTATTCATTATATGAATATACCACAATTTATTTATCCATTCTACTCTCAATGCACTTTTAATATTCCCCTATATATATTATTGCTGTATGGCTTCTTATTGTGAGGATTATAATGGCTTTTTTTTTTTTTTCATTTGACCTCACTCTGGGCCCTACTAATACTTTCACTCAATCATTCAGCCAGTCTCTGTGCATGGAATTTCTTTTATGAAAGCAATTTCTCCCTGCTATGGACTGTCATAGAATGTTAATTTTAAAAGAAACATTCGTAATCACAAGATAAGGGCCCTTAATTATTTAAAAGACATTTTAAATACAATTAATTAAAATAATAACAATGAAACACTTCATGTGACTTTCAATATTCCTAACTTACTCTGTAAAAATACTTTATAAATATTAATGTATTATATATTAAAAAGTATAAAGTTATTCAAGTAACATTCCTGAAAAGTCAGAGAATGTTGTATCAAGTGGGTATATATCGTCAGGAAAGAGAGATGGTACTTAGAAGGTAGAAAACTATTCCTCATCACTAGGACCTCTAGCTCTTTTTTTTTTCTTTTTTTCAATTTTTATTAATTTATTTTTGTTACAGATGTTTCTCCTCCTCCCCCAGACACCTTCCTCCCCATTCCTCTCCCCTCCCCCTCCAGCATTGTGGTCTATGTCCATTGGTTATGCATACATGCATGTAAGTTCTTTGGTTCATCTCATCCATCTCCCCTGGCCCCCTGCTCTGAGGTTTGTCAGTTTGAACCATATTCCTTTCTATGTCTCTGGCTCTATTTTGTTCATCAGCCCACCTTGTTCATTATAGTCCACAATAAGTCAGATCATGTGGTATTTGTCTTTCTCTGATTGGCTTATTTCACTTAGCATAATACTCTTCAGGTCCCTCCATGTTGTCTCAAAAGATAAGAGATCTTTCTTCCTTACAGCTGCATAGTATTCCATTGTATATGTGTACCATAGCATTTTTTCCCACTCATCTATTGATGGACAGTTGGGCTGTTTCCAGATCTTAGTGATTGTAAATAGTGCTGTTATGAACATAGGGGTACCTATATTCTTTCTGATTGGTGTTTCAGGCTTCTTAGGGTATATTCCTAGAAGTGGGATCACTGGGTGAAAAGGCAGATCAATTTTTAATTTTTTGAGGAAACACCATACTGTTTTCTATAGTGGCTGCACCAGTCTGCATTCCCACCAGCAGTGTACTAGAGTCCCCTTTTCTCCACACCCTCGCCAGCACTTGTTGTTTGATGATTTGTTGATGGCAGTCATTCTGGCAGGTGTGAAGTGATACCTCATAGTTGTTGGACCTCTAACTCTTGATCTTTAATCAGTAGAATCAGTTGAGGTTAGCCCACTCAGATTAATTGTTGACAATTACAGCTGCAAAAATGTGAAATACTGTGTTTTTTCCTGTGGCTAACAGCAATGTGTGTACAGATGTTTACATATCATGCACATAACCACAAAGGGCTTAGACATGATCCACCATAATGCTAACAGTACTGTTGTTTTCTGGGATGTTATTTTCTTTTCTATTTATTTCTTTGAGGAATTTACTTTATTTTTTTTTTTTTTCTTTTTTTTTTAATCCTCACCCGAGGACATTTTTCGATATTTTGTTCAGATAGAGTGAGAGGGAGAGAGAGAGAGAGAGAAACATCGACGTGAAAGCGACACACCGAGTGGTTGCCACCCACACGACCCAACCAGGGCTGGGGACAAACTGCAACCAAGGTACGTGCCCTTAGCGGGAACCGAACCTGGGTCTCTCCGGACCGCAGGCCAACGCTCTAACTGCTGAGCCAAACCGGCCAGGGCAGGAATTTACTTTATTAATGAATTGGACCTTTGAAATCATTACAACAAATTATTACACTATTCATATTTATTAGGGGACAGGCCATTCCAAGTTAAAGTTCTCAACTAATACCTTGACCTAAAGTTTTTAATTTGGCCAGTCAGAGGTGTTGCCTGATCAAGTTTAAATTTACAGGGTTAATTTGCATGATACATTAATGTGCTAAAAGACCTTCTAAAAAGTTACTTTGCTGAAAAAGAGTTAAGCAAGATTCATGCTTTAGCAAAAATGTGGTCAACTTGTTTTCACTAAATATCTGCAATAAAAACAAGCATTTATTTCCCTGGCTGGTTTGGCTCAGCGGTTAGAGCGTCAGCCTGTGGTCTAGAGAGACCCAGGTTCAGTTCCTGCTAAGGTCACGTACCTCTAACTCGGTTGCAGTTTGTCCTGGGCCCTGGTTGGTCGTGTGGGTGGGGCCACTCGATGTGTCCCTTTCATGTCGATGTTTCTCTCTCTCTCTCTCTTCCTCTCCCTCCCTCCCACTCTGTCTGAACAAAAAATGGAAAAATGTCCTCAGTTGAGGATAAAACAAAACAAAACAAAAAACAAGCATTTATTTAACACGTATTCTGTGCCAAAACCTGCTCCAACTGCTTTCTATATATTTGCTAATTTAATAACTCTTCAACTTCTATAAGGGAGCTATTAGGTTTTTACCACCTTATTTCACAGGTGAGGGAACAGAAACACAGAGGGAACTTGCCTGCAGTCACATGGATAATAAGGGGTTATAATTCATATGGTTTCATTAAAAATTCATGTTGAATTACAAATTCATAAATTCATAGGTTGAAGCTCTAATCCCCAGGACCTCAGAATGTGACCTTATTTGGAAATAGGTTCATTGCAGTTGTAATTAGTTCAATTAAGATAAGGTCATATTGGAGTAGGATGGACCCCTAATCCAATATGACTATGCCGTTATGAAGAGGGGAAATGTGGATACAGATACGCACATAGGAGGATGCTATGTGAAGATGAAGGCATTGATGGAGTGAAGCTTCTGTACTCTGAGAAATGCCAAAGATTGCCAGCAAACCACCAGAAGCTAGGGAGGGTCATGGAACAGATTCATATTCTCTCTCTCTCTCTCTCTCTCTCTCTCTCTCTCTCTCTCTGTCTTCAGAAGGAAGCCATGCTGCCTACACCTTGATACTTCTAGCCTCCAGAATTGTGAGAATAGATTTCTGTTGTTTAAGCCACTCAGTTTGCAGTAATTTGTTGCCCTAGCCCTAGCAAACTAATAAATACAGGGCTAGAGTAAGGAACAGATTTAGGCAGGAAGGCTCTGAGATAGGTGTGCTTATCACCTACTCTATTTCTCCCGTAACAGAGCTAATCAAAATAAAGACCCCCCCCCACTTCCGCCTTGCAAATAAATGGCACAGGAGTCACTGGCTCTCAAATCCAGGTAGAGGAGCAAAACGTTGACTACCATTTTCCTGTATCTGTACTATGTGGCCTGGAATCCTTTTTTTCTAACCCTAAGCCAAGAGGGGTTGTTTGAGCAGACACTCTGGCCAGATATTTTTCACAGACCAATGGGAATAAAGGTACTTAGCCCACTTGTGTGACTCTGAGCCCTACTGGCTTCAAAATCCCAACGTTTAATAGATTTTTGAAAACAGCACCATCTGAAGTTAGTAATATCCAGATTTGGGCTGTTTCCATTGGGTTATAATTAAAAGGACCTGTCCTATGGTTACAGTAGGGACAGTGGCCGTCCCAGTAGTCACAGGAAGTTAGTTCTGACAGAAAAAGGAAAAGGCTGTCCAGGTGGCTGGGCGACCTGTCACTGCGTCAAGGACAGGAACCCTCGGAGAGCACGTTCTGGAACCGTGAGCGAGCACTGGGCCCAGGCCCTGAGGTTGGGGAAGTCTTGGAGCAGAGGGGGAGCTATGACAGCTCATTGCCACGAGAGGATGGCCTAAGTGGGCTTCCCAGCAGGGGCTGGGAATATGGGAAGTGTGGCTCAGGCGTGGACCCTCTTGGAGGGCAGACTAGAGACCACGGTCGTTCAGGGTCAGGGAATGACTGAGGGTGTGCGCGTGCGCGCGCGCATCTGGACACGGGTGCATCCCATGGCCAGCGCAGTAGGTTGGCACCGCCGCCAGCTGCGGGGTTTTAAGCACGACCCTTACAAATCTGGGAAGACCAGCCGTGGGCCCGGACGCAGCGGGTGGCTCTCGGGCGGCGGCGCCGTCCTCGGGTTCGCTCTAGGCGCCGGGGGCGGCGCCGGTCCTTGGAACAGCGTGGGCGGGGCTGGCACCCCACCTCCAATTCGGCTTCAGAGAGAGGAAGGGACAAAAGGAGGGAGGGAGAGGCCACTACTTCCTGAATCGCCTGCAAACCGGGCGCGAGCGAGCTCGACCTGCGCTGCGCCACGATGTCCGGAGAGTCAGCCAAGAGCCTGGGGAAGGGTGAGGCCTGCCCGCCGCCAGAGGCGAGGGTGATCTCGGTGGCCCCCGGCCGCAGGTCCCGGCGCGGCGGATCCGGAGCCGAGCCTCACCGGAAGGCCGCCTCCCGCAGGGGACGGTCGGGGCGGCAGCGCCCGGGACCTTTCCGCGGCCGGGCTGGGGGTGGCGGGAGGTTGGGGGTCCCCGCCGCTCTTCGGGAGGTAACCGCCTTCGCTTCTCCCCCGCAGGAAGCGCGCCCCCAGGGCCGGTCCCCGAGGGCCTGATCCGCGTCTACAGCATGAGGTTCTGCCCGTTCGCCCAGAGGACGCGCCTCGTCCTGACGGCCAAGGGAATCAAGTGAGAAGCCAGGCGGGGAGCCGGCCAGGAATCCGCTGCTGCGGGCGGCGTGGGTGGGCATCTAGACCAGGGCCGCGGGAGCTCCCTTTACTGCAAAATCAATTAGTATTCTCAGCCTTTTGGGGAGGATATAGCAAGTTAGGGACTCTCTCCCTGGGAAGGCAGCAAGTGCCATAGACTCCAGCCGTCTAGGACACTCCGTTTAGATTGACCTAACCATTTTATGGATCAGAAAAATGGGCTCCAGTTAAGTTACTGACAGGCAGCTGCTCTTTTACCGCTGGTAGACTCCTTATTCCTGGTCCACTGCCCTTTCGCTTTCACCAGACTTCTTCATTCATGTTCGATTTATCTGATATTGTTTGTTGTTATTCTGTGATAATTAACCCCAGTACAGAGTTCAGACCTTGACTCTCTTGGCAGTGTGTTGAGTTAACTCTACCGTACATAATCCTATAGGTTGGGTTGTTGGTTGAGTCGAAGTGTCTGTGCCTTAAAATCCAGTCTTTTTGAAGCCTCATTGAAACTAGCATGGCTATTAACATAACAGTTAGCCACAGGAATTATGCAGTAGTCACTTGGCTTTTTTTCTGCTAACACCAAATACCCTTTGGAACCACCCCCCTTCCAATGACCTTTGGAATCTGTGGAACAGACATTAGATACCCCTGGTTTGGAAGTTTAAAACGTAGCCCCATTTTAAAAATTTTTTTTATCCTCACCAGAGGACATTTTTCCTTTTTTTTTGTTCAGATGGGAGGGGGAGGGAGAGAAACATCGACGTGAAAGGGACACATCGAGTGGCTGCCACCTGCACAACCCAACCAGGGCCAGGGACAAACTGCAACCAAGGTACCTGCCCTTAGCGGGAACTGAACCCCGGGTCTCTCTGGACCGCAGGCCGATGCTCTAACTGCTGAGCCAAACCCGCCAGGGCCGTAGCCCCCATTTTTAAGAAATTTTCCATCTATGTGTTAAAGTTTATAAATGAATTTTAATTTTCTAGGTGAAGAACTAGGCAGGCAATTCTTTTCCCTAAAATAAATATAAAATGCATTCTAAAGAAAAATTATGGATTCGTCCTCACTTCACTAAGATTGGCATCTTATTTGGATGAAATTTAATTCTGAACAGATAGCAAAAGACTCAACATTTAGTAACATCTATCCAAAATACTGTATTTTATTCAAATATTTGCTATATCAGTGATACTTCTTTTATTGCAAGTAAGAGAACTCTAATTCACGTTGGACTGAAAAAAGACGTATCTTGTGCTCATATAATCGAAAAGTCCAACAGCAAAATGCAGTGGACTTCAGGGCCCCAAGTCCTGGGTTACATGCCCCTCTGCAACTCTAGGTTGAAAACAACCCTACCTTACTTACTAGGAGTTTTCCAAAGGAAAATTGAAATGATTTTTACCATAGCACTGTGTGTATGGAGGGGGTGAAGAGCGGTGACAGCTGCCAGGTAGTGCAAACGACAGAGGTCTACTCCATTCATGGACCAGTGTTGAGCCCCAGGAAACTTTCATCAGAGGAATTAGATTTCCACCACATGATATAACCTAACAAAGCATGGTTTTCTTTAAAAGGTGCATCTTCCAACTTGTTGTGGCAGGTGTGTTGACTTAGTGACTCACAATGCCAAGTTACCACCAAATCCATGTGTTCTGAGAACCTTTTGTTTTAATCACGAAAGCCCAGGATCTAGCCCTGGCCACGCTGGCTCAGTGGTTAGAACATCAGCCTGCAGACCAGAGGGTCCCAGGTTCGGTTCCTGCTAAGGGCACGTACCTCGGGTGCAGCCCTGGTTGGGATCGTGTGGGTGGTGACCAGTGTGTCTCTCTTACATTGATGTTTCTCTTTCTCTTTTCTTCCCTCTCTCCCTCCCACTCTATCTGAAAATAAATGCAAAAAAAAAAAAAAAAAGCCCAGGATCTACCTTTTGCTTTTATAGTATACAATTTCAGAAGTGTTGATAATTCTTTAGCAGAGGGCCTTATTTTACTCTCATATCTGAGTGTCCAGTATTCTCTCAGCACATGAACCTTTTATTATTTATTTATTTAATTTTTTAAATCCTCACCCGAGGACATTTTCCCACTTTTTTCAGATAGAGTGGCAGGAAGAGAGAGAGAGAGAAACATCAACGTGAAAGGGACACATCAAGTGGCTGCCTCCTGCACGACTCCAACCAGGGCCAGGGACAAATTGCAACCGAGGTACATGCCCTTGACCAAAATCGAACCTGCCACTCACTGGGCCATGGGCCAACACTCTAACCGCTGAGCCAAACCAGCCAGGGCACATGAACCTTTTAATACACACACACATACATGTTTAATCGGGCTATTCCTTTGTCTCCATGGGTGATTATATATTTAAATCCTCAAACTAAATGCTGTTCTTGCCACTGTAGTAGGATGGAGACATAGGGAAAAAAAAGGTGTTGGTGTATGTGTTTATTAATATGAACAAGATACATAAGATCCTTGCTTTCATGGAACTTATATTTTAGGGAGTTGACATAATAAATGGATAAATAAATGATCCAGGTAATTTCAGATACATATCAGTTTAATGAAAAAAGTAAAACAAGATAATCATGTAATGGAGGCTCTCAGAAGCTTCAGAATGGGTAGACAGGCAGAGAAGGCAGAGGACCAGTAAGTGCAACTGTTTTAAGGTGGGAACATATTTGGCAAGTTCAAGGAATATAAGAAAGGCCAGTATGGCCAGATCATAATGACCAGAGGAAAACAGGTGTAACAGGTAAGCAGGGACAAGATCAAATGTGCCCTGCATGTCATAGAAAGTGATTTAGAGTTTATCCTCTTTGCAATGAGGAGCAATCGAAGGGTTGTAAGCAGGAGAGAGGCCAGATTTAATTTACTTTTGTCAAAGGTCCACCTGGCCACGTGTGCAGAATGGATTGTAGGGAGGCCACAGTAGAAATTTAGAGGCTGGTGGCAGATAATGTTTTGGATGAGGCAGCAATGATAATGCTGAGAAGTGACTAAAATCAGTATGATTTGGAGGTCTAGCTGAGGGTCTTGCTGAACCATTTGACTTGAGGAAGGGGGGCAGAGGGTGGGGAGAATTAAGGCTGAGTGAACTCCTAAATTTGGGGTCTGATCAGCTAACTGGTTGGTAGGACCAGTGAGGATTCATTCAGGAATGAAGGTTTCAAAAAAGGTTTCCTTCTCTTCACTGTCTTCTATGTGTCTTTCAGACATGAAGTCATCAACATCAACCTGAAAAATAAGCCTGAGTGGTTCTTTAAGAAGAATCCCACAGGTCTGGTGCCAGTTCTGGAAAACAGTCAGGGTCAACTGATCTGTGAATCTGCCATCACCTGTGAGTACCTGGATGAAGCATATCCAGGGAAGAAGCTGTTACCAGATGACCCCTATGAGAAAGCGTGCCAAAAGATGGTCTTTGAGCTATTTTCTAAGGTGTGTGTATAATGTCAGTTCCTATTTGAAAAATGTTTGTCTTTTTAAGCTACATCAGTGGTCATTTATGGTTCAGTAATTTGGGAAAGGGAAACAAAACAGGATTATACTCATCTGCCCTGATGTGTCCTACAAGCCGTTTCTTGTTCAGTTCCTGTTTACCTCTCCAAAGTTATCCATCTCCACTCTCCTGACATGCTGTATTCCAGCCATACTGAATGTTTTCAGTTTTCTCAAACTCACCACCTTATCCACTCTTGCTGGAAGACTCTTCTGCCTTCTCACTTTGCCTGGTTATCTCCAAATCCTCTTTCATTTATCTGCTCAGAGACTGCTGCCTTGTAGAAGCTTGTCCAGACTGTGCGAGTGTCCAGCTCTCTGTTCCCACAAGTACTAACATTTCCCTGCCCTCAGCCAGTGTGTTCTACTGGGGCGTGAGCTCCTTGAGGGTGAGGGCAGTGTTTCTGTCACTGTTGGCTCACTGCCTAGGTTTGCGACTAGCCCTGCCACTTCCAAGTTGTTTAACTTGCTAAGTTACTTATTGCTTTACCTCTGTGTCTCAGGTCAATATTTGTAAAATGAGTATAATTGTTTCCTCCTTAAGGATAAAAATCAGTTAATCTAAAACACCGAGAGCAGAGCCCAACACATGATAAATCTCAGTGTTAGTTCTTATTCTAGCCACAGTGTCTAGCAGTGAGCTTCTCCTCCGTGTTGGCAATAGCTCTCAGCTGACTGAGTGAATGGCATTCCTGTAGAAGAACTGTTTGTATCTTAATTAGCATCAATGTTGTAGATTAGTTCAAGCAGTTAGTATTCACAAAGACATGACCAATTATAGACAATAAGCAATGTCAGGTTATGTTCCTATAATCCTGTTACCTTGTCAGCCATATATCAGCATACACCGGAATCTCTTGTCTCCAGAGAAAGACATGATTGAAGAAATACTGCAAAGATGGCACTTATAGGGAAGACGTATTGTTTAAGGAGACGATGCAAAGGGAAATTGATGGGGAAGGAAGAGGGAAAAGAGGGAATTGTCTGGGTTAGCAGGATGGAGGGGAAAAGAATAGTAGAGATGGCCACTGTCAAAGATATTAGACAGGGAATAGGGCATTTACAAGAAAGATGTTGGAGAATTTTTTAAAAAGTAACTGTTTGGAAAGAAAATGAGCTAAAAGCTGGAAATGCGCACTATGACTTTCCTGCTCACATTCAGGAAAAGAGGTGGTCTTAGGTGCCATATCACCCCACCCTCCTGGCCACAGGTCAGCAAACCAGAAATGTCCCCACCTACACAGTCATCTTCTCCCCTAGAAACTTGGAACTGAGACAGACTAAGACAGTAAAAGTGGGGAAGCTTTGGAGATATATCATTGGAGACGACAAACCAAAGCCACATAAAAAATACAGTTTTAGGGAAGTGGAAATTAAGAACACTGCAAAGGGGACTATGCATAGAAAATAATATGGAACAGACATTTAAGGAGAAGCAATGATGAAAGGCCAGGCAGGAAATGTGGATGGAAGGGCTGCCTGCAAACCCTCAGTCCCAATGAGGGCAAGCTGTGCCGACATGGATGGGATTTGAAGGGATTCTCCCGTATTTGTATGAGTGCCTGTTTACTTAAACTGGATGGGTAGACCTCTGCCTCTTGCAATGAGACGATACCAAAGACCAAAGTATTAAACACACTAACACCTCATCACAAAGCCTGACACTATACCTGTCAGGTCTTCAGGTGACTCCTCCCCCTTTGACCAGTCTTTTCATGTCCTCCTCAAGGTAGAAATCAGAAAAACTCTCTTTCCCAGCTCCCTTTGCAGCCGGGGCCAAGGCCCGGGACCGAGGCTCTCCCTGTCAGATACACACATGGTAGAGTTTAATCCAGAAATGATCAATGTGAGGAAATAGGCTTGGTGTGGGGCACTGGTTCTGTCAATGACATGGCTGGTGGCAGAGCTCCTGGCTTTCAGGGGCTATGGTGGTTGCAAGATTAAATTCCAGAGTAGAAGTGGCGTTGGTACTAGTGGCATTAGTTACTGCAGAGTTGTTTCGGGCAGTGGCATAAACTGTAACCTAGTTTCAGCTCAGGTCACAGTGGGTGTTTTCCATCTGGCCAGTCTGAGCATGCTTTTGGAATGTTCCACTTTCGTTCTGAGCCTATTTGCTCAGCCTCCCGACAATTCAATAAGACATTCAATATCCTTTAAAGTTGTTTTTGGCTCAAATTGCCAAAGTAGGTTCTATTATTTGTAACTTATAAGATCCTATAAAATTTGCATCTTGGGTTACAAAACTGTTTCTAAGATCAGTGTATGACCTCTGTGAACACAGGAATGGGTGCACCCTTGAAGTTTCTGGAACACTCTGACATTGGGACAATAAGGGCTCTGGCATGTTTTTATGTGAAGCTGGTATACTTAGCCTTCCACTAATAAACTAAGAAATTATTCTCTGTCTAGGTGCCATCTTTGGTAGGAAGCTTTATTAGAAGTACAAATAAGGAAGAACGCTCTGGTCTAAAAGAAGAATTTCGTAAAGAATTCAGCAAGCTTGAAGAGGTAATCAATCAAGTATCTTGGCTTTTATCGGAGTAAATGATACACTTCATCTACTCTCTTCTTCTCTCTTTTCTTCATATTCCCATTTCCCAGATCACTTTATAGCCATTAGTAATAATACCAAATAAGAAATTTTTATTTATAACAGATTGACATAGCTGTGTTTAAGATATAAACCCAAACACCTAAAAGTATTTTGTCATGGGCTCGCATTCAAAACATTTTGTTACATTGATGTTAAAATAACAAGGAAAAAAGGAACTTCACCAGCATTTCAGTAATGTGTCACCTGTTTTCTCTTTTTCCCATGCTATTTCCAGTCCTTGTCTATATATTTAAAAAATAATAATATAACTGTAACCAGAGCATAGACACCATTCTGTGTTCTTTTACTTAGTATTATATAATAAACACTTCTCATCACAAAGAGTTTGCTATGAATGATACAGACACTTGGCAAAGTCCAGATGCGTTTTACCTCCTTTGGGGGAGAGCTGCCATTTCGGGCCTTCGGGTCTTCCTCTTGGCCTTGAGACATTCCAAATACTCAGGTAGATTTAAACAATCAGTTTACAATGCAGACCCTGAAAAAAACTATAGAAGTTTTATAAATGGTTTGGTGTTGATAAATAAAATAATATTGAGTTTCCCTCATTTGACAAAACCATGATACCAGTTCACCTAAAATTTTGAATACATATTGTTTGTGCTTGGTTTTCAAATTTTATTTAATAGTTAATAGTCAATCCAGTTATTTCCAGTATATTTTAAGTAAATTGTTTTATTGAAAAATTATGCAAAGAAGTACCCAAAGCATTAAGAGTACAGCTTGATGAATTTTTACAAAGTGAACAGAGCCATAGAACCAGCACCCATAAAAAAAAAAAAAAAAAAAAAGTATTAGTTTTATTTTTTATTATACAAATGGAATCATATAATATGCACTCTTTGGGTCTGGCTTCTTCATACAGTATTAGGTTTGAGAAGTTCATCTATATTGCATGTAGTGCACTCCTATTCTTTGTATAGTGTTCTAGCGTATGTCTGTCTGTACCATGATTTTTTTTTATCCTTTTTACTCCTGATATACAGTAAACATTTCCACTTTGGGTCTTTTTACAAATAGTGCTACAGTGAACATTCTTACACATGTCTTTTGGTGAATATATGTTCACATTTCCAAGTAGAATTACTGGGTTGTAAAATATTCACGCACTCAGCTTTAGTAGCTACTGTTAAAACATGGTTGTACCAATTTACATTCCTATTAGCAGTGGTTCCACGCCTAGCTAACTTTGTCTTACTCATTTTAGCCATTCTGATGGATGTGTAGTAGTATTACACTTTGGTTTTAGTTTGCATTTCCCTGGTAGATTGTAGTTGAGCACCTTTTGGTTATTGGCCATTTGGACATCCTTTATTTTGTGAAGTGCAAGTCTTGTCCAATTTCCTAATGGGTTATTTGCCTTTTTTCTTGATTCCCAGGAGTTCTTTCTATATTCTGAATAACTGTTCTTTGTTGCATTACGAAGATCTTGTATTCTGTCACTTATTTTGTTTTTCTCCATTTTCCAATTTTTTTTTTATTATTATTTGGATTCATCCCAAACTAACAGATTCTAAAGCTTAAACTGATCAAATAGACAAAAAGTAAACTTGGATATGTCAAGGTAAAAGCTGCTGCTCACCACTCTGCTTAACTCACCTGCATCATCTTTGATGATGAGTCTTACTAGATGCACAAATAACAAGTACTCTTATGATGTTTAATGTTCAGGTTCTGACCAATAAGAAGACAACCTTCTTTGGTGGCAATTCACTTTCTATGATTGATTACCTCATCTGGCCCTGGTTTCAACGGTTGGAAGCACTGGAGTTAACTGAGTAAGACATTTGAATATTTGGTGTATAATTTAGGATAATGATAATAGGAATAGTATATGTCAACCTCCCATTTACAGTACAACATAGTGATTATGCATTTATATAACTTACGAAGTGATTTTCCTGATAAGTCTAGTATCCATCTGACACCATACATACTTATTACATTACTGAACCTATTCCCTCTGCTGTACTTTACATCCCTGTGACTGTTTTCATACCAAATTTGTATTTCTTTTTTTTTTATCCTCACCCGAGGACATTTTTCCATTTTTTGTTCAGATAGAGTAGGAGGGAGAGAGAGGAAGGGAGAGAGAGACAGAAACATCGATGTGAAGGGACACATCGAGTGGCCGCCACCCGCACAACCAACCAGGGCCGGGGACAAACTGCAACCGAAGTACGTGCCCTTAGCGGGAACCGAACCCGGGTCTCTCCGGACCGCAGGCCGACGCTCCAACCGCTGAGCCAAACCGGCCAGGGCCAAATTTGTATTTCTTAATCCCTTCACCTTTCAGTCACAAGCTGGCCATTGATGGGTTGCCTTTCATGTTCTCATTTAAAAAGTTATCAGTTTCTCAGTTTGGAAAAGTTATGCCAACTCAGCAAGTCACTTCACTTTAAGATTCCTGTTCCATAAAACAAAGACTTGTACAATATCTTCCAAATCTAATACAGTTATACCTTGGAGATATTGCAGGTTCAGTTTCAGACCACTGCAGTAAAGCAAATATTTCAATAAAGTGAGTCACACAAATCTTTTGGTTTCCTAGTGCATATAAAATTTATGTTTACACTATGCTGTAGTCTGTTAACTGTTCAATAGCATTATGTCTTTTTTTTAAAACAACAATGTAATACCTTAATGAAAAAGTGCTTTACTGCAAAAAACCCACTAACCATCAGTCATTACTGAGCCTTCAGTAATCTTTTTGCTGGTGGAGGGTCTTGCCCTAGTAACATCAAAGATCAGTGATCACAGATCTCCACAACAAATATAAAAATAATGGCAAAAGTTTGGAATATTCTGAGAATTTCCAAAATGTGACACAGAGACACAAAGTTGAACAAATGCTCTTGGGAAAACTGCACTAACAGACTTGCTCAATTCAGGGTTGCTACAAACCTTCAATTTGTAAAAAATGCAGTACCTGAGAAGCTCAACAGGAGGAGGTACGCTTTATTCTCTGATTAGGTGCACTTTAAGAAATATTTTTAAAGAATTACATTAAAAGATTAAAGAACAAAGTGAAATTTCAGAGTGGTAATGATGACACATAGACTTTACAATGCTTTCCTATTTAGTCTAGCTTACCTTTATGCTTTCCATCTCCCTTAGGTGTGTAGATCACACTCCAAAAATTAAGCTCTGGATGGCAGCCATGAGGGAAGATCCTGCAGTATCAGCCCTCCCCATTGATGTGAAGACCTTTCGAGGTTTCTTAAACCTCTACTTGCAGAACAGCCTGGAGGCCTGTGACTATGGGCTCTGATGGGGGCAGGAGTCAACAAAGAAGATGTGTCTGATATTTCCCTTCACTAATACGAATAATAACATGCTTTTACTTCAGCAAGTGTTCTCACGTCTCTTTGGATCACCTTTTCTGAGTTGACATCATGGCCCAGCTGTGGGATTTCCTTAAGGCCCTCCTGCAGAAATGTAAAAACATTTCCTGCTCGGATGCTCAAATGACTCTAAGGTTTCTGTCAGTCTATGCTGAAAACCTCTAAATCATCCTCTCGAGTGAGATTTAGACTTTAATCTACATTTCTAACTGCCCATAGGACATTTCCTCTTTGATAACCCATGGTCATTTCAAGAGATGCCCTTTCAAGTTTGTCTTTGAGATTGTGAATTGAGAACTTTCAATTCCTCATTCTTTCCATCATCAACTGAATTTCACTCCTTTTATTCCCATTCTCACCAATGAAGACCAGACCTGCATCACTTGAAAGCCAGGTTACTAGGTAGCCTCCTACTTGGTTTACAATATCCAATCTCTATACCCTTCAAATCCGTACCAAATCCCATGCTGGACACACAGCAGGTGTCCCATACATGTAATGAACTACTGTGAAGACCATATTCCTCAATGCAGTATGTAAAGCTTAATTAATAGGTAATATCCCCATTCAGAAATATTAATGCCATCTTCCGTACACTTCCAGAGCTCATTTGGCTTCTCACTGATTTTCATCATCACATCACCTCCATGTGAAGGTAGGTTGGAGAGCTTCACTTCATTGTACAGATGATTGAACTAAGGTCCCAAGATTAAGTGAGAGCTCAAAATGCTGGCGAAAATATCTGGAGAACACACCCAACACCCTGTTCTTACTATCAGAATTAAGGGGCTGTTGCCCCTCTGGCCCCAATACTGTCTGGTTTCCTGTACTTATTATTAAACGTAAGAGCACCTAACAATCTCGTAAGGCTCACTGCTGGATTCCCGAGTCAGTTTAGTAGGCCCAGGGTGGGCCCGGTGGGCCCGGTGGGCCTCTCGAAAGGAACCCCGCCCTTGGTGATGCAGGCAACCTGGAGGCCCTAGAGACAGCCCACAACGGCTGACTTCACAAAGGGCCTTCGGCCGCTAACGTCGCCCAAACTCCGTGCGCACTGGGCTCTGCCAGGTCGGCCTGCCCGCTCTCTAGGCTCAGGTCGGCTGCGGGCGGACTTCAGACGGACGTAGACCCGGGCACTGAGGTGCCACGCCACGAACAGCCACTACCAGATCGCGGACACCCGTGGGGAAAAGCGACTGCGGTTCCCGGGAACCCATTACCCGGCCGCCCATTGACGCAGTTCGGCACTGATTGGCCGGAGCGCCCCCAAAGCAAGGCGCTTAGGATTGGCTGGAGCTCTGGGAGCCGCCGCCAGCTGTCGGGTAGGGTCGCATTCCGGGGGCGGGTCCACCGCAGTTTATCCCGTCCCTGGCTGCGCGGGGTGTTCCCGCGAGTGGCCCGGTCACCGCCCCCGGCTGGGGCGGTCTGGCCAGCATTGCGTTTGAAGGGAAGACAGGTTTAAGGTCAATTCTGAGTTTTGGGGTTTTCCCACGAATTTCGGGGCCCAGAATAGGATTGCTAACTTTTTGTGTTGCCTAATACTTTTAAAAGAAAGCCCAAGTACTTACCTTCACCAGTTTCATCAGAGAATTTAACATAAAGTACTAGGACTATGTAATCCAAGAACAAAGAACAGAGCTTTAAAGCTAATACCGTGAACTTAAAGGGGAAAATAAACTAAATTGTTTTATTTTCTGATTTGCCTGGAGACAGGTAAAGACGACCCACGATCACTAATTCTCAGCCCTGACCTGGGCACCACTAGTTTAGCTGCATTATAGGGCAACAGCAGGCAGAGGAATTCGGTCCCAGGGATGTCTTTGTGAGGTCTAAGGGTCTTCCCTGCTACATTCTAATAATAATAAAAGGAATAGGTAATGTTGAATGCCTTCTAGGTAATAGATGAATGTTAAGTATTTAGCATTTTTCATTCAGTATCTGAATAAATCATCCCCAAACCACCTGATGTATTGGTACCATTAACTCTAGATTACAAACGAGTATCCTAGGGTTTAGAAAGTTGCTGTGATTTGCCCAAGGTCACCCAGCTAGTCAATGCTGAAGAGATTCAAATCCAACCTGAACTCTTACAGTCATTTTAGACCCTTCTAGAGATAAGAGCTTAGGTGTGCTTCTGCCCCATTCTGTCTTTATTCACCAGCTCCTAGCGTTTAGAAAGGTTGAGCCAGGAAAGGGTAGTACATATGCACCTTTTAGACACACCACTATTATACAGGGATTTAACAGAAAGTGTTGACGTTCTTTTCCAAACTCAATGTGTTTTATTTTAACAAATGTTTGATTTGGCTGATTTCAGGATCTTGATAATCTGCCTTTGTTCATTCAAATGTAACTATATCAAAATGTTTAAAATTTTTTTTTCTTTGATCCCTTAAGCTGTACAGAGAAATAGGAATAGGAAAGCAGAATCAAGTACTTAAAAAAGAAAGTCTCCATTTTTTTCCCCAGTAAACACACTTGATTTATTTTGTATAAAAGGGTTAAGTTAAAAAAAAAAATAACAGTTTAATAAAAAGTTTAGCATGAATAAGTACTTCATTATACTTTGTATGCAGAAATACATCTCTGCCACTATAAGAAAACTAATTAGAGTTCACAAGGGGTATATATATATATATATATATATATATATATATATTTTTTTTTTTTTTTTTCAGTAAGTTTGCATTAAAAAGATAATTTCTAACCAGAGACTTCATTTAAGTAACTGAATCCTGAATCCTGCTGGTATTCATGCTCCACCTTTGAAAAAAGGCAAAGTCTGCTTAAATTGGGCAATTCCTTGTGATGTTAAGGTTTTTGCTCCCCATGATGGGAATAGTATATAAAGAAAACCTTCCAACTGCAGAAAGGGCATTAAAAGTCTTTTTCATAAATAATATCACAATCCCCATCTTCCGGGGGAAGATGATATGATCCTTCTTAATTTTGCTTCCATTTTTTTTTTTTTTTTTAAAAGTCCCGTTCAACTTTTTGTCTTCCTTGTGAAATTGTTGAAAAATAAGTTCCTGTGGATTTGTTGTTGTGCAAAGAAAAATAAAAGTCATAAACACCATTTACTCAGCCACAGAGCGCTTTGCTGTCATTTGACATGAAGTCAAAAGGGAATTCAGAAGCCTGCAAGGACAGGATGCTGATGTCCGTGTTTAGGGTGATCAGCGGCTTCCTTGATGCCTGGCTCTGCCAAGGCCGTTAGTGGTCCAGGCTGACAATAGTGGGATGCAAGTTCAGGGTGATCTCCAGGTTCAAGGTGTAGCCAATGATGTGTTGCAGGATTTCCATCTTGCTCACCTTCTTGTTCTGGGGGATTCTAGGCACCAGCTCCTTGAACTTGGAGTAGCAGTGGATCATGTTGTATAGCAGGATAATTGGGTTGTCTACTGGGGTTTTGCTCCTGGAGATGCCCAGGCTGTGGTACTGCAGAGAAGAAGAGACCAGGAGGGAGGGAGTGGGCTGCCCTGGAGCTCAGGCCATTGCTGCCTTTGGAGCTCCTGCTGCTGGGTATCGGGCTTGACTCAGAAATCAGAAAGTCTCCTTTTGACTCTGCTTTCCCCAGTGGGAAGATGAAGTTCCTCCTCTGGCTACTGTAGTTGACAATAATCTTTATTTTTTATGTCCTAGATTTGTGGGTATGGGGGAGGGAGTTGGATGAAGGTGGTCAAAATGTACAAACTTCCAGTTGTAAAATAAGTCCTGGGATGTAATGTACAACAAGATAACTATAGTTAATACTGCTGTATGGTGTATTTGAAAGTTGCTAAGAGGGTAGATCCTAAAAGTTCTCATCACAAGGAAAAAATACCTTTTGTAACTATATGAGGAGGTAGATATTAATTAAACTTATTGTGGTAATCATTTCATAGTATATGTGTGTCAAGTCATTATGTGGTGCACATTAAAAACATTCAGAGCTGTATGTCAATTATATATCAAAACTGAAAAAGAAATGTCCCAAAGACGTTGGAACACAGGATTACCTATGATCCTAAATTCCTGGCAACAAGTCCTGATTCTAGGTCCATTTGAAAATAGACCTTTTTTCCTCATTTATCTCACTCTTTGAATTTAATGAATAATAGCTGAGCAATCAGTCATCTTTAATGTAAATTAGCCTTCTGACATATTAAGAGGAATGTTCTCCAGTTATTGCCACCATCAGAGATAGGTATGAGAAACATTGTTTGCAAAACTGAAAAATGCAAACTCCACTTCTATTCTCAAAACAGAGACTCAATTAAATAGAGTGAAGAAATGATTTCTGTGGTGGCATTCTTTGCCTAGAAGCTTGTTACTGTTACCCATGACTGAAGAGCCCACATTTTCAGATAGATCCAATTCTATTTCAAGTAGCTGGAAAGCAATTTGGAGTAGGTTTAATGTGGCCTTGTTACCATTTGTTTCCTGCTTGAGTGAGTCAGTATAACAGAGGTGTAAACATGATATAATAACATAGAAGGAAAATTTGCAGAGGATTTCAAAGAGGTACCTATTGGGTCTTAAAAAGGAAGTAGGGATAAGCTCAAAGGTCATAATTAAAATCTTTCCAGGGAAACCGTAGTGTTCAGTGGTAAGATTAGAAACCACATTACTGAAATATAGCCTGCAACATTCAACCCATTCAACTGGTATTTAACTGGTAACTGGTGAAATAAATATTGTGAGTTGAATTCTAATTCTAATACGCTTGGCAAAGGCAAAGCTGAATTGCAATGCATTTCATCTTTATGCATGCACAATTGGAATGTACTATGCTATTAAGCATATTCTTATTTACTAGTATTAGTCATTAATATTGAGCTCTTACTATACTGAGGATTGCCTGTATGATTTCATTCAACATTCAAAACCCATTAAGAAGGTACTACTTGTATTCTCATTTTACAGGTGAGAAAGATGACAGTCAAAGAGGTGAGAGATAGCTTGTCTGAGGGCCAAGGCCAGGGTTTGAGTATAGTACCAAGTGAGAACCTTGACATTATGTTGCTTTCCTTAAGAGGAAGAACTGTTTACATTCCTTTGTCTATTCTCCCCTAACTACACCAAATAGATTTGCATTTTAGAATGTGACTTCCCATACACAGATATACTTTTAATAAACAGCATTTACCAACTCTCAGAGTTGATTTCCTTTAAAAAGTGGGAACGAGGAGGAAAAACATCTTGGAAATATGTTCTCTTTAGCATAGTGGAAAGGTAGAAGCTTTTACTTTCCAAATGGAATACCCAGATTGGCCATTAGTAATTCATTCATGTGACTATAGTCCAGGGTGGGCAAACTCAGGCCAGAGAGCCAAATCCAGCCCACTGCTGGTTTTTGTATAGTATGAGAGCTAAGGATGGTTTTTATATTTTTAAATGGTTGAAAAAATCAAGAGAAGAATCATAATTTGTGACACGTGAAAATTATATGAAATTCACCGAGTAAACCCTAATGTAAACTATTCACCATTCAGTTTGTCCTTCTTGATTAAAGTTACTTCCAGAACAGTAGTTATCCTATCACTTTATCTTTCAAAATGCAAAATTGTCAGCATGCAAGTGAAGAACCAATATCTTTTCCAATACCAGATTTCTTGTTGACATATATGCAATTTCTTTCCAGAGAAAGTATATTAGAACATTTTGCCATTCTCCAATCTTATAAATCCACAGCAACTCGTCATGTCTCACATGAAATCACTCTGAATGACTTAGCAAAAAATATAGTTGAGTCACTATTCCAAACACTTCCAAAAATTCCTTTTCAGTAGAAAAAAAAACCTGTTAACACTATTAACCACGAATTTCTGCATAGTTGAATTCCAAAGGACAAAAGGTATCCATTTATAAGCTACATAATGAAGTTCTGTCATTTTAGTAAAATATATTTAGATTCGGCTAACATCTGTTGAGCAGCAGTTACGTGCTGTATCTCTTCCAGGACTTATGTCCTTTCCACACTGTTAACAGTTTTAGAGGCCAAGACAATAAGGAGTCAGGCTTTGGATTTTTAAAGTTCTTCAACCCCATTAGCTGGTCACTTTGGGCAAATAATTTAATTTTTCTGAGGATATATTCTAGGAATAATAATAGTTGCCTAACTGATTAGTTGTGGGAATCAAATAAGGTAATCCATAGAAATAATTTAGTCAGAATGAGTGAGGCATATAATACGTGTCTTTCCTTCTTTACTTGTCAACCCTATAAAATGCATTTATGAGTAATTCCTATTTCAGCTCAATCCTGTAAGATCAAAGAAGTTATCTTTCCACCTGCTAAATTTCAGGATCACTAAGCTTCTTCGGGTCAGAGCGAAGGCAGCTCCCAGCTTTATCTCCTTCAGATGGAGTTGCAATTCAAGTGGTCCCTGTATGGCTGGGCTATTGACAATGTGTCCTTAGTCATTATAAAGGGTCTTCTCTGAAATTTATGCTGGGGGATGGGGAGAGCTCACAATTTTTTCTTTGCTTCTAGGTATCTTGTTTCTAATTCATTACGAGATTTTTCATAGCTTAGGTACAATCTTACAAATAGGGCTAGAATTAGGGTGAGGCCCGTGAGGTGTCTAGGGCACAAAATTTAAGGAGACACTCTAAAGGCTGTGCAAGATCTCAGCACTAACAACTTTTTCTTCTTATCTGCTATATCATGAAAAAGTTTGGCATTATGTTATTTTTAAAGTATGCATTATACAGAGAATGTGGCCACTTGTCTTAGAGATGCAGGAGGGAGGGCTTAGATGGGAAAGAAAAACGTTAACGTTACCCTGGTCAGTTTTTGTTAAACTCCCTTGAAACACATGCTGGAGTTTAAATGCCCATTCCCCACAGGTTCTTAATGTGGAGAAGAGACCCCCACGGAATGCTGTACCCACGTGTTCAAAGCAGGGGTGCTTTTCAGGGTTTGTTTTGTTTTGTTTTTGCCCACTTCTACATACTTCAGCTTCCAAGTCTGGGGCGATGTCTCTCCAGGTTAAGTTATCCTACCTAGCTTGGTCCCAGATCAACAGGACCCAGTACCTCAAACATTGAATTTGGGCAGGAGGGGCGCGCCGGAGCCTACGGCAGCGGCGAGCCCCGAGGCCGTCACTTCGGGCGTCGGGCGCAGAACAGATTCCTGGACACCATGGCTGTGGATGTGACCAGGGCCTTGGCGAAAGGTAAGTCCTCTCGACAACAGTCCACGGGATGGAGACGTTGGGTCAAGGCCCACAGACAGCGTGGTGGGGAGGGACTTGAAAGGTTCCTCTGAACAAAAGCCATGTGCAAAGGTGTCTAGGGGACCCGGGAGGCGGAGCACGCCCAACCCTCTTGGGGTCTCGGGGAGGTGAGTGAGCCCCTCTCCCCACTGGGCTAATCCGCCTCTTGGTAACCACGCCCTCCTGTTCGGCAGGAAGTGTCCCCCCAGGGCCTGTCCCAGAAGGCCTGATCCGAATCTACAGCATGAGGTTCTGTCCTTATGCGCACAGGACGCGCCTGGTCCTCTGGGCCAAAGGCATCAGGTGAGAAACGGAAGGTCAGCGCCCTACGGGCACCCGGGGATGTTTACAGTCTGGGTGCCCTGTCCTTTTCTTCAGGGGCAGTCAGTACATGATTAGCAAAGGGCAGGTTCGTTACCGGGAGGTCTTGAAATGCAGAGCCCCGTCTGTGTAGGAAATTTAGGCCAACTCACAATAAACTGCACGATGGCTCTGGTGAGCTGGTTCCCTCCAGGAGTGGTGGCGAAGGAAGGGCACAGCAGAGGCTACCGAGGACACCGCTTGAGAGCAGTTTCTTCCATTTCATTGTTTGAAACTATTTGTTCATTCATTCAAAAAATATTTGCACCCTCACCCCAGATCAACTCTGTTCTCCACTTCATTGTGCTTACTGCATCCAACATATTTTTAAACCTCTCTTTCCTCCACTCTTTCCCCCCAGATGTAAGTTCTTGAGGGTAGGGACTTTGCCTTTTTTTTTTTTTTTTTATCCTCACCCGAGGACATTTTTCCACTTTTTTGTTCAGGTAGAGTGGGAGGGAGAGAGAGGAACAGAGAGAGAGAGAAACATCGACGTGAAAGGGACACATCGAGTGGCTGCCACCCGCACAACCGACCAGGGCCGGGGACAAACTGCAACCGAGGTACATGCCCTTAGCGGGAACCGAACCCGGGTCTCTCGGGACCGCAGGCCGACGCTCTAACCGCTGAGCCAAACCGGCCAGGGCCTACATAATTTCTTTAGAGCCGCATTTCTCAACCTTGGCAGTATTGACATTTTGGATGAGATAATTCTTTGTTGTGTGTGTGTGTGTGTTGGGGGTGGTGGCTATCCTGTTTAGTAGTTTCCCTGGCCACTGCACATTTGAAGGCAGTTGAATCCCCTCTCCCCCAGTTGTGATAACCAAAAAACATCTTCAGACATTGCCATATGCCCACGGGGAATGGGTTGAGGTTACTCCCATTCAATCTCCTTGAATGAGCAAAGAATAGTCTCATTTGTTTCCTTTAATCCTTTTAAACATATGTGAGTGACTCTGGTAACTTTATAGGTCTGGACCTCTAATAACAATAATTAAGAAGAAGAATTACAAATGTCATTTCCCCCTGGCTAATGTGGCTTAGCTCTTTGGAGCATGGTCCTGTACACTGAAAGGTTGCAGTTTTGATTTTCGGTCAGAGCACTTACCTAGGTTTTGGGTTTGATTCCCCGTTGGGGCACATATGAGAGGCAACTGATCGACGTTTGTCTCTCATAGTAATGTTTCTCTCTCTCTCAAATCAATAAACATATTCTCAGGTGAGGTTTTTAAAAAATGTTATTGCATGCTTATGTACTAGGCACTAAGCATTTTATATTCATTTACTTATTTGGTCCTCGCAATAATGCCAAGACATGGGTACATTTATTACCCACATTTTACAGTTTAAGGACTCTGAGCAGAGAGGTTAAGTAATTCGGCCAAGGTCACAAGCTAGACTGTTCAGACCCCACGTGGTCTGATGCCAGAATTTGTGCTCATAACTACTAACTTATAGCATATTCTTTTGTGACCTGTTAACAGCAGATCTGTATTTTCAAGCTTTAAATGTATGAGACCCTGTGGTGTGGTGGTTAAGCGTGTGAGTCTGAGTCAGACTCCTGGGCTCGGATCTCGGCTCTGCTCCTTCCTAGTGGTGATATCGGGCAGGAGAGTCAGTCTCCTGGAGTTGGAAATCACAAGGAACAAATGAGAAAAGGCATAGGAAACATTCAACACATAGTACTATAGGAACGAAGACAATGATGTTATTCATACACTTTTAAAAAGGTATTGCAAATTTAAATTTTATAACTTGATTACTTCTGCTTTCAAGATGAGTGTCTGTCTGTGTAAGCCTCTCGCTTTTGTTGTCTTGTTTTCCCTTTGCTTTTTAAGACATGAAGTTATCAACATTAACCTGAGAAACAAGCCCGAGTGGTACTATACAAAGCACCCTTTTGGCCAAATTCCTGTCTTGGAAAATAGCAAATGTCAGCTGATCTACGAATCTGTGATCGCTTGTGAGTACCTGGATGATGCTTATCCCGGAAGGAAGCTGTATCCATATGATCCCTATGAGCGAGCTCGTCAAAAGATGTTATTGGAGCTCTTCTATAAGGTATGTTTAATTTTTTAAAAAGCCACTTACGCTCTATTTTACTTTGTATGTCTTTTTCAAACTTCAGTTCATTTTTAAAGCCAAATCATTAGTGAAATTGTTTTCTTTTGATACTACGTGTGCCTTAGGAGAATAACTGGTATTCAATTATAGTAGCGCTATCACCTCTGATATTAAGGGTTAAAGCCTTCACTGATAGGTGCTTTGACATTTGAACTAGCAGTCTCAAGAGGTATGATTATGGCATGGTTATGACTGTGTGACTTAAGATAGGAACCTTGAAAGAGCTGAAAACTGGTGATGCTTTAAAGGGGATATTTCTAAGGTTTCAAGTAAAAAAAATATTGGATAGAAAAACAATGCATGAAAAGGGATTGCTCTTTATGCAGAGAGCAGTGCCACCTGTCCAGGAATATGAAGAAGAGACTGGTAACGGGAGAAAAATGATGGAGAAACTGAAGATGATTCTCTTTGACATGAAATAAAAATAAGTGACATGTATTGAGCACTTACGATGTGCAAGTGCAGTTCTAACGACCTTATAAAGGTTAACTCGTAACCCTTGCAACTGCCCTTTAAGGTGGGTACTATTACTGTACCCATTTTTCAGATGAGAACACTGAGGTGTAGAGAGGTTAAATGCCTGCCTAAGATTGTACAGCATGGAAGTAGCTGATCAAGTAAGAAGTACTTGAGAACCCCTTTTAAAGCACCTTGTTTTACCAGGGTGCTATGACAGGTGCATTCCTAGAAGCACAGAAATACCCCTCAGAGTGAGCTGGGGAGCCTGGATGTCGGTGTTGGCCTGCCATGCTGTAGGGACAGAGCTTTGGCTGCATTTTCACTCGGAGCAGGAGCATGGATTTCCCTCAGACTTCTCCACTAAGACACTTATGTCCTCTGATTAGGTCCCACATCTGACCAAGGAGTGTCTGGTAGCACTGAGATGCGGGAAAGAATGCGGTGATCTGAAGCTAGCCCTACGCGAGGAATTCTGCAACCTTGAAGAGGTACAAAAAGGGCCCCTCTCCTGGTTAGATACAAGGGAAGAAGAGATGTAAGGCTGCTAGCCTGGTCACCCTGACACTCTGCTTTCATAACTTACTCTTTCTGTCTGACTTTGATAAGTTCAGCTACTAGTCTTCTGATTTTAACTTGTAGTGCGTGCTCTCTACTGCCCCCATTCTGGAATTATTCTTGAAAATCTGGCAAGGAAGTTGGGAGGGCATGTGATGAATTTCCTCCTTTCCCAGAGTCACCACATTCCTTAAGTATCTTTGCGTGGCTTTTGTAGCTTCTGCCAATGAGGTTAAGGTCTGTGTTGGTTAGGGATTGTGTTTGGCTGCTAGTAAAAGGGACCTAACCTACTGTAAATTAATCTTTTTCTCTCACAAAAGCCAGAGGTAGGAGCAGTTCAGGTTTATTTTGATGGCTTCTTCATGAAATTGTCAGGGACTGAGATTCTTTCTTATTCTCTGCTCTGCCATTTTTAGTGCAAAACTTTCATCCTCAAAATGGCAAGATAGCTGCTGGAACTGCAGCCATCACATCCAAGTTCCAGGTTATGGAAAGAAGAACAGGGGAAAAAAAAAGGCAAAAGGCCATGCTCCTTTAAAGGGCTTTCCCAGAAGTCCTACCCAATGACTACTTAAATCTCATTGGCCAGAACATAATTATGGGGTCATAATTATCTGCAGGGGAGGCTGGGATTTGCCAGCCAATTTAGCATGTCCACTAATGTGCCATTTTTTAGTTGTAACTAGCACTCTTCCACTCTAGGGAACTGGTTATCCTCTACTCAGGATGGCTAGTTGAGCATTTTGAGTGCTGTTGCTAGTTTGATAACTTTATTTATTTTTTTATTTTTATCCTCACCCAAGGACATTTTTCCATTTTTTGTTCAGATAGAGTAGGAGGGAGAGGAAGGAAGAGAGAGAGAGAGAGAAACATCGACATGAAAGGGACACATCGAGTGGCTGCCACCCACACAACCCAACCAGGGTCGGGGACAAACTGCAACCAAGGTACGTGCCCTTAGCAGGAACCGAACCCGGGTCTCTCTGGACCTCAAGTCGATGCTGTAACTGCTGAGCCAAACTGGCCAGGACTGATAACTTTATAAATTGTCCAATTCTGACTGCTGCTTTCTAGGTAAACTAGTATTTGCCGTATTGCTTTTAATAACCTTTTATTATACCCTCTCTCACCATGTAAACAACAAAATAATAGTTCTTATTATTTAAAAATTAATTTTACTCTTCTCCATTTATAAAGTAATATTTGTTCATTTGAGAAAACTTGCTGATATAATAAACACCCTTATATATTACAGAAAAATATAGAAACTAAAAAAAAATCCATAATTACCACTACCCAGAAATAATAATTTTTTTTAGTACTTTTGTGTTTTCTGTCCCTTTCTTCTATGTATATTATTATGTAGTTGAAATTATACTGTATATAAAACGTGGTTAGCATTATGCTATAAGGATTTTCTCCATATTTTTATAAACTCTATAAATGCTTGTTTATTTGTAAAAGGGTGTTTATTATATCAGCATTATTTGTGATAGTAAAAAAATTATAAATCTTAATGTACGTTAGTTGGGGATTGGTTAAACAAATTGTGTTCATCTTGTGGAATTCTGTAAAGCAGTTAAAAGTGATTGAGGTAGAGCCATGCGTACTGACATGAAAAGATTACCTAGAAACATTTAAGTGAATCACACCTTAATGCAGATAGTATGATCCCATTTTTATAGAAGAAAACAATTGATGCATGTACATGTATGTAAATAAATGTCTATGAAAGTGATACATCAAACTCTCAATAGTGGCTACTACTGGGAAGGGGGTTAGAATTAGGATAGGAAAGAAAAGTAGCTAAGGGCATGGATGGGGGAAAGAGAATTGTTGCCTTTTATACTGTTTTCTGTGTTTCATTTTAGAATAATAATAATGTATTTCTCTATTACATGTGTAATGTTTATTTTTGTTTTTTTTTTTTTACTTTTATTAGCATTTATTTTATGCTGAAGTTACTCCTGGGCCATAAGATTCTGTTTTTCCAGTTTCTTCTGGGATACCTTTTTCTTTTGTGCAACCTCCTCCTCTGGTTTAGGAACAATCTGCTCTTCCTCAGTAGGATCATCTCGATTTGGCAGGGAGAGCTCACGTGTGGGTTAACGCCCCTGAGCTCTGTCAGTTCTGTGCCGCATCTGGGAGCTTTGTTCACCCGGATGTGCTCCACGACCAGAGAATCTGCATCTAAACCCTTACGTTCGGCATTGCTCTCTGCATTTTGAAGCATGTGCAGCAAAAATTTAGCACTCTTTTTGGGCTCCCAATCCTGGGTCCAGCCCCATTATTTGGCCTGGCCACACCTACCAATTCCACCATTGTGACAACAGTCTGGTACAAATGACTTCTTCTTTTTTCTTTATTAATTTTTTTAGAGAGAGAGGAAGGGAGAGAGAGAGAGAGAAAGAGACATCGGTGTGAGAGAGAAACATCCATCAACTGCCTTCTGCACGCCTCCTACTGGGGATCGAGCCCAGAACTGGGCATGTGCCCTGTTGGGAATAGAACCGAGACCTCTCAGTACATGGGACGACACTCAATCCACTGAGCCACACCAGCTGGGCTACAAATTACTTTTGTAAAGTGACATGCTTTTGTAAAGTGACTCGGTGGCTTTTCAGATATGCATACCCTTAATGGCCTGGGCAGTTTTACAAGGGTTCTTAAAAGTGAACATGAAGATTTGAACTTCTTGATTTGCATGATTTTTGAAGGTCAAGTGAATAGTGAACTATTTTCAGAGGTCACCTCAGGCTGCTGACAGGAAGAGCATATGTGTAATTTTTGTAATAAAAAAAACAAAACAAAACACTTTTCATTCTTCATAATTCGCCATGTATACAAACCATAAACTTTTTTATCCAGCACTTTTACCCATTATGAATGCTGCTTCAGGGAACAGCAGCTTCTTTGCATAAAAAGTGTTTTCTCTATTTTAGAATCAGTGCTTAGGTCGGATTTCCAGGAATGGAATGACCAGATCAAAGGGCTGAACACTTACAGGCTGGAGCTGTATGTCACTACATCCTTCCTCAAAGACTTGTGCTGTTTACCCCACCAGCAGTATATGAAAATGCCCTTTGCTCTGTCCCCTTTCCACTACTGGGGAATTTCATTTAAAAAGATACTTTCCTGTTTTGGAGAGAAAGAGTAGTTTCTCGCTGTTGATATAATGTGTATTTCTTTGATTGCTAGTGAAGTGGGAGATTTCCCCCAAAGTATGCCATCTCTTAGTGCTCTTTTTGTGCAAATGGTCTCTTAGATCTGTCTGTCATGGTCTTACTGATTTTCCTTGCTGATTTGTAAAAGTTCCTTTGAAGGAGTTTCTTATATATAAGATATGTGCTTGTTTTTAAGATACATTTTTGTTGTAACTTTTAATTTGGCTTATCTTTTTTTGTACATATAGAAATATAACACTAAAAAACACCGTGCCAGAAGTCCTTCCTGTTGTGATTTCTTCCACTGTTTTTATACACAGGAGGTCTCCCTTCCCCCTACAGACATTCAGTAAATATTCATTTATTTTTTCATCCACCATCCATCACTTTAAAGATATTTGACTTGTCAAGCATTGCCCTACTAGGTCCCCCACCCCCATGATTTTACAAATATATTGTAGCAAAAGAGTTAAGCCCATTAAAAGGATTCCTGGGTAGAATTTTCGGGGTGGTCCCTTAACCCCCAAATGCTGGCAAGGTGCATTCTGAATCTTCCTAGGGGACTGTAGGTCCTAAGTGATGGGTGGCAGGATGCGGCATGTTCTACCAGACAGTACTTCTAAGGCTTCTTTCTAGAGGAGACAGGATGTTATCTGTACTCTGTTTGCTCTGCACCCTTGGTTCGCTTTACAGGGAACCGGTTCATTGTCGCTAGCTCAGCCTCAGCTGTGTATCAGTGTAGCAGGGGCCGGAAATGTGAAATCTGGAGAATCTCCCCTTATCTCTTATGAAGCCAAGAGACTTCTGCTCAGGAGTTGAATACTTTACTGTTGCCTTTGGGTAAGGGCCTGAATTGCTGATTGATTGGCCGGTGGCTTTGTGTCTTTTGGGGGAAGGTGGAGGTTCTGTTTCTTGAGAGCTATTTCCATCAAGAAAAACTGCTTTCTTCCTCCGCAAGGACAGCCTCCCTGCTGTCTGTCCGCAGAGGCCAGGTTTTCTTTACAGTGGTGTAAACGGCGGTGGTGCAGGGCAGGCAGTTATTGACGCTGAATGCGAGTCCAGGATTGTAGACTGTGAAGCTTTTAAGAAGGTCCGGTTTGAGGAAGTCTGGGATCCTTTTCTCTTCATGATCTTGTTTGTCCACAAAATCCTTACTGATCTCTTCCTCCCTGGTGAACCTCCTGGGAGTGCCACAGTCGTATCACCATGCGTATTACCGTCGATGGCCACAAGGGGGAGCCCCGCGCCTCTTCCTTCCACTTGTGCTCCAGCGCTGCCTTCCTTTCCGTCCCCCTGGGGGAGCCCGAGAGGCCTTCACAGAAGATGCCCACCTTCCAGGCTTTTTGCCTTCAGGGAGTGGAGATAGTGTCAACCCAAACAGTCCCTTCCTCCCTTCTCATTTGCATGCTCACTCTTTATCTTTTAACACATCCAAAAGCCAGGGAACCCTCTGTAGTCATTTTCCAGTGCATTAGAGGACAGAAAATTTTAAAGTATTTATATATTCTATTATTCTAGAACATCAAATGGTTATCCCCAAAAGATCTCAGTTCTTAAATCTGAATTGAAGATGTGCTAATACTTTTGGGAAACCGGGGGCTAGAAGTCAGGGCCTCAGTTCCCTCCCCATGAGTAGCCTTGTGAGGGAGTTCTGGGCCTTAGAAGAACAGTATCTTCTCCAACCTTGCTTGGTGATGCCAAGGACAGTAACTCTGAAAGTAAGGGATTCCATTGTGAGATAGGCTATTCAACAGCAGAATGGCCAGCATGCCCAGTCGGTGTGGCTCAGGGGATTGAGCGTCGTCCCATGGACAGAGAGGTCCTGGTTCAATTCCTGGTCAGGACACATGCCCAGGCCTCGGGCTCGATCCCTAGTAGGGGCATGCAGGAGGCAACCGATCTGACGTTTCTCACATCAATGTTTCTATCTCTCCCTTCCTCTCTCTCTCCAACAAATAATAATAATAATAAAAAGAGAGATTGGCCAACATCATTAGATATGGCAGGCAGGTGACAGAAATAACTCAAAATCGAGTTTTTCAGATGACTGGATATTAACATAACCACTGCTCAGTGGGTCCAGGTATAGCGCAGCAGCTTCCTGTTGTGTTTCTGTAGGAAAGATAAGACATTGGGAATTAAGACTGCTAGTTCATTTTACCTCTGACTATGCGAAAAATTGTCAGAGGAGCTCATTGGCTGTAAGCAAGGGACTCGTTTAAACCAAGAACACATAAGAACTATTTGGGAAAAGTTGCCTGAAGACCTTCTTACCAATGGAATGAAACAGGAGGGAGAATTCTGGTAAGCTCTTCCACCCTGAGTATGATTGTTGGTGTGTCTCGCCTCCCTGCCGGTTAGATGCTCTGGCAGAGCCCCTGGTTGACAGAGGGGAGAAAGAGGGAGTTCTCACCGGGGAGCTGAGCTGGGCCAGTCCTTGGCTGCAGAGAAGAGGCTTTCAGAATCTGCTGATTCTAAGCTTTGTGCTGTTGCTTAAATTTAAAGAACAAGCAAAGAATTCACAAGGGACTTGAGGAAGCTTCTGTGATTCGAGTCCTCATCCATCCATCCATTTGAAGCTGAATGACACTAGTCTGGGAATTAGGAGAAAGGTGTTTTTGTCTTAGCTCTGGCACTAACCAGAGAGTCCCTTTACCTCTCTGGGACAGCAATGCCTCCCGACAGTGCGAGTCTCTTGAGCTTCCACGGGGGAGAAAGGCATCAGCTCACCAGCGTGTTTTCCTCTCCACGTCGCTGCCAGGAAACTCAAGTCCGATTCGAAGCTTTGAGGAACTCTGCAGGGCTCTTGGCTTGATCCCTTGACACCATTTTCCTTCCTTGTTTTGACCTTGTATTTTAACTTTTATTTTCCCAGATCTTTTTTATTTGCATTTTATTATTTTTCACATTTAATATTTTGTTGCATACTTCTTTTACATTGTACCTCTAATTTTTTTGTGTAATGAGCATGGTATAAAAAATGGTAGAATGCATGGTGGTGGGGGAGGGTCAGACTAGACCAGTTCCAGTGGCCCTTCCAGTACCAATGTTCTATGATTTGAAGGGGAAAAGTTATTTCACATGTTCGTAAGTTATTAGGTTTGCACAGAGGGAGTTCTCCCATTGAGGGTCCTGAGACTTCCATAACCCTCTGAGGAGGCCTGGCCAGTGTGTCTCCTACATCACTGGGATAGCTCTGTGAAGGAGCTGTCACTTTGGCTGGTTTATAGGAAGACAGATATTCTTTTGGGGTTTTTATTTATTTGTTTTTTATCCTCACTCACCCGAGGACATTTTTGCATTTATCTTTAGATAGAGCAGGCGGGAGAGAAGGAGGAAGAGAGAGAGAGAAACATTGATGTGAGAGAGACACATCGAGTGGCTGCCACCCACACAACCCCAACCAGGGCCGGGGACAAACCGCAACCAAGGTACGTGCCCTTAGCAGAAACCGACCCCGGGTCTCTCTGGTCCGTGGGCCGACGCTCTAACCGCTGAGCCAAACTGGCCAGGGCTATTTGGGGGTTTTTAGACTTGCCCTGTGAGAAAGCTGGTGGAGAAATGTCTGTCTGAAGCAGCTGGATCAAGAACTCCAAGAATTTTGATGTGAGTGGTCCCAAGTCACACTTGGATTTAAGAAAAGTGAGAGGAAATGTGTAGATGTGTTTTGGGGGTGAGATAGAAGCTGCCAGAAGGTAGTTGATGCCTCATTCATTTCACCCATATGCTCATCTTGACTTTTTATTGTACAAGTTCCTTGGTAGGAGGGCTGGAATGACTTTATGAGTGTTTATATACAGGTTGGTCACAACCATAAGATCACATATATTTAAAATAGACTCCTACTTTGAGTAAATGAAAAGCTTTAGAAATACATACTAAATAAATATCGATTACTAAGCAGTTACTCATTTTCAAAATATCTATTACTTTACCAAAGGACCAATCATGGGTTCCAGTAAATGTCTACATATTTCTTTTGACAAGGACTTTCCCCAAAGCACCTCTGCTCTGTGAAGCAGAGGTTACACAGGAATTCCAGAGTCCAAACATTTGATTTGGTTCTGACTTGTGCCATGAAAGTCAGTAATAAGCTAGAGGCATACATTTCAAAGTCAGTGATAACAGTTTGCGTAATTAGTGCTTTTATTCCTGAACATAAAGAAGGCGTGCACCTTTCTGGAATCCATTAAAACTCTGTAAGTCAGATCTTAGTTATACGTGACTGAAATAGCCTCTGTTTTGAGTTTTTATTGGCCAAATTCTGCTGTTTTAGTACCATCCTGTAGTAGTTTCTTTGAACAAAATGATGCCACCTCCTATTTTTTCAGACTTTCAGGACAGTAGTCCAAGGGACTTCTCTGTGCCATACTGGAGATGATGAGACTTAGACTTTAGGCCATATGACTTGCTCTGTCCTCTGAGCAGGGTGGTGGAATCCCATTGATCCTTTCTGTCCGGGGTGGGTTTGCTTTCTGTAGATGTAACCTTCTGAGGTCTCTGTGCTCTGTCATCATAAGAACTCACATTTATTCATGCATAGTGGGCACTAACATTGCACCATTTTACAGATGAGAAAATTGAGGCTTGAAAGAAGAGGTACATAAGTTGCCTTGGGGTCCATGTTGAATCGGAGGTAGAGCCCAGCACAGGACCAGATCTGTTGGTTCCAGAACTTGCCTTCTTAACTACAACCCTAGACTACATCATAGAGTCAACAGCTGGTCTAGAGTATGAGGAGTCAAGCCTGATGGATAAAGACAGGAATATGGAAATCCAGATAAAGGATATAGGAATCTAGATCTATACCTAGGATATAGGACTCTAGATCTATAGCTATAGAGAAGTATTTAGTTGACTATGAGTTATATGGGTCACAGAGAGTCATCTGATTAACTAGGTAATTGACACCCTACCTTTCTCTTTGGGAAGACCTGGCCCAACAATAATCTCTGCTAAGCACTTTTGCTTTTGAAATTTTCAGGTGCTTTTTTATTTATTTATTTATTTATTTATTTATTTATTTATTTATTTATTTATTTTTATCCTCACCCGAGGACATTTTCCCATTTTTTTGTTCAGGTAGAGTGGGAGGGAGAGAGAGGAACAGAGAGAGAGAGAGAAACATCGATGTGAAAGGAAAACATCGAGCGGCTGCCCCCCACACGACTGACCAGGGCCGGGGACAAACTGCAACCGAGGTACGTGCCGTTAGCGGGAACTGAACCCCAGTCTCTCAGGACCGCAGGTCGACGCTCTAACCGCTGAGCCAAACCGGCCAGGGCAGGTGCTTTTATTTTTATTTATTTATTTTGTCTTTGGCTATCTGTTTATTAAGAGTTTATCTGTTTTCTGTCTGGGTTGATTTGACCCATTTGGGAATGAGAAATTTTATTTTAATGTAAAAAGTTGATAATGTTGAGTGCCAACAAGTGTGGCGTTCAAAGAGCTCAAATAAAAAAGAAAATATGATAGAAAGACTATGTTGGGATTAGAGGGAGTCCATTAATAGCAATATTCTCTCCTGCCTTCATTCTTAATGATTGAGAAATAAGGCACAAGAGGACGGTGCATGGAGAGTGCCGTACCCCTTTGCCACAGATAAAGTGGAGCCTGGAGAATGGAGGTCACAACTGCAACAAGTGGGGTTCCCAGCGTGTTCCTCCTCTGTCCCAGTAGTGGGCTGCACTGGCCTGACTCGAGGCCTCTGCTCTCCAGGGGCTGAGCTGCTCCGAGGAGAAGCACCCAGAGGAGCCTGCTCCAGGCTAAGGGGGAGGGGCCGGGCTCCCTCTGCCTAGGTTGTCCTTCCAAATTCTCCAATAAGATGAGCCGCACCCTGTTCAAAGGGGGGAGGGGACTGAGTGAGGCCAGGAGTCTTACCCTACAGGAAGTGGAGGAAACCCCAGGAAAAGGGAAGAGGTACTTATCTAACAAACCAGAAGGAGAGTCAACGCCTAAGTTCTCCCTCTGCGGGAACTGATTTGATACTTGTATTTAGTGCCTGTAACCATGCCAGCAGATCAGTAAACTAATTTGCTTTTGTTCTGTTTCAACACTTAGATTCTTAGCTACCAGAATACCATCTTCTTTGGTGGAGACTGTATATCCATGATTGACTACCTCTTTTGGCCCTGGTTCGAGCGGCTGGATGTATATGGAATAGCTGAGTAAGACATTTGACCACGTGGTCATGCATTCCTGGGGTCGGACTGGGTAACAGTGGCTGGGACGGGCTATGTGCCATTGATCCCCCTTTGGACACAGTGCATGATGCCTGTGAAATGAAGTCAGGTTTGAAACGGTTTCCTTGTTCACAATGCACCTCGAGTGCTCCTCTGCCACTATCTGTGGACCCAAACTTGCCCCATATTTCTGCTAATAAGACCCTGTGTCCAAGAACCTCCCATGGTGCTTCAGAGCTGCGTCCTCACCAGCCCGTCCAAACTCAGGCCAGGGGGAAAGCAGTTGGTGAATCTTAGTCATGAGGTTTTGGTGACTTGTCTGCAGCTCCCTTGGTGGCCTGGCTCCTGGACCTGCTGAGTCCCCCAGTGGACACCATCGGCTTTACTCACATCTTAGTTCCCTGAGGAATCTTCCCCAGATAGGATTTTTTAAAAAATAAATGATTTTAAAAGCAATAGAGGCTCGATGTTAAAACGAACAAATGAAATGGCCACTGTGGAAGTGTAGGGATGTTTCAAGTGGAAGAAATTGTGTGGGAGGCTCGGGGGGACCGTGCAGAGGGCCTGGGCAGAACACGGGCTTTGTTGTCACAGTGCCCAGGAAGGAGACGCGCCGGCACCTGCAGCAACCGCACCAGTCCTGGGGTGGGTGCCGGACAGTCTGGCACTTGGGGACCCCGTGCTGCCCAGCCAGCACTGCGCGTGCGCCCCGTCGTGCACGGGCTGGGCTGCCCAGGGGCCATCTGCCCTTCCCCCTTCGCTGTCTCAGGGGGAAGATTGGATACAACGTTTTTAAAAGTCTTAGACTCTGTCTCAACATAAACATCATGAAAACGTGTCTCCTCTGGGGACAGAGTATTGAACCACACATTGGGGGCCCTTGCTTCTACTCCCACATTTCCCACTAACCAGTTGCACTCTCTTAAACAAGTCATTCGACAGATTCTAGACCTAAACTTCCTGGTCTTTGAAATAACAGAACCCAGTCAGCTCTATTATTTCACGGTTTGATGATTGTTTTACTCATGTTTTAAAAAGTATTCTGGAAATGACTTGTTTTTATCTTTTTCAAACCCACTAAAGTAAAATCCAAGAATGACAAAAGAATGTCTCTTTCAGAGGGTTTTTTCCTGCTGGTCAACTGAGGCACAGGCACCTTATTTCTCCAGAGCAGTTGCCCATACAAGTATTTGAACTGTATTGTTAAAATCAATCGCAACTTACACAATTCCAAAGCACACACAGGTATCTCCGAAACAAGATTTTCCTTCAGTAAGTGATTGTGCCCAGTTGATCATAAGGTAACGCAGATAACTCTGTTGCCCAAAGAAACCCATTTTTTTTGTATCTTGTGAATCTAAAGATGAGCACGCACCATTTTCCTGATGCCTTCCCCTTTGGGTGAACTAACACTTCTGTCCTGTCCTGCAGCTGCGTGAACCACACCCCAGCCCTCCGGCTCTGGATTTCGGCCATGAAGCAGGACCCCACGGTGTGTGCTCTTCTCATAGATAAGAACATGTTCCTGGGCTTCTTGAATCTCTACTTTCAGAACCACCCTGACGCCTTTGACTATGGGCTTAGTTGCTGAGCCCCATGGTCCGCCCCTTCAGAATCCAGAATTCCCAAGCATGTCGTGACTCTGTATCAGGAGTTGTTTGGGTGGGTCCATTAATCTCTGTTCATTTTCTTTAAGGTTCCCAATAAACACGGAGACAGAAAAGGCATTCTTTCTGATAATCACTGTCTGACTTCACAAGCCCATAGCTTCTAAGGATCGTCTAGAAATCTAGTGCCCAGTGCTAATGTCCAAGCACATTTTAGGAGCTGGTGTGCCTCCTGGCTCCTGGGCCTTTGGCCCAGTTTCACCTCCAGATTATTGATGGTGATGGTGAGGTTCAAGGCCTCCCCATCACTGACATTTGTCACTATAGACTGGCATTCTCCACAGCCTCCCCGGTGGGAGGAAAGCTAGAGAGGAAAAGGAAGACAACATCTCACATCCAAATACTCTCCATCTGGCAAATGAAAGCTGCAGTCCATGCGGGTGTGCACGAGTATCACTGTCATCCAGACTTTGGCTGCGGGCCTGGGAGACACTGAGGGTCTCATGACTGAAAGAATTCTAAAGCAGGAAATGAAACACCCGTTATCACCCTGGACTAATAACGTCAGAATTTTACCGGCGTTGTTCGAGCTCAGAATGGCTCACAAAATGTTCTGTAGTCGCATCCTGCCTTAAAAAAATACACACACCCTCAAACCAGTTACAGGCCAAGGTCACTCGATTGGATTTTCGTCACACACACTCTTTCAGTTCATTGCAGCAGATGCCTCTGGTTGCTTGTTGTGTACCAAGCCCTGGGACATCTGCATGATCAAGATGACAAAGGTGACAAAGACACAGGAGCCCCCGGTCCCTCCACTCATTTCGGTTGTGGTGCTAGACTAGTGTTTCAGAGCTGCTTGGCCTGCTGTGGGAATGGTTGTCTCAGCCTGGCGTGGCCCCTCTGCCGGCTCGGACCACTGAGGCTGACAGAGAGCCCAGACGCATGGCCTGGTGTGCCGGCAGGTGCCTTAGGAATGGGGCGGGCCTGTCCAGTGCTATGTTGTCTCAGCCTGTGATCCTTTTAGCTTTGTTTATGCTTAACCTTTTCCCAGCCTCCCGCTAGGCTGAGAGTTCCAGGCAGCAATGGAGTGACGTCTAGGATCATCGCTGCCCACGGAGGAGCTGTCTGCTCCCTGCCTCTGACTCAGCCTGGACCAGCCGCATTTCTCCCCACGTCTCGGCCTGGCCTGGCCTGGCCATCTGCTGCCTCTGGGTGGATTTTGACTCATGTAAATAGTTACGAGTGTGACTTGGTGCCAGTTGGACTGAAGCAAGCCTGCTCAGTGAGGCGGCCTGGTCTGCCATAGCAGGCGCCGCAGGATGGGGGCCATCTGCTGTGCCATCTTCTCAGGATGGGATGCCCTGTTGCCATGGTGCCCGAACCAATGCAGAGAGAGGTCTGTGAGTCACATTTCCCTGGGATCTTTGCTTGGCTTCTGTGGTCTCTGCTGGGACGTGGGGACTGATCAGTCCTTCAGGTATAAACCCCGCGTGCTGGCAGAGCGTTCTGCACGGGGCCAACGTTGCTGTCAGCACAGCAGATGACGGCATGTCTCTGATGGCCGGAACCAAAGACATTCTCCTTTGGGCCCCACATGCTACCTGAGACGGCTTGAAGAACCTGGAAATAAAGCACAGAAGAAAGTGCTTGTGGGAACGGCTGCAGGGCAGCCCTCAGCCCAGTCTGGGGTTTGAGAGCCTTTCCAGCAGCTGTACCCTCCGCGTTTCGCCAGGGTCACCTGCTCTGCCTCCCACCTTCCACTTCCTTTCCCGTTTTGTTTTTTTTAAATCTGACCCACAGAGGAAACTGAGTTGTCAGCCTCTGGCTGAAACTAGGATTTAGCCTAGAGAGAAGAGGAAATTAAATAATCCTCCATGAGGAGCTTTGCAAAATACCACTTCTTTTCTTTTTGGCGGAGGGGGTGGGGGCAGAAATGCGGCAGGGTAATAAAAATACGACGAGAAAGAGCAGGAGGTGTTCCATCATCTCATGTCTCAGAGATAACCACTTTTAATAACTGGCGTATCTCTTACAAAAGCATGTTAAATTCAAGAGTGACGCTGAAAGCTGTCCTTGATGTCTTGCAGATTGGAACGAGAGAAAAATAGTTTCAACCACAGAAAGTGCCTCGTTGTCGTGGATGATGTTAGCGTCCGAATCCATGACCAGAGGAGGGCGTGTAGCGCTCCCTCCCTTAGAAGTTCTGCACTGGAGCTGTCTGAACTGAGTCCAGTTACGTCTTGACATGGAGGGGGTGGGGCGTAGGTGGCCCGGACAGGTGGCAGTGGTGGCGGGGAGGAGATGGTTCTAAATATTACTTGAAGTTCTTTCTAGCTCTAAGTTTCTCTGATCTCAGACAGCAGAGTGTTAGAGTGGACTGACTAAGTGATCAGGTATACGCTGGAATGTTCCCTCCAGCGCCGTGGGTCTGCCTGCCTCCACAGTGCTCCTGGAAGCTTTGGTGGTGGGCAGGGAGGGGGTGTTTCTTCTTTGAATCTCCCCCCTTCATGTCCAGCCTGATCCACATTTCCTTTGCCAAAGTCAGTGGCCTTCTTGATGGAGGGGAACTGCTCCTCTGCTTTGAGAGTCAAGCTTGACTCCTTCATGGTTCATGTTCCATTTGTTATCTCCACTCCTTGCAGATGCCCAGATATGCAGCCCAAGGGGGTTGTCAGCGACGAGCCTGCAGCCCCTCTCCCCTTTCCTTGCCAGCGGGGACCAGCCATCGTAGGTTTGTCAGCCGGAGGACAAAGCCGCTGAGGCAGGCTGTCAGCCTTTCGGGGTCCAACCACTGTCCCAAGAGACCTGTGATCTGACGTAGCCGAGTCCACCCTCCAGGAATAGGTGGGCAATGAGGCCGTGGGGGCTGGGGGCGTCATCTCTGGCCAGTTGGAAGAGAGGCCCAGGGTGGCGCGTGAGAAGTGGCAGGAAGTGGGTGTTTGCTTTCTGTTTCTATTTTAAAGTTACCCTAAGAGAAATCTAAAATATCACTGATTGGTGGGTTTTAAAGAAACAGATGGGATCAAGTCTTCCCCATCATTCTACCCTACCCCTGCCCTGCAAATCTCACCTTGCACCTATATTTTCCCCTCAAGAAAAGTGGAAATATCTTTGAACATTTTTTAGGTTTATGCAGTTGCATCTTTCTGGGAGATACTTTGTTGCTAAAAGTTTTATTTCCTGGTTTCTTGGTGGGGCTTAGAGGAACACCAAAGCAATGGGAAAATGCATTTCACCTCTAAAGGAGGGGCCCCACTTTGTAAAGGAGGCAGTAAGCGAGCCCTGGGCTCTGATGAACGGAACACAAGCATTTGGGGAAAGAATGACGACTGTGTTGTATTTTCCTTGGGGAGGTTCTTCGTATTTCCCCACGCACAAGGGAGTTAGAGCTGTTATAACTGGATCCCAAAGCTGATCTGGCTTCCCTTCTCCTCATGCTATGCAGGGTTCAGAGCCACATCGTTTCACCTTCACTTACCACCAACCTTCTTTGTTCTCTGACTGATTTTGTGGTCATTGGCCTTGTCTTCCCAATAGACCCAGTTGCTTGGGGACAAAGCTCTTGTCTTACACCTCTGTTACCCACATAGCATGACCCAGGGTGGAACATGAGCTGTCTTGGGTTAAAAATGCCTTTTCCTCACTCTGGTGCCATGATGATCGAATCATTCCTGGATAATAGTGTATTTTTATGTGGTCAGATGCTTGGTGGTGAATCCACGGACAGTATGCAGTTGAGTAGAGTATGGTGATTACCAGGGGAGGAAGGATCACTCAAAAGCCAGCTTTATGCACAATGTTCACTGCAGTGCTGTTTACGACAGCAAAAGGGGGGGGCACTTAAGTGTTCCTCAGTAGAGGAGGTTGGATAAATTAGAGGACATCCAGATATACTGGGAGATAGCATAGCAGCTATTTTAAAGAATATGGTAGAGTCAAATGTTCAAAAAAGATATCCAAGAAAAGTTAGATGGTATGGTACAACTTATGTAAACAAAAACAAAAGGAATGTAACCACACACATGATACATACATACATAGAGAAATGCTGGACATATATACAAGAAACCTCATATTGGTTATTGCTGGGGAATGGACCGAGAAGTCAGGAGTGGGAACTTTTATCTGTTCATTTCTGTCAGTGGTTGACATTTATTTTATCATGACTGCATTGTTTTTATTATTAAAAAAAAAAAAAAAAACTAGTTAGAAAAACAAGTTATCTTTGGATGAGGGAAGTTAACTCTGAAAGATAGCCCTCCAGGGTGGAAGTGGGTCACGGCGCGGAGGGTGACGTGGGCGGGGATGAGGCGGATTGAAGGAGTTGAAGCACACGTTTCCTTCACTGTGTGGTTCTTGGCTCTCTCCGAGGTCTGCCGGCCAAACCAAACACCCTTCCAGCTCGATCCCATGAGGTGGAGACAGGACGGAGCATGAGAATGTTCTGAACCGCAGCCTTCAGAGTGACTTAAGCTAGGACATTCAATGACGGCTGCCACAGTTGCCACCAACCCCTCTGGAATCCGCCCGTGAACCCCCATGGCACTTCACAGGCTGATCACACAGTTTGGGACTTCATAGTTTCAGGCGAATCGAGTTGCTGTCTCAAAGCTCATCAATAGCTTGCCATTGTATTAAGTCCAAATTTTATTATGAGATAACTTATTGTATCAAGGTCAAATTTACTTAGATTAGCATTCAAGGCTTTCTGTGGCGAGCCCCACTCAACATCTTCAAACTCATTTGCTGAGTTCTCAGTAAACACCAGCACATATCCTAGCACTGCCTGGGTTTGAATCCTAACTTTGCTTACCACCGGGTGACTTGGGACAAGTCATTTAACCCTTCTGTGCCTGTTTCCCCATCTGGAAAATAACAGCCTCCTCATCATGGGGTTGACACAGGAATTAAATAACTTTACATTAAAGTACACAGAAGTGTGTCTGACACCGCAGGTGCTACTTCAATGCTGCCTGAATCGGTTATGCTTCCCTGCCCGCCCTCCATGCGCTGGCCGGGCGATTTCCCTGGCGGTGCTGCCCGTCTCTCGGGAGCCATACCCGGCAGCACTGTCCCAGGGGGCCTGCCTGGTCCCTCCAGGTGCTCGGTGGTTCTTGAACTTTCAGAATCACCTGGGGAACTTGGAAAAGTGCAGATTCCTGAGCCCCCTCCTAGAGATTCCATGAAGTCTGTGGCATGGCCCAGAAATCTGCACCAGGATGATAACCCCGTGGTTAGGCCAGGGCCACACCCAGAGAGGCAGGCCCCAACTGGGCTCCCCTTTGGCTCCCCAGAGGCACACCTCCGCCTTTCCTATGGCACTTTTCACGGGTGAGGATTTGGGAGGCCAACTTACAGTCCTTCCCAGGGCACGGGCTTGGTTCCATTCATTTTTCTTTCATAAAGCCTCGTGTGTGAGGCTCCCAGTAAGTGTAGACTATTGGTGACAGGCTAGAAAGTGCTCGCCAGCGCTCCCCTCCCCCGCCCTCTGCTCCTCCTGTCACTGGGGTGAGTGCGGGGTACTCGTAAGAAGCTGTAGTGTAGCTGGCTTGTTGGCTTCTCCCAGCAGCTCTGCAGGGAAAGCTGCCCACGAGTTCTAACTTTCCATCTGGAAAGGACATGACAGCCATCCTCACCTAGGGGTGTCGTCAGTCACTAGAGGGAGCTTTAGAGGTAAAGCCTGCCTGGGTACCATGTGGCTTCAAGGCGGGGTGTGGGCATTTGACCAAACTCTCTGGGTGTTTCTGGTGACCTTGATTATGACCCAAAGTGCTGGTCCCAGGCTCTCAACCTGGGCTGTGCTTCAGGGGGGCAGAGGCTTTTGAGGATGTAGGACCCTCCCCAATCTAACCAACCTCTGGGCCTGGGGCTGAGCCTACTCACTTCAGCCTTTGTCAAGAGCCTCAGCAAAATGCAGCCCTGGGGCATTCTACAGGGTGGTGAGCAGATGCTGGGTCAGGAACCCTGGGTCATTCTACAGGGTGGTGAGCAGATGCTGGGTCAGGAACCCTGGGTCATTCTACAGGGTGGTGAGCAGATGCTGGGTCAGGAACCCTGGGTCATTCTACAGGGTGGTGAGCAGATGCTGGGTCAGGAACCCTGGGGCAGGAAAAAGGGTCCTCAGAGAAAGACGGCAGAGCTGTCCTCAGTGGAAGGGCCTGAGTGTCCCAAAGAGCTAAAGCTCTTCCATTTAAGACAGTCTCTCTCCTTGGAAACCAAAGGCTTCCCGTTATTTCAGCTTCCACATTTCTTTGCACACCCCAAGCCCTGTCAAATAGTCTTGGGCTAGACTCCACCCTGGAGCCGGCTTCCAAGACCCTTCCTGGAACTCTGCAGGCTGCCAGAGGGGCTGGAAATGCTCTATTTGGCTATTGGAAAAAGTTTCCCGAAAGCATAAGAATAGAGGAGTGAAAGTTTCTGCTCATCGATATGAAATCCACCCCATCCACCCCCTTCCCAACCCTGCCCTGGGAACGCCACATATTTCCGGAAGTTAAAAATAAACACCGTGACCAGTTTCTACTCCTTGCAAGACTTTAATTCTTCTTTTACTATAAATAAGAGCACGGGACACCAGAGCCGCGTGTTCTGTCTCGAGGCAGCTTCGGTGCGTGAAGACCCCTGTCCCCACTGAGTCCGTCCTCTCCGCAAACACACGGTGTTTCTTTCAGTGCTTTCTGTCCCGAAGTAAGAGTGTCGGGTTTGGCCGTGGCCTCTGGAGGCTGGCTCCTGGTTGCTGGCGTCTCCAAGCACAACAAGATAAAGATGAAGAGGGGGAAAGAAAGGCACAAGGGATAATAAATAAGGAAATTCACCCCCGAGTCTGGAAATGAAACCCAGCAGGAAGAGCGGGTTGGGGCCATTGGTGGAGACCACGTGGGCAGGACTGGTCCCTCGAACACCGGCCACTGTGGGCCTGGGGAGGGCAGGCCCACGCACTGCTGCTCTAACTGCAGCCCACGTGGAGGGCTTCCTGCAGGCTTCAGGACTCCCCGGTGCCGAGCCTCCCACCCTGAGTGAACTCTGACAGGCAGTGGCCATATGGAGCATTCTGAGGCCCGGTGAGAGCGCCCCCAGGCTGGGACAACACTCTTTCTTCAGGGCGTGGTGAGCCCTGGGAGGCATGGCCAGCCTTCCCCCTGGAGGGAGAGCCCAGTGCCTCCGCCTGCGCCCTCTGCAAGGGTTAATGAGGCAATGCCGAGAGAGAAAACCCCAAAGGACCAGTGAAGCCACAAGCGGAGGAGGGGCGGCTCCCCCACCCTCCTGAACCGGCCTGGAGACGGGCCAGCTCCAACCACAGGCTCTGGTGCCTGCCAGGTGACCACAGCCCCCGCAGTGCCCAGGAGGCTTCTCTGGGGCCCGGTGGCTGTGCCTGCAGTGCTGGCTCTGTGTTCCCCGCCAGCCACGCCTCTGTCGGACTCGCAGGGTGGCAGTCATCTGTGTGGCCAGGAAGGCCCACCCAGAAAGGGGTTCTGTGTGGTGAGAGAACCCGCTGGAATGCACAGCCCAGGGGCCTTGGGCCTGCAGGCGGGAGCAGCGTTTCCACAGTGGCTCCTGCTCCCAGGTGTGCTCTGCTCTAGGACTGACCCTGAGGAGGACTCAGGGCTGTGGCATTCCTCACCTCTCGGCTTTGCCGCTTCCTCTGGACCGGGCATCAGCGGCCAGACTGCATGCCAGACCCCAGCACCTGGGTGCCAGGCTGCCCTTCACCCCCGTCACCCTGTGTCTCTCTTTCCCTATCAGCTTCTACCCTCGGCACCTGCCCTCCCCCACCAGCTGTGGAGAGAAAAAAGAGGGGTGAGGGGCCACTGAATTGGTATGTAGCATGATGTGCGGGGCCCATGGAGCTTGGGATACCGCACACTGGGGAAGGGCAAGAGGAAGGGGGTGCACCCTGAATGAGAGGTGTAGCTGAAAGTAGCCACCTTAAACTTCTCTCTGACACCAAGTACCCACTTTCGTGCAACAGAGATATAGGCCACGTTGGGCCATGAATCTCTAATAGGTCTTTTCGCCAAATAATATAAAAAAATAGCAGCCACCGTGGGACCCCGCTTGTGCAGGCTGTGGATGGAAGGCTGTGAATTCCCACATCTGTCCCGATTAGTGCTTTGGTTGCAGATGCCTGGGGCCAAGGGTTCCTGGCAATAGTGGTGCATGGTCTTCACAGGGATCCCTGTCAGCATTCCTTCGATCCTCCGCTGATATTCCAGTCGACACTGGACCTGGGATGTAAAACAATGACACCCAAAGTGATGTTGCATTATCTCTAACTCAGTGTCCATAGAGTGTTCCGTCATCATCTTGGCCACGCATGCTGATCCAAAAGTAAGCTGAAAGGCTCAGTCCCCAAACCCAGACGAGAGCTTCGCCGGTAGGCCCCAGTGGCGTGAAAGCAAGCCAGTTTCCAGCTTGGAATTCCGCTTCCTCTACAGTGTAGGGCCTGGCTTCTGGCAGGCTGAGCCATGGCTCCCAACAAAGCCTGCAGTTCTCTCAGGACAGGGCCTGCAGATGCCCCCGGGGGTGTGGGCATGTGGGATGCCCTGCATCATGGCCGCTCTACAAGACAACAGCTTTCTGGGGCAGGCTGGCATGGTCCGAGGGCATATGTAGGGAGTACTCGCTAATGAGCGCTGGGGCGTTCTTGAGCATCTCATAGAAGGAGTCCACTGTCTTCCGATAGAGGCTTCGCTGCTGCAGGACGAAGGGCCGGAAGAGGTTGAGAGGCTCGGCCCTCCGCACAGCCTCAGGGAGTCCCATGGTCTCAGGCACCTTGCGGTTGCCGACGAAGAAGTGATGGAGCTTCTTCTCGAGCAGGCTCTTCTCCAGGAAGCGGAGCAGCTCGTGCAGCCGGGCGTCCAGCTGCCCGGCCTTCCAGTCGGGGGCCCGCCGGGAAAGCAGGAGGTGCAGCAGGGCCGTCTTCAGGTGGTAGTTGCCCAGCCCGCTGGGGCCGGTCAGGCGGTTCTGCTTGGAGAGCAGGAAGGAGGCGATCTGCAAGCAGCTGAGGTGGCAGGCACCCTCGGGCAGTGCCTTCGACATCATCCTGAGGAAGTGTCGCTCATAGACAGCAAAGGACAGGGGCCAGTCAGTGCTGGATGCCAGGGTCCCCCCAGAGGGCTCCCTGGGAAGGTGGCAGACAAAGTACAGGTCTGAGTCATCACACTGGATCACAGGCATCAGGTTGAAGGGCATGAACTTCCCTGAGCGGAACTTGATCTTGAGGGATCCCGGGGTGTCCAGCTGGCCAAAGGCTAGGTCGAACTCATACTTGTGGGCGATGCGGTGCCAGGCTCTGGTGAGGGCCACCTGGAACCACTTCATGACCTGCATTGTGTCCAGGTATGGGGACCCTCTGGCACACAGTGGGTCTTCCACCTCGATGCTGGGCTGCACCACGTTGTTCTTGCCATGGAGGAGACACAGCAGGTCTTCCCCAAGCTTGGTCTTGCCACAGATACAGCCCAACGTACCCTCGTCAGCCCGGACCACCTTGATCTGGCCGTAGCCTTGGCGATTTAAGGGCACTGAGTGGCTGGAGCACCAGAGCTCAGGGTGGAAGTGGTAGGGCTCAGGGGGTATGAAGGGCACAAAGAGGTGGCACAGCAGCGGCCTGTCCACCTGCCAGTTCTCATACATGCTGTCCACACCAATGAAGTCCTCTACCTCCATGTCCCTGTCCCGGTTGCATAGGCTCCTCAGGGCTTCCAGCAGGTCATCCACGAAGCCCTCCACGAACTCCCGGGTTCGGGCTGCATCAGCTGTGGCCCCCCGGATGCAGCGTTCGTAAAAGTGGTCCAGCGTGGCCTTGTTGGGCAGGGTGATGCCTCGGAGGGGGGCGCCCTCCAGGCCAGGCAGCTCGTCCTCGCCCCCGCCGAGGCACTCGGGTGAGGGCCCATCCTGGTGGTCCTGCCGCCACACCTCGATCACCAGGAACAGGATCATGCAGAGGGTGCTCCACAGGTCCCAGGCTGTGCGGCTCTCATTCTGCTGCTGGCCCTCCTCCGCCATCTGCTCCAGGGCGTCCTTCTCAGCTGCCAACTGCGCCACCTCCTCCTCCAGGCGCAGCTGCTCCAGCTGCAGCTTCTCCTCGTGCACCTGCATCTTGCGGATGATCTCCTCCTCGTTCTCGGGGACTGTGGCGTTCTCCCGCGGGAACAGCAGCGGGTGGTTGATGATGGCGGTGACCACCACCAGACACACCCGGAAGAGCCCCAGTGCCATGGCTGTAGCTTTCCTGGGGACAAGGAGAGACCCACAGTCACATCAAGCTCCCCTCAACACCACTTCTCCCCGGACCCTCCACCACCCCCTGCCCTGCTGAGCTGGGAATGCCTTCCCGTTCCTGCACCCCATGCAGCGGCACTTCACTGTCCCAGTCTAGCCTGGGGTGCAACCACCCCGACACCCATACTGCCAATCCTGGCTGAACAACCCAGCATGATGGGCCTCTGCTGTCTGCCCAGACATTCCTCTTTCTGGTAGTAGCACCCCACTTTCCCTGGGAACCAACTCTTTCCTACTCCCAGTCGTTACGGTTTGGGTGGGGATAAACCCACCACCAGCCCCAGAGGAGCCTATAAGCCTGGCCCAAGACCAGCCCCCAACCCATGTGATTAGTTCAGGAATGAACATGACTCCATTTGGGCCAATGGGAGACAGAAGGAGGATTTGTTGGGACCAATGGGAATAGGAGTACATGTGCTGTGAGCTCTTCAGCTACCTCAAGCAGGGTCTGCCTAAGATGCCAACCTAGAGGCCAAGTGGATCCTTAGATCCAGCCAGACCTGGAGTCCTTGCCTCTGGACTTTCTAGTCATATAAATCAGTAAATCCCCCTCTACCACGAAGTCAGTTTGAGTTGTTTTTCCATCACTTAAAACCCAAATCATCTCAAATAAGGCAGCCCTTTCTCCCCCAAGTGGATGTTGTGTGGCAAATGTGTCTTTCCTCAATGCAGTAAAGCCTAGTGGGTAAGGATAAGAGGGTTGGGTTCCAAAGTCAGCCGTTGCCAGCGCTGTCATTGATCAGCTGTGTTAACCCACACCTCTGGGCCCGCTCCCTTACGGCACACCAGGGAAGCCAAGTACCCACCGTCACCGTGCTGAAGGAGGTGATGCCCCAGGCACTGCACACCCAGCACAGTGAACGGGCACAGCAAGTTGCCACCGAAGAGCCCTGCTTCTGAGGCCGTCCTGAGCCCTCCCTTCCCCTGCCGCAAACCCTTCCTTCTGATCTGCAGGACCCACCCCAGATTCACACATGGATCCCCTGGGTCTTTCCCAGGACAGTCCTGGAGACAAACCTGTCATTGGTTTTCCCACCTCGAGTCATCTGAACCTGAAATCCAACTTCTGTTCCTCCAGGTCTGAGGGACTCCTGGGGGAGGGCTAACCCTTTTCAACCACTGCCTTTCACACTCTGCAGCGGCTGCAACACCTCCCGGGAGGTTGTTACACATGCAGAATCTCAGCCTCAACCCAGACCTATTATTGAACCACACTCTGTGTTTATACCACCACATTAAAGTCTCAGAAGCACTGTCCTGCAGTGTAAGCCTTATATTATGTCTTCTTTTCTCCTGGGCAGAAACCTTGGGAAGTAACAATGGCCTTTTCCACCCTTGCCCTGCCTCCTTCCTGCCCGAGACCTCAGCTAGGAGAGTAAATGGCCAAATGAGATCGTTATTGAACAACAAAGAGAATACGGAGGGCTCTCCTCCCTCCCCCATGCATGCCAACACATGCTGATAGGAGCTCTATGTTGCCTGAGCCCGTTCCCTGATCTTGAATTTGCACCCCGAAAACCACCTGTTTTGGTTCTTACCCTAATGGTACCAAGCAGCAGGTATTTGTCACCAGGTAAAGGTACCTCTGCAGTTTCTACCTGACAGTGCCAGGATGTAAATGACCTGACTTGCTGCCCAGATGTAACTCCACCCTGTACACAGCTGGATGTGTCAGCAGGAACCCTATGGGCTATTTCCACTTGAAGAGAAAGTGGGTGAAGTCAGACTGGAATGGGGGTGGGGTGACCAAAAAGTATGTGTGTGGGGGGGCAGCTAGCCAGCTTTTCTTACCCAAGACAAGGAGCAGCTTGTTAGATAATTGCAGAAACAGGTCAGCCCTGGTTTCTACATTAGAGAGACATCAATGGAAAGTTTTGCCAGGGTAGTCCAAGGCAAAGCCTTGAGCCTGGCAGATTATGTGGATGAGAGTTTTAAGATAAAGGAGCAGTAATATTAGAATACCAGGCAGCAGCCAGTCAGGAGGTAATTTGGGGGTCTGAGGCCCTTCAGGGGGCCTATAGGCAGCCTCCTTTGGGCACAGCAGGCCCTGACAAGTCACAGTAATGGCCCTCGGCAACTCCCAACCCAGGAGGTTAGTTTCCATGCCAACTCAGGGTAGGATGCCACCAACTGGGGAGTGGCTCATCGCCAAGCACTTCGACTAGGAAGTCTTCCCTACTGGATCTGGCTTCCGCGGGGCTCCCTGTGCCTGCAGGAGGACAAGGGAGTGTAAGGGCCACTCTGTCCTGGGGCAGCAAAGGTCCAAACGCCAAACCTACTGGAGCAATCGGCTCCGTGGATGAGGGGGGACAGGATGGACTCTGGAGACGACAGAGTGTGTTAGCGCCCAGCACGTGCACCTACTAGGTGTGTGACCTTGTGTGGGAGGCAGTTAGACAGTCACGAGCAGAGCAAGGACGATGGGCCGGGTACCAGAGGTCAGCAGGGTGGAAAGCCCCGGCTGCCTAGCGAAGGACCTCATCCCCAGGGTGACCCTTCCTCCTCTGGCGTAGCGCTGGTCTTACGGATTGGACCCCCTGGCCTGTCCTCCCTAGAGGCCTCAGTTACATTTCAGCTCCAGGCACGGAAAAGCAACAAAACCAGACAGACGATGCCAAGGCCGACCTCAGGACCAGGTGCACCGAGTAATGACCTTCTGCTATTATCACTGACCAACCCTGAAAAGACACACCTGGAAAGCTGCTCAGTAGGCTATTGAGATCTTCTCCTGGGGTCTCCCCTAAAATCTCCACCCTTAAAACCCTAGGACAGAGGAGCCATCAGGCTCTCCTCCCAGGAACATGCCTGTGCCCCCTCCCCCTTCCTCCCAGGCACGTCACCATTACCTTCCTCACTCCCAAGCTCCAGGGTCCTTCCTATACCTCTATAACTTGTTTCCTAAGCCCATTTCTCCTACAAATTACTTCTGTACCTCTGTGATTTTCCAAATAAATGTTCTCTCATAGTTTGAGTCTTGGCTCTGAATTCTTTCCTAGCCAGAAGTCAAGTACAGAGATTGCTGGACCCGGGTCCGGTCTGAACCCACCGGTGTAACACCTGCTGCCATCCCCACTGCTACCAACACTTGGACAAGTCACTCAACTTTTCAGAACCTCAGTCTCTTCATCTATAAAATGGGATAATACTTCTATTGTAAAGGTTGATTGAGAGAATTTATCTGAAGCACTTAGCACTTGCCCCCGAGCAGGCTTTCTTATAAAAGGGAAGCTGTGATGGGGTGGGAACAGCAGACGAACCTTCCTGCAGGGGTTCAGCATAGAGTGGGCCACGAGGTGCCCCGACAAGGAACTCTGGAAGGATGCAGGCAGCCCACAGTAACACTGGTAAGAGCAGGGTTACAAACAAGACCTGGACAGGGGCACGCGGAAATCAGGGGCAGGAGCCCGGGCCGTAGAAGCAGACAGGCCTGGGCTTGAGCCTTGACTCTGCTCCTTGCTGAGGGGTCCTGGGTAGTCACTTGGCTTCTCTGGGGCTCCACTGCTTTCCTTGTGAGACGGAGCTAGCAGCAGCGCCCCCTTCGCAGGGAGGTTGGGAACCAGTGAGACAGTCCATCTAAGTGCTTAGCAGAGCACCTGGCAAAGGGTAGGCACCTTACCACACCAGCTCCTCCCGTCTCGCCTCCACAGGCCTCTTTTCTCACTTGTTGGCACACCTGCCCGAGTCCCGGGGCGTGGGGAACACACGCTCAAAAGTGCTTTGCAAGCACAAATGCTGCCTTAGCACTGCTGTCCCTGGGCACACGGTTCCACCCACCCTGCCCCACAGCAAAGGGGAGAAGCTTTGGAGCCTCAGCCTCGATCCTCCTGGAGGCAGAGTTCCTGCTGACTCACTGCTGACTTACAGCATCAACGCCCTCCCAGGGATCAGATGGGGTCCCAGCAGGCATTTTGTTCCTTGTTAACCCCTGCACAGCTGGCTCCGCCCATGGCACCCTAAGGGAAGGGGAGCGGCTGGGCTGTGGCTGCTCAGTGCTACCAGCTGGGGCTGAGTTAGAAGCCTCTGCTCCTCCCCCTCCCCAAACCAAGTCACAGGGACCACTGACTGCCCTGGGGGCCACGGGGTCAAAAATATGGGGAGAGGGAAATTGGGCAGTTAGGCTTTTGGAGACTCGGGGGACAGGACAGGTAGCTGGGAGCCTCTCACAAAACCACACACACACACTCCTCTCCCCAAAGGGCCCGTTTCCCGCAGTTCGAGGACGTCCACCTCTGCCTTGGCACGAAGCTCAGTCTCTATGAGGCTGCCCCACACATGTGGTCTGAGATAGCCAGTTGGTAGGTTGGGCTTTGAAAATAAACCTGGGTCACTCCAAGGGCTGTGTCTATCTGCTTGCCAGGAAGCCAGCAGGAAGCCTGCTTGATAGGAAGCCGGCCCCTGCCCACAGAGCATGGTAGCCCATGCAGGTCACGGCTAAATTTAGCTTGGCACAGGGCCAGGGTCATGGGGCGGCAGGGGCTGGGGCAGCGGCCCGTGGGTGGTTGGCCAGAACCAGTGATTGACTCAGACCGTTACTCTGAGCCTGGCCAGACCCTGGGGGAGAAATCCAAGGTGGCCTCTCCCTCCCCTTGCGTCCCCCACTCCTGCGTCCCCCAGAGCCCTCCCGCACTTCCACCGTAGCTTGATCCAGCGAATGCACTAAGAGTTGTCAGTGACACGCTTCTGTTCATCAAGCCCTCGCTAGGCTATGCTGGGCACTGCACAGCGACCCCTGTAACTTCCTAAGTGGTAGGTTACCCCTATTCACAGATGCGCCCACCAAAGCCCAAGCGACAACACGTTTCCAGCCACGCGGCTAGAAAAGGCGCAGCCTGGCGGAGATCCACCAAGTTCTCTCCATGGTGCTCTGTTTACAGAGCACCCGCTGTGCACCAGGAACACACTGGGTGCCACAGGGCCCACAGAGATGGGCGCAGCATGATCGTGGGCGGT